CTACTTTTTTGGAGTTCCAAGTAACTGAACTAAATTCAAGTACAGAGTGGACTATGACAGAATAAAGTACTTTCAGACACTCAATCCATAGTGTCACACAAACATTTAATAGAACCTAGATCCCTGAGTGCCCTAGTATAGATAGTTTCAATATGACTATCAAATTATAGATCAGATGAAAGTAGTATAGATACCTAAATCATTAATTTTACTAACATTCAGAAACGAATTATCATTAATTTTGTAACTGTAATGAATCGGTTTTGATTACGGAAGAACAAATTTGCGTGCATTTTTCTGCATTAATTGACATACCATTAATATTACACCACTTAATTACGAGAAATTATCCTAGTAGTTTTTAATTTTATAGTAGTCATCTACATAATTAATCTGAAGAAATAATTTTAGATTATTTAGATTTCAACGAACAACGAACGTTCAATATAGACGCACGATTTAGAGAATCATATGAACAATTCTTTTGAACGATTCATTTTACCGATCGATGAATCACTAAACATTTAATAAGTTCGTCAAAATAAATTCTTGTTCCCATCACTATAGTGTATTGACTAATCGAACAGTCTACATTTATGACTTCTTATCGGTTGTATTTATATATTTAAAAAAAAAAGAGCTAATACTGGTGATGGGAGCGGCCACTGTTGTAAGTGAGAAGTTGGGAAGATATGATACATAAGGTTATTTCATTTATATTTGTAAGCAACTATTGCTTTATAAAAGACGATTCCTAGTGTATTACATAATTTGAAGTGCTGTAATTTTTTTTTTGCGTTTTTCGTTTAAATTTGATTTCAAAATGCTTATTAAAAAAGAAAAGTCATCCTATGATTTTGGAAATTCTACTACGTCTAGTTATGTCTAATATAAGTATTATTACCAAATTTCAATTCTCTACATTAATAACTAAGTCTTTATATTAATAACCGAATTACAACAAAAAAAGTAGTACAATTTTTAAATCGTTTGAGGCACTTTTAAGCTATTTATATACATTTCAATTTTTTCGAATTTTTACGTAATTTTTATTCGGTAGGTACTCTATGAATAAAATTGTTAGACTAAACAGAAATGATTGAAAATTTGACACGAGGTTAATTATAAGTTGAACTTAGTGGTCCAAAAAAAAATTGATTGTTATGAAGTATTGTAATAATTTTTTTTTTTATAAGTTTTTGAAATCATACTTTAACAAAAATTGTAAATATTACGGCATTTCGAATTGTTAACAATGGTTTATCGTTCTACAATCTAATATTAATACAATAACAATCTAATATTTAATAAAGTAAATAAACATAGTAAATAAATATTTAAATAAAAAATGTATATATACATAAAAAAAAATTAATGAATAAATACATCGCCTGGAGTATTAAGATAAGTGTATTATATACTTATTAATTTTGTATTTATATATTTATTTACTTTATTTATTTACAAGTATTAAACATTTTAATAATTTTGCTTTTCCTTTATTATTTTATTATTTAATAAATAAAATAAAAAATTTGTCCGTCAGTTTGTATTTTATGAACAGCCATTTTCAGCTGCGATGTTCGTCCGATTGTGATGGGTTTTTTTTAAATATACAGGAATTTCCCGGGATACTTATAGGCTATAAGATAAATTTAATAATTAACCCCTTCTCCTAAAAAAAATCACCTTTCATAGTGAAAAACGATAATAGTTTGCATATTTTAAAGTTTGTTTATTTATTTATCTTGGAGATTATATGAAGAGCCAAAACTAAAATGTTTGAAGAGACTTAATAGTGACTAAGGAGCCTCCCTAATTGCGTTTATGTTTATGGACACCTAGACCAATTTGCACCGGATCACACAAATACCTAGCTACCGCACTGTTGTTGACAAACCATTATTATAAATTGAACTCCGCTCGGAATCGTTTTTCATTAGCAATGGTTTATCGTTGCTTACAGATATATATTAAATTCCCGGTTGTATCATACCTTCCCAACTTCCCACCTACACCAGTGGCTGCACCCGTTCCCATTATTTTACCTTTATTTTTACATGTTACTATCAAATATTATTTATTATTAATTAATCATTATAAATAATCTTACACAATCATTTTGATAAATGATTTACTTGTATAATGTATTTTTCATTATCATATGTTTTTATGTAAATAGGTAATAATTTAGTTTATTACCTATATCTGTAGTAATATATACTTACGATTTGATTTGAAATACCCCCCTCCACATGATAGATTAGGTATCATCACGATGTAGAAAAGACATTTTATCTACAACGTGGGTATCACGTAGTTAACACTGGTAACGCTGCAGAGCCTATAACCAACATTGCTTTATTTGGCATTTACTGTTATCACTAGTTAGCAATCTAGTTTATTATCTATATCTATGGTGGCCACTCTCTTATTATCAGGGCTCTCTACCTAAATATTTCCAAATAATATATATTTTAATATAGACAGTAAAAAAAAAAAAACGGTATTTATCACTAATAAAATAAACGGTTCTTATCATGAACCACGGACTACTACTTACTATACCTTAGTCCGTATCATGAACTCATAAACGATGAACAGGTAAATTAACTCATTTACCTGGAACAAACGACACAGCTACTTACTAGGAATGGCTAACTGTTATAAAAACCTAGGTTTTAATGATTTAATGTGGTGACATAGTAATATTGTAATATATTATTTTTCAAAATTTCCCCAAATCGATAGTAGTCACTAGTCATAGCTAGTGGCGTATATAGGGGAGGGTTTTGGGGTTCAACCCCCTCCCAAATTTAAGGTTGGTACGGTACACGTGCGTATTTATGAATTCATTTAACCTATATATTAACTAAACCCAAAAGCTTTTTTATAAACCCTCCCCCAAATTAATTTCTATATACGCCACTGGTCACATCTATTAATATACTTAGTATACTTGATCAATGGTAGTAGTTGCAATAACACCTGTCACTAAAAAGGTTACTGCTAAAAATCATTGTTAGCCATCTATATTCTTTAGGAAATTAAATATATAATTTATTTTAATTTCCAAATAGGCAGTTATTGATCAGAACCGTTAAATTTATTAATGACATAAACCGGTTTTTGTTTACTATTTGGTTCTAAATATTTGTATCATTGATAAAATGTATTCAAATCGTCCCAAGAAATTAGATAATTGTCAACTGTGATATGAAATTGGACCGATTAAAATATGTACTTGTGGTATCCGGGAAAACGGTCGGTTTTATATTTTTAAATAATATTTTTTTCCCCTCGGATATAATTTAGAGTTTTCGATCGAAGTAAGATTTCTAAGAGAAAAGTTGACTAAAAAAAAAAAATGTTTAACTTTAAAAAAAGCACACAGTAAAATCAATACATTCCTAGTTCCGCTAGGAATCTAAAAAAAATATATAAATATAAACATTATGTAGTTTTTTTTTTTTAAAGCGTTTTAAGATTCAGAGGTGAGCGAAAAATGTATCAGTATTACTTTATGTGTGAAGTTTTTTTTTATCTGAGCAAATTTCATCCTAGGATTTTCAAAATAATAATTATTATTTGAATTATTCTAATTTTAAAACGTAAAATGTGCGTATTTTCAGAGTAAAATAATGAGTTAATAATATTGGAGTAATTATATTAGTTATTAATAGTCTTGATAAGGAATAATCTCGTTTTGTAATCGTAAGTTTACCTAATGTTTGCTTTAATCGATAAACACATCAGTGAAACTAACTGAATCTCAAAACGTACGATTTTATTTCCTTGAACAGTGTAATGTCGTCTGTCGTCTGTGCTCTCGCTCGAAATAATTACGTGAGTATTTTATTGCATTATTAATAACTGTTACATAGGAGCTTATGAGTAGTCCAACGTGTTAAAAATGAACTAGTAAATTTTTGTCATCGAATCTTCTTATACCGATTATAATTGACGTTTGTAATGTTTTCATATTTTTAAAAACCCTTCTTCGTCATAATAAGCTTTTGGTTTGCTTTAACTTCATTGCGCCAAATTAAATTAAATTCGACTTAATATATTGGTTTTTTCTACAAATCTACAATTTTCGATGTCCTTTTTTTTTCTTTTTTATCTCGAAATTCAACCGCCAAAGTGTGGCTAACCCAGAGTTTTTGGTATTTTTAGAACGAACATTTAACATTTTTTGTTGATTTATGAGTTATCTTGGCCTTGGCGACACGCATGAAAAAAATAACTATTTTAATAGGGTAAATTAATTTAAAGAAATAGTAATTAGTAAATTGGTATTATTTTGTGCATTTATTCATCTAAATATATGTTTAAATAACAATTCGATATTACCTATTAGAAGAGGTGAGTAAAATGTATCTTTTCGGTTTTCACTACTGATTTGTATAAGTTTTCAGGCCCTCCGGAGAGTAGGGGATCATCAATCCCCTCTAAGCTTGAAAATTTAATTTAGAATACACAGGTAATGATTTACAATTCAACGTTATTTTTATTTAAATTTAACAACACTAAAAAAATTATTTAATAACCATTGGGTTTATTGTCTTATCATAATATATAGATAAACTTGAATATGATAAAAAATATGAATTGTGACTACCTCTAATTTAAGCACGTGTTTTAACTTAATAAAAATATGGTAAAATTAGTAAAATATATGAACAAGAACATACACGATAAACAGTTTGAATCAGTCGCCGGGTGTAAACAACTTGTTATCTTGTTATCAATATTATTTTTGATAACATGTTCAAAAACTCATACAGGCAAAGCTTTCTCATTTAGGGAAATGCAAAGGGATGTAAGCGAACGGTTTGTAACACGGCTTTTAGGTTTGTAAGCGTGATCTCTCGAGCACACCCTTTGGTTGTTGACACACTACTTATTGACTTTTCTTATGCTCTATGACATAGTTATTGTGTTGAATCATTCTCATCTCAAAACTGTACTTGTTAGTTGTTCTACAATTAGGATTATACATGTTGGGAACATTGGGAACATCAGCTCTTATATTGTAAGTTTATGACTATTACACCAATACAAAACTGAATTTTTGTTTATATTTATAGATGTTTTACTTTAATTATACTATTGAATACTGAAGTACTGAAGGCGGCGAAATATTACTGTTAAGGCGTGTTGAACGTGTCTTGTATTAGAAGTTGCTATATACTGTATATTTGGTTCCTGACTATAGTTTACAAAATACTATAATGGACCGTACAAGGATTCCTTCCTGTACCCGATGCAAACTGAGTTATCAAATTTCAGGTATCTAATAATTAAATTGTTTTCATGTCAATCTACTACCATTAAATTTTGTATATCTGTTGATTATTTAAATCCTTATAATCCGAGTTAGGTAGCCTCAGTGAGGAGCTCTTCTACCTTTTTTTTTTTTAGAGCCCTCTAATTATTTAAAGTAGGTCAACTGGGCGGTATGTTTGTTTTTGTAAATCATGATATTTTAAAAATCATAGGTACTTATTATTAACTCAGATATACTCAATATTGTAAATATTTGCATTATTAATAGTATTATAAAGGATATCAATAAATATGTAAGCAAAAATACGGTCTGCAAAAGCATTATTTATTTATAATAAATATATTATTTTATTTTTTTAATTTTACTATTACTATTATTTTACTAAGAGATATTGAAACAACACCTATCAGGGATGTACTTAGAAAATTTTTGTGGGGGTCCATAATTTTTATTTTATTTATTTTCGGAAAATTTGAATGTGTCACACATTTCTATCCAATGAATTGTTTCTAAGTAACATATGTTTTAAATTCTACTAATATTTGTGAAAACCGATATTATCGCATAATGCAGTTACATTATTCTTTAGATAATATCGGTTTTCACACATATTAGTAGAATTTAAAACAGCTGTTACTTAGAAACGATTAATTGGATAGAAATGTGTGATAAGTTAAAATTTTCAGAAAAATAAACTCTATAGAATGGCTTTCTTAAAATTTTCTGAAAATAATAATAAAAAATGAATTAAAAAATAAATGTTTGTAGTCCTTATCTCTGTGAGTAATATAAAAAAAAAATATCAAAATTTGATTATCTTTATTATCTTCGGAGATATTCAAGGGGTATATCCTTGTGTGATAGTCTGTATAAAAAATGCCTACACAAATTAATTGATGGGGTGAGTGATTGACCCAATTACACCCTCCCCTCAAATACGCCCCTGCTCATAACAGTTATAATACACACATAATTCTATTTTCAATGGTATGATTTACTGGTTAATTTTCAGTAAATTATGTTATAAATTGATTATCGAGAAAACATCTGATAAAGTAGTTTTACACCTTTAAATATTTTAAATAGTTTGATATTTATAATTTTTGTGCTTTTAAACTCAAATATGATTATGGTAATATAATTAATACATTTAATTTATTTTAAATTTGTATTCATTCTGCTACAAAAAGTTGCATATTAAGGGATTCCACCTTCTCCCCTAGAAAAATTTAATTTTTATAATATTAGTGAGCTTATTATAGTTTAGGTGAGCTTAGCCGTTTAAATTGTGTTAACGAATCATCAATAAAAAAACAAGTCTTAGATCACTGTTAACAGATATTGCAGAAGAAGGTTTTTGAATTTTGTGTAATATTATTTCTATAACATAGCTTAAGTAAATGTGTAATACTTATTATGTACAACATATTTGTAATTATTATTTACATTAAAAATGTCTATTATTACAGTGGCTGATTGGTATTTGTAATTTAATTGTATTGAGTATTGTGCAGTAAAGCAGCCTAAGTTATAGACAGTTTGTTGAGCATTTAAAATAATAATAAATCATTTTTTCTAATTGTTATACATACCTACTATCAATTTTTTTTTTACATGTTAACCTTAAATATCTGTACATAATTCTTTTTATTGCTTACATTATACTCTTCTTCTACTATGATTACTTTGCCAAATATTTATGATAAATTAAACATTCTTATTAATTATAAAAAAAAATCCTTTATTTTTTCTTCAGTACTTATTACCTTATAATTATATAATCTACTTAATGATATATATATTTTAGAATGCATAATTCTTCATTTTATAGATTAGTTTTATTGGCAGCTTTTTTAAGATCTGAAAATAATGTATTTTTTCTTTTTTCATTACATTATGTTTTTAACCAAAATACCTAGAGATAATAAAAAAAGAAAAACTTCCTATTTTAAAAAAATGAATCTTATATTAATTTGACATGTTTATACATACTATCATAATATTGTATTTCTATTTAATATTTATATAGTTATATAGTTTTTTTTTTGAAAAGAATAAATTTAGAACAATAGATATCTATTTGTATTAAATGTATTCATTGTTTTAAATAATTCTAGACATTTATGAAACAAAAGATAAAATAATTTAACATATTAAATAGTAGTTTCAAGAGTTAATAAATAATAATATAATGTTATTTTATTAACCAGCTTGATTATTATATTCCATAATTCATAGTATGTAATAGTTCATAATTTTTAATTAATATGTAAAGTTAAATTTTCTACAAATACTACTCATCATATGTATATTTCTCACCACTAGAAAAACCCACCCACTCATCTTCAAAAAATTTATTCAGGCGGTTGCCTGACCTCTATATCTCAAGTTTGGCGGTATTATTGATTGGGTTTTTTAATGTTATTTCACTAGATATTAATTTATGATTATAGATACAAATAGATACAAGGTTCCGATGTTACTAAACTGTGGACATGATATGTGCAAAAATTGCATAAAATTTATGTTCAAGAAGAATAGACAGATAATTTGTGAAGTCTGCAAAACTGATTGCAAGTATGAGAAATTGTTTAGTTATGCTTTATTTGATTTTTAAATTACTACCTACATGTCTATTTAATTATTTTTAAAATTTCTAAAATATAGGATAGAAAGCGAAAGTGATATAAATAATATACCACTACACTACTATTTACTTGGCAAAGTGTGGTATTTAATGACTAACAAGCCAAAAGAAATGTACCGAAATTTATCGAATTTGCAACTAAGAAATTTAACGAGTGATTTTGTACAAAAAAGTAGTGAGTTTAACAAATAATAATTTGAATTAATCTAACATTTTTAACATTTATATATATATTTTTTTTATAGATATTTGTGATTCTTGTCATAGACGTTCAGTATATTTCTGCATTCAGTGTAATGAAATGTTTTGTGAAAGTTGTTTTCCAGAGGTAGTTATTTTTGAACTTAATTTATATACAAAATTAAAATATTTGTTTAAATCTTAAAATGTATATAATTATTATTTATTTAGCATATTGCAAATCAAAATTTTTCTTATCATGAAGTACAAATATTAAGTACCACAAATAATGAATTTATAGAGGAAAAAACCTGCGACCAACATTTAAGACCGATTGATATTATTTGTGTTACATGTCAATTAGACCTGTGTTCAATTTGTGCTATTGAGGACCACCGACCACATGATATTCAACCATTGGAGAAATATGTAAGAATTTTACAATTTTTTTCATAACACTTCATTAAAAAAAAAATTATACTTAGTGAAGTTGTTTTGTTTAAAGGTGTTTTCATTTTTTTATTAAACAATTGTTTTTAAAACTTCAACAATTTTTTTTAAACTTCAAAAAATTAACAAGAACACTAAATTCTGTAAATAGTATCTTATTTATAGATTGATTTAAATAGAACTATTGAATATTTTTGTTAACTCTATAAAACTCTAAAAAAATTCTTAAACAACTCCTGAACTTTCTATATAATGCTCCACTCCCAGTCACCTGCTGCATATCTCTTATTACCTCTCTTCACCCTAACCCTCTTATGACTATTAATAATGTTAAATTTACTTGTAAAGCTCTTGCATAATATCTTATCTTATGTTGTTGTTCAGTTATGTATAGTTTCTCTAGAACTATTTACATAATTAATATTGATAAAAAGTAGTCAATAATCTCTCAGTTATGATAAAAAATCAATAAAAAAAAGTTTCATCAAAATTGGTTAAGTCGATCTTGAGACTTAACATACAAACAAAAGTGTTTTTTTTTTATGTAATAGTAGGATTTTAATGGATTGAGTATAAAATATAATTTTATTATTAAAATAAAAATAACCCTTTGTGTTCGTTTGTTTGCAAACAATTTAGAACCAATATTTAAATCGTAGCATCCATAGATCTGAAGTTTAGATTGTTGCAGATATAGAGGTTTTGTCTAAAAGTATGAATTTTAAATTTCTATTTGGATGTTAAATACACTAAATTAAAAAAACCATACACTTTTGTATTTTGGACTCTTACTGTGAAAATTTTAATATATTTTTTTTTAATATTATAAATTATTTTTTACTTAGGCTGAAGTTAATAATGTATTAATTCAAAATAGCTCAATGATTTTAGTTCTGCTTCAATGAAAAAAATTTAGCACTTATTGATATTATTATATTATTTTTTTTTAAGTTAAATCACCTAATTTTATTTATCTATATATTATCATATCATACAGTATATTATGTATCTATAAGAAATATAAAAGTTATTTCAAAATCCAAGTTTATAAAAACTAAAAGATTCAACATGATATTAGTATTATAATATTTAAAAATAAATATTTTTAACAAACTTTAAATAATGAATACTTTTATAAAAAATATATTTTAAATTATTTTTAGAATTTGAATTCAATAAACATCTTAAATGAATATTCAAAAAAAGGAGAAAATTTACTCAAAAAATTGAAACTTCGTAGAGATGTAAGTATAAATATTTTATTAGTTAATTATTTGAATAACTTTTTTACATATAAATTAATATAAAATCTGTTAAATTTAGAAATAAGAAATTACGTCATGGATTATGATATTTTATTTTAGATAAATTATTAAGTTTAAATTAATTTTAGGCAATGTCATTGGCAATTATTTATCATTATTAATTTAATTTATTAGAAAAACCTAATTGTAAATAGCTAAAAATAATATTACTATAAAAACAATAATAATGACTTGATTAGTAGAAATTAAATAAAGGATATTTACTATTCAACGTCTTATAACTTTTTCCAATAAAATTGATAGGTTGAGTTTTAAAAACATAGATAATTTATCATGGTTTAATTAATTATTATAACAGTTTTAATAGTTTTTATTGATAGTTATGTTTGGAGAATTAATTTTCAAATAAATAGGTATTTGTATATTCTCTTTTAATTAATTGTTTATTGAAAACTAGTCAATCAAACAATAAGTACATACATAACTAGTTAACAAAACACAATTTACCATACTACAACATATTCTCGAGAAATATAGGATATATTCTATAGGAAATTGAGACTCAAAGACGTAATTTTTTGTTTTATTAAAAAAAACATCAAATTTTACAAATTTAATATGCTCCGGATATCTCGTTGCTTATTTAAATTTGAAAAAATATAATTGTTTTTCCTTTGGTTTTAAATAAGATGAATACAAAAGTGAGCACTGAAAAATAGACTGATATATTATTTTGACAATAAATAATAGGATTTTAAACTCAATACTTAATCATATTTACATCTTAAATAATTCTAAATAATGTCTATTATTGCACATATGTTTAACTTAACCTATGAATAAAATGTGTTATATAAAATTTATTAAATGCTTAATTATGTGTATCACTTACTATATAAATGTGAAATTTATTTTGGCACAATAGAGTAAAATTTTTAGTCCTAATATATTACTATTTTTTTATAAATTAAATCAATTAATTAAATTTTAATGAGAACAGAAATTGTTGAACTCTTAACTCTAATTTTTTATTTTATTAAAAATAATTGTATAAAAAAGTTTAAATTTGACTTTTTTGAAGATTTATTATGTAGTTTGAGTTTAAAATATTGAAAAAGTTTATCAATACAGGAAGTTCTTATTTCCAACAAAAAATAACTCAAAATCTGAGTATTTTATGGCTGTACAATTTATTCTCATAAAGCAAGTTTTAAACGAGCTGTCATGGAGCCTCTTAAAACAAAAATGAAATAATCATAAATATTTAAAAGACTTAAAATATAAATAGGTTGCTGTCTAAACTAATTTTTTTTTTTTTTAATTACTGCAAATTCATTTTTGAATAATAATAATTATGTGTGTAGTTTTGTCACATAGCTAATACTTGAACTAAAAATGTATAACTATTATTACCATTTTAATTTGAGCTCTTTTAAAACATAGTTTTACTGATAGTTTAAATTATATAATAATGATATAAATAAATAATACTGTAAACTTATTTAAATGGCACATTAATAGGCCTGATAATAATTTTTTGAAAATAATACATTTAGTCAATCTAGTAGTTTTAATGTGTTGTCATTAAATTATTGTTCACAACTTTTTTATGTCTACTTTATTGTTTGGGTAATATTTTGAATGCATATTATTATACAAATTACAGAGGTTACTTATACAATTTATGTGTCTACATCAAGTAATTGTTGGTAAGGTGTTCTAACTTTATCTGGTTCTACAGTCGTCATATTCATCAATTGTGGTATTGGTTTTCTTTGTTGGCTTCTTGTTTTTTCTGTTTCCCTAAATTTGTCTTCTAAATATCTATCAACTAATGGCCCTTCATAGTCTTCTGGAAAACTAGGTTTAGAAGGTATTATATATTTATACAAACGTTCATTAAGTACATAAAGTTGAGCTGTAGTGTCACATTTTACATTAAACCACCAATCACAGGTTAGTGAAACTTGATTAAATATGGTTCCATTTGGACATAAAAATGATGCTTGTCCGCCATTTAAGTCACAATAATGCCACACCTATAAAATAAAACCATTGGTTATATTTTAATTATTAAATTTTTTTTTTTTTTTACTAGAACAAGGTTTTATTTCTGTTAAAACAACACAATATAATCTGATTTGACTTTATTCAGATGACACTCATTGATGAATTGTATATAGTTAAGTAATTCAAAATTTAAATACACTATTAGTTGCGGGTATAAATAATAAAGAAATTAGTTACAGTAAGGAAGGGTGGTGATCATATACCAAAGAAACAAAACAGTATCCTTTAAAAACAATTATATTTTGAATATCACTAAAAATAAGATCAATAATACTATTTTCTTGTTTTTTTTTATAAAGTTTAATTGCCTTTAGTTAGATGTATTTCGCTTTTTGGGTGAGCCATTTTTGTTTGTGGGAAGGTAGGATATAAAGGGAGAATTTAATTTATATTTGTACGCAACAAAAAACCTTTGCTAACGAAAAATGATTTGGAGCGAAGGTTTTTTTATACATGTACATACATTTTCTTGTTTTTCTAATTATTTTGAAAATCACTTAGAACATCAAAAGATGGCCTCCTTAGAGTATCAGCTAGGTAAAATTTTCTTTCAAAAAATATGCTACACTTACTACATTGAAGCAAGATTTCTCGTAAAATAATTGTTCAAAAAATAATAAATACCATTATAAAACCAATGCATTCACTACACTCCAAATCTAAAAATTAATTTATGAGAACCATAATATTCGCTGTAGGATGTATATAATATGGATTATAATTGAGAAATCCTTAACCAATTAAAATTACCCAAGTTAAAATCTCCAACAATAAGAAGTTTTGGAATCATGGTTATCGGAAATAATATTTTCAAGTAGTTCAAAGTTTTATAATAAATGTCCTTACTAATATTAAGATAAATATATACACAGCTCACTACTCTCACCCGCCTATACTAACAATGTAATATCTTGTAAACAGCTTGACAGAGAAGGAAATCAAAAATTTCCATTTTGCTGGAATAAAGATAAAAATATAGAAGTACCTTTTTGGAAAGTCTGCTGATTATTTTAATGTGTACTTAGGAATTTGAAATTTAATATTATATTAAAAACTCATTGAATTAATTATTTTAATATTAAAAAAAAAATCAACAGACTTTTTGCCATGTAAATTTACTATTTAGACCAGTGCCGCAGCGGTAAAATAATTACTGATTAAAAAAAAATTACAAAAAATGTTTACACAAGTCATATTTATTAAATAATTACTATTTCATGGAAAATTTGCGTTAACATGTAATTCATAAGACCAGCAAGGTGTTCTAAACTTAACTTTAGAAATTTAAAATAAGAAAATATATTATTTTTGTGTACTATTTTATATTTTTAAATGTATAGCTTTCAACCCAGAATTTGTTTTCCCAAATGCGTCCATGTTGCATGTTATCTTTTATATAGTATATCTACTACCAATGGTTCTCAATATTAATACTATCTAACTATTTTTCTTAATGTGTTATCTCTATATAAATACACCTACATATAGTGTTGACTAAGAAAAACATATAATTATCCAAGTTTTCGTCCCACCCTGAAATTCAAATAACATAGCTCTCGAGTATATTACTTAAAAAATATTAAATAATACAATACGTATTAATTAATGAAAGAAACTAATAATATAAATTCAAGGTTATCAACAATGTAATCACTGTTATTTTTCGTAATTGTATCGTTTGTTTACTTATTGCCAACTAGTTATAATTTTTGTTAATCGTATATGAGAAAGTCACGCGACTATTGTCGTTGACTATCACGAGAACGAATCGAGTTTCTCGAATATCTACGAATTCGTGAAACATTAGAAGTTACAAAATCTCCACATTAAAACAATGTAATATTCCATAAGAAAATATGCACGCGTTATAGTACGTACCTACCCAACATGTAATGTTAACAATGTTAAATTATTTTCATCTTGCTTATTTCGGCGGTCGAGTTGTTTGTTTCCGATTGGTTTAATTTGTTTAAACTTCAACCCTTAGTTATTATTACGTTACTGAAATTCATTATATATCATATTATATTGTACAACAAATTGATTTATTCACTTGGAAATTATTTTATGCTAATACGCTAAAAATAATATATAAATATGGCTATTGGTTGGTTTACCAGCTACTTGTTATGATTTATGGTTTTATTTTACCAAATCAGAGCTGCATCTGTGCATACGTTTCAAGGGGGGGGGTATAATTTTTTTTAAATAACCTTAAATGCACTCATAATTTTTTACTGCTAATTATAAACTCGTTCTAATTTTTTTCGGGGATGAGGGGAGGTAAGACTACTAGACCTCCCTAGTTATAGCTTTTATTTCCAAATTAACATTTTTTTTAACGTTGTATCCTCCCCCACAATAAGTAAATATAATATTATGGTAACCCTATATCGAATGAATAATAAAAAAAAAAAATGTATGGTATTAGAATAAAATAATAAATGTTTAATACTTGACAATGTGTTTCCGGATCTCCAAAAAAGCCCTTGTATCTTTGTGTTTGGCAGTCGAAACTAGTTTTAGGTATTACTGAGAGTATTGGATAATCCACTCCTGGCCTTCCTGGATTTCCTACGTCTCCAGTATCGTATTCGTCAATTTGATCTGGATTATACTCCGGCTTAGGTTTTTTCGGTCGTATTTGTTCATCTGCCTCCTTTTGTAATATTTTCAATACAGCTGACAACGTTTGTATACTCGAACCAATATTCTCTGGTGTAATTTTGTTCGATAGCCGATTTCCCAAATCGTAACCATTTAATAATTCATTTAGTGCACCGTATTTATCCGTCGTTGTGGTTGTAATTTGTGTAATTTGAACTTTTGGTTTGGGTCTTCTTAATTTTTTGGCTTTAGTGGTAAACAACTCATGTTCCAAGGATGAATATTGAGTCGGTGGCACCGTTGGTAAAAAACCATGTTCATATTTTATAGGATTCGGTTGAATAATCGGTCTGGGGCTTGTTTGACTATTGTATTCATAATAATAATCATATGATTTTTCTGTTTGAACGATGTATGGTGTTTCAGTCGTTGATATTACTATTGGTCTTTTTTGAGAACTAGGAAACCTGAGATATTCAGGTGTCGTGTGTTGTTGTTGTTGTTGTGGATGGCGGTTATTTGGTAATTTATAGTCGTGTTGATACTGCTGGGCTGGTTGTTTTAGTTGTGGTTTTCTTTGGTTTTGATAATAAAAATTATTTGCCAAAGGCCTAGGCGTGTTAGAATTTGGATTTTGATACTGATATTGTCCATCATTATTATCATTGTTACCTACTACGTAATATGTTACGTAAGGAACTAGACGTCGAAAGCGTTCTGCAGTTGTCAATGTTCCATTTAATTGTTGGTGGCTTTTGCTCGAAAAGTTTTGATTTCTCGTGTCTGTAATAAAATAACAAAAACCTCGTTATAACTTAAAGAGTGTAAACGATTTTTGAATATTTATAATTTTGATAAAAATGTATTTTACATAGGTATCTAATATACAATTTTGAATATTTTTTTTTAATTCATTATTATTTTATTATTTATAGGTAACTGTTTTATTTAAAACTGTCTTATGCAAAAAAAATTTAAATTTATATTTTTTCTCATTTTATTAAGACTATTTAATATCAAGTACCTGTATCCCATTTTATATTTTAAATTTTAATTTACAAAATATTGGTCTATATATTTCTACAATAAGTAGGTACTACATACCAAATAGTACTTTATTATGTAGTATAATGTATGCTAATTTGAATCATAGATAAGCTAAACAGATAGATGCCCATAGTGTTTTTATCATTCTCTCTTGATAACATTTAAAGGGAATTGATCTCGGTTTTCCAAATTTCCTTTTAATGCTTTTAAATAGTTTTAAAAAAAACCATATTTTATGGCCACCTTCATGATAAGATTTTTCTACTTATCTACTGCCCAGAGACCATATAAACCGAAAGACTACAGCCGAGACGAATATGACGACAACAAGACAAACCTGTAGGAATTAATTTTAAGTGGGGTGGTACTTTAAGAAAGTGATTTTTTTGATTTTTCCAGCTGTTTTCATAATAAATGGAAAAAAACGTAGACAAAACCGGAAAATAGGTACAATATAAAACAAATATTATTAAAGTAAATATATAATGCACATGTCATTATTTTACCATAATATGATACATATATTGTTGACATAGCAATAATGGTTAATCGTTGGGTACAGATGTATATTAAATTTCCCTTCTACCTTCCCAACTTCTCACCTATAATAGTGGCCTATCCACGTACGAAATATGTCCGTCTTTTGTTTTTACAATTTCTAGTTAAATAATTAAATTTCTATTTTCAACATATCATAGTACTCTTTAAAGAACCTAAATAAAAATAATCCATGTAAAAAATTAAAATTCAAACACAATTCTTTCATTTTTATCTGACTTTCATGTCTAAAATACACTCTGCCATCAATCCCCATAAATTTAAGATCAATGTAACTTAATATTAAATTTTGAATAGAAACATCGGTTTTGGTAACATTATTCTAGCATGATTATTTTTATCTTTTATAACGCAATCAATTTTATTTTGCATATTATTTTTCGTGTTTTGAGTATTAATAATTTACCTTATAATAATAATAATAATTACCTTATGTAATTAAATGATCACTTAGCATTATTAGTGTAAATTTTTTACTCATATTTCCCATATTGACCAATGCGTAATGACTACTATTGTTATCATATTAATGTATTCTTTAAGTTCTTTAAATTCAAATGTTTTTGCATTTTACGGGTGATTTTTTATTATGAGCCAGCAATTATTTCAGAGGATTTTAAGTGGATTTGATTTCTGTTTTTTTCTAATCATTATGGAATCGTTTAAGCTTTACTATAAAACCATTTTTAATTTTTCACCCCTCAGAAGAAGAATCAGAGATAGGCAATTTATTACCCTTGCCTACACCTCCGATCTAATATTAAAACTGTTACAACTCCAAAATGGTAAATCTTATATTAGCGCTATGCATATCAAAATTTCTAGAAAAATATTCTTTATTCAAATCTTTGTTTATAAGGGGGTCCCTATTTGAAAATCACAAGTATGTATTTATTTAAGGTACATGGAGTAGAGGTAAAAAATAAAAATGGTTTAAAAATAAAGCTTAAATTATTCCACAACGATTAGAAAAAACAGAAATCAAATTCACTTAAAATCCTCCGAAATAATTGCTGGTTCATAATAAAAAAAATCAGCCTGTATATCAATATTCTAATAATCTGTGTTTTAAGTATAAGTTAGTTAAAATAATTAAACAACATATACAGAAAACAAATTCATAGGAAGGTTCATAAATCATAAGTAAAAAAATTAAACATTTTCATCTCTAGAAATAGTATATGGTAATTAAAAGTAAAGTTTTTCAAATTTCGATTAGTCTGAAAATAACATTTTCGATTATAATATTATAATTAGTATACCCTTCTTAAATAGTAATTATTTTTTGTCGAAACATTCTCAAATTGTAGGTATACCTACGAACAAATGATAAAATCTAACAGGTAGCTAAATCTTTCTAAATAATGTGCCTACGTTTAATATCGCTATTATAGCGGCCATTTCACAATTTGGTCCACGAAAGGAATTTCATGTAATTCTGTTCCCCTATTGTCCACATAACGTAAATCGTGATTAGAAATTCTTATTAATTTTTTTTTTTTCATACGACAAACATAAACGAAGATTTATAAAATATAATATATTATTATTTAAATACACGAATTACATATTATGTATTTGTACACCCGTCAATCTATTTCTACGCATAATATTATTATTATGTTACCAAAAATTAACCTTGTGATACATCATGATACTTTATAATATGATGTAAAAGGGAAATCGCATTGTCTACGTATATGTGTACTTCATGATGGTATATACGAATAGTTTTAATTTCAACGAACCATATCGATCTTATGAAATTATTTTGATTAAATGACACGGTCAACAATTATAAAAAACTATAGGTACGAATATCATATGATGATTTACAAATTATAATATTACCTAGGTATATTTACACCTTCTTTTTCTTTTCTGTTTTTAGTATTTTTGTATAGATTTTATTACGTTATCAAAACAAAGTTGTTTATTTTTTTATTATATTATAAAATACATTATTTTATTAATCTCAGTGCGTAATATTAAATAAATAAATAGCTATGGATTATAACGATTTCCAGAGAAAGTACCGTCGTCGTTTGTCCATGTGTGTCTTGAATTCGTAATTAATCACGATTATAGTGTATATGCCAAAGTGATGGTTACTGGCCATTTTTTTTTCGTATAGGTAATTCAATTTTAGTATTATGAAATGATTTATCGGTAATGAATAAAAATACACGTCGAACTGGAAATATAGCTACCTAGTAATATTATATAGGTGTCTTCCTATACATCTTACATAACTGTAAATTACGTTTGTAGATAGTATTCTAACGTATTTTACATGCAATATTATATATTTTTTTTTTTTTTCATACCTACTGTGATTTTCTTATTTTCGCACCGTATTTATGTTTACATAACTTTTTTCAAACATAAAATAATAAATATTTGGCAATTTATATTATTTTGTCTTATTATCAACAGTTTCACGTACGTTGGCATTGATAGACTTATTATAATTTATGAGAATAATTTTTAACTATTACAATACCTAGTTGTATGTACGGTGTACCTATACGCATGCATATTAAAGTCTATAATACATTTTTAGATTCTGAGCAGAGCGAGGAATACATTGGTTTTACTATATAATATGTGCTTTTTTTATTTTTTTCATTTTTTCTGAAAGAATATTGTATTTTAGTAGTGACTAAGAAGGTAGGTTTTAGATTTTTCGTGTAGTTTTCTTAATAATTGGGGAAAAACGGGAAATTTTATGACAAACAGTTTTATTATTATCGATTTTGTTTTATTTCTGCTAAATGTATTACCCTTTTCTAGACGTAGTAAAACTTTCAAAGCATTCTAGCGTTATTTGAGCTATTTGTAGGCATTTTAAATTTTTGAATTTATTTGGTTTTATGTGGATACGATTTGTTTGCCATCTCACATATACTTAAATATTTTACACAGGGTTTATTATAAGTTATACTTCATAGCATAAAAAAAAGTTAAACGTCATTTAATAAACCAATGTGTTTTAGTTCAAATTTTCGACGAAAGTCGTAAAAATCATGGAATTTCAAAATATATTTAACCGAACTTCTCTCAGAATTGTTTTTCGTTAGCAATGGTTTATCATTACATACAGATATAAATTAAATACCTTTATGTACCTTACATTGCCAACTTCCGGACAAAACCATTTACAACTATGAAAATTGGTATATTATTACAATACTAGAAAAAAGCATACTATACTATAATGGTTTGGGGCGGGGGTCAAATGAGTCTATATCCCTCCCCTGGCTCCACCACTGACACCCATCAACAGTATTAACTCTTTTTATTATAAATCATCGTTAAATTATTTACAATTGTTTTTGTATAATTATTATTACTTAATCAAATATACATGTTAATAGCATTTTTCCAGCCATTTATTAGAAGATAAGAATTCGAAAAAATATAAATTTAAGTTTTTCAAATAAAAACCGCATGGATATACAGGGAAGTGTGTATATTTAAAAACGAAACATTTATTTTTAGAACTCATTATTAAATAATATTTTTATTTTTATTCCAATTATATTTTATAATGATTACACGCAATCAATTTATTAGTTAATCTTGGTTTAACGATATTGTATCATAAACGTAATATCAATTATGTGTCTGATATAAGTTAATACGCATGCGTTACCCTTGAAAGTTATTTGAGTTAAGATGATAATAAAAAGTCAACAAAGTTTTATTTAATTATTGTCGTAATACCTACGTATTTCATATATTTCCCTAGTGTGTATAGCTTAATTATTATTAGAAGGGGCATAAATTTAAAAGTATAGTCGTTTCATAATTTCTGTAGACTTACAGGGTGTTCTATATTTATTATCTAAGGTGATTTTTTTTGATGAAACAGCAATTATCTCAGAGGATTTTAAGTGAATTTGATTTCTGTTTTTTCCTATCATTATGAAATTGTTAAAGCTTTATTTTAAAACAATTTCTAATTTTTACCCCTACTTTATGTTAAGTTGTTGTATTTTCAAATAGGACCCCCCCCCCTCCTTTGAACATATATTTGAATAGAGAATATATTTTAGAAATTTGTATATGTATTACACTAATATCAGATTTACCGTTTATGAGTTATAATAGTTTGAAGTTTAGATAGGAGGAGTAGGGAAGGGTCATAGATAGGTAATTTATTACCTTTCTTCTCCAAGATAACTGCTGGTTCATGAAAAAAAAAAATCACCTTTATACTCTATAGGCGTTTTGTATTCTGAGCGTAGCTAGAAATTTATTGATTCTACTATGATAATGTGTACTTAATTATAGCATTTTGGATCTATTTGGTGTGTTGAGGAGGTCATTTTTTGATTTGTCTTGTATAGCTTCCTTAATAATGCGGCAAATAATAAAAGAGACTTGAAATTTTTACAAACGTCTTTTTTTTGTAATTACATTTTTTTTGTTTTGGAATAAGTTTTTAAAAAAATTATGACATTTCAAAGCATGTTTAACTGAACTTCGCTCAGAATCGTTTATCGTTAGCAATGATTTACCGTTGCGTATAGATCTAAATTAAATTATTCTATATATCACACTTATAACATTGGCGTATCTGTTAGCAGTAAAAGCTCTTTCGTTTACTTAAAATTATGTTTAAATATTTTCACGTAAAATATTAATTTTTAATGTATCCATATGGCACGAGTATACGTATCATTTAAATCACTTTCTTATTTTAAATGATATTTATTACTCCTTTTATATAATGTCTCGAATGATGTAGGTGTTATGAGTGTTCATGTCTCTATAGTATTATTTATGTTTTATCTGCTATCTACTACTTAAACAGTTTTACGCTCTAAAAATCATTTGACTATTAACCGGTTTTGTCGTAGGTATTGTATTATTCTTTTATTTCTAACATTGTTTAAAATAATTAATTGGTATCCGAGTGAGATCAAGTTTTACGATAATATATATTTCTATCACGACTTTATTCATAGATAATCTGATTTTGTATGACAATATCATTCTTTGACCATATTAGGATCTTAATTATTTCATGTGTGTGTTTAAAGTATAATATACTAAATTAACGAAAATGTTTATTAATTTCATGTCTATTTTCAGATAATCATACTTCATTAATCTAAGCGTTAAATTAATGTTAACATTTTCCGGAAAAAATATTCACTTTCGAATTTAAAATATGAAATATAGATCATTATTTGAAAATTAAAGGATATTGTTAAAATTGTCATCATATTTTGTAAAAGTAAAGCTGAAATCGAATTTACTTAAATTATTCGTAGTTGTTGATCCTTGAATCGTGTATTTTTAGGTATTTATTTAATACCTATCTATTCATTTTCGTATTCTTGGCTTAATTTGTCTCATACGTTCAGATAAGTTTTTATGATTTACATCTATATTTTATCGGGGTACTTTTTCATTATGTGTACTGGTCACTGTAAATGTTTATGGTAAAAAAACTTTTTCATATTTATATAATTTTCACGGGTATTGATTAAGATTAACCAAGTCATTATTCTTAGCAGGTAGGTACTAAATGTCTAGAAAACACACTTATTCGATAAAACTTATTTAAAGCACAATCATTACTTCGTACAAGTATTTAAAAAATTAGTAGATTAAATAAAATAAATTATTAAATTATTGAATTAGAGCTTAGAGATAATAAATATTTTATACAAATTTAACATACCTGTGTTGATACTGTGTACCAAGTTGCAACACAACAATAGAACACTGCAAAACGCGATACTACTAAACGTGTCCATCGTGCACGTTACACTGTGCACGCTGTTCAAAAACCACTGTCCAAGAGTTAAGGTCCTCCTCCTCAATCTCTGTTGTAGTGAATGGGAAATGGTGAATACGAAAATAATAAACAATCTCTAGACATTTGTATAGTTTTGTTTATTATGTAATGATAATTTTCTGGATCGTTGAATTGAAATTGAATAGTTTTCAAAGTTCAGTTTTAATTTCAATATGGGTGCTCACGCTTGAATATTTTAAATTTGTTGTTTTAATTTCAGGTTTTTAATTTTATTACCTACCTATTTAATCTGCTAAACGCCGATAAATAACACTTAGTATAGAAAAAAGTAATGTAGTAATAACCTAACCTAACCTTTTTAATTTTTCATATTTGTATTTACTTTTCCTTTAACATATTTTTACTACTAAAAAATTTGTTTATTTAACATACTTTGAAATCGTGACAATTGGTGTCTGATTGTTGAATATAAATATTTATATTATTTATTTAAATTAGCTCGAATACGTTTTACTTGTATTTATGATTTTTTTGAACGTTGCTTTTTATTAAAGATAGTTTATTTGATTCAATCAGTTAAATTTGTCCTTATCGTTACAATAAGTTACAATATTATTGTAGATGATTAAAATTCTAATAAGTCATAAATATCAGTACTTTCATTGAATTGTTCTGTTTTCGAAAATGTGTAGTAGTTATTTGCTCATGTTTATATACGATATACATTCATTATACTTAGTGCTTACACATTGGGTGATTCTTATTTTGAAAGTAGTAATTTTTATCGAGACCCGTAGGTTTTTGTTGTATAATTTGTTGTCAAAATATATTTTAAATAGTTCAAAATAAAAAGAGAAAAAATAGAATTCCTAGGCCATCACAATCGAGAATTTCCGGTTCGTCATATAGGAGGTAGAAACTTGGTAACCACTAACCTGTAATAATATACCCGTGCAGACAATCTATAAATAATAACAATAATAATGTTTTTTTTTTTATTCGTGTGGCCAAGGGAAACTAGAATTTAAAAAAAATTAATTTTCTTATTACAAGGACAAAATTCAAGAATGAGTTCTCCAATTATAGGGTGAATTTTTTTTAAAAAAGCACTTATTTATTTCACTTTTGAGGTCCAAGATAAGTCTAAATTTAGTCTTTTTGGACCGGAAGACATCGTGATCAGTGGGTGGTGTTGGCTTTTAGATTACATCGAAGAATGAGTTTCAAATAATGATGTTTATTTGTATTTTAAACACTAGTTAATGCCATTAAATATTATATCCAATTTATCGTAAATGTTATAGTTATAAGACGAATACGATAGCAAGATATAATAATATTATCCTAGTTTGATGTCTAATCTGTTGATAGATCACACAATTTACTGCATACAATTTTTTCATTATTATAATACGTACTAATGTTTACTTACTAGTTACTACTTGTGTTTGTAGTAGACGTAATGTATTATATATATTTCCGTCTCCCATCAAACAATATTATACCGTTTTCCTGGCTATAATTCGCCAAATCACAAAATATTAAACTCATAAAAATATTATAAATTTAGTATGAATTTAATTTTAAATTTATTTTTAGTTACTTAATATTTTTATATACTCTAGGTACCTACTGATAAATTTAAAATGCATTTAAGTATAATTATATAATGCTCAGTGTTATATTATTTAGTTTACTATCCGCCTTCAATGATCTTGGGTGTGCCCCGACGTTAAAGTATATGTTTCATAATTTATATATATATATATATATATATATTACACCTAAGTATTGTAATAAATACTTCGTCGTATACTATAGATTATATTATTTGATACCTATTTATAAACCTTTATTTTTAACAAGGTTAAATTATTATATAGTACTTGTATTATTTAATTAAGTGTTAACTGACTCTCGACTTTTGTATGAAGCTATTAACTTTACAATATATAATCTTAGTTTGTTTTACATTTTTAAGATCAGTAAATAATAAATTGTGTTGAAATTTCAAAAAGTTGTAAAAAACCACAGCATATACCTATTATTGTTCACAGATGTTTTTCCCAACTACAATTGGCAGGTAGGTTGTAATAATTGCACCTCGGATGGGCATCGATTATGCTGTTTTACTATATACTTGGGTGTATAATATGTAAATTAAAGTGCGGTAGGTTTACTGTATTAATGATGATAGAGGTTATTTTTCGATCTTCTGAAAATTGAAAAAATATTTTTTTTTAAGTACAATTTTAAATAAATTTTAATTATAAAATTTAACTAGGGTGCTTATAAGTTAACATTTCACTGGTGACAGTCAAATTAACCCAAGCACCTTTTCGAATACACATGACAGACAAAATTGCCAAAATCCGAGTTATAATCACAAAAATTGATGCTGTTTAGTATAACTGATCTGTTCTTATAGTTAATTACTCAAAATTGTGATTGAATGATTTCGAGATAGTTTTGTTATTTGGAGAAAAACATCTGCGTTTTCTATCGTGTTAAACATATTATTACCTATAAACTTTTGATTGCCATTCTTTTTAAACTTCGTGAATATTTTACAGTTTTTACATACCTACGGTAAAAAAGAAAGAAAAAAACGTATAGTCGTGTCATTAGTTCCGGTTTTATAAATTATTATAAATGTATAGGTAGTTGTATAAACGGAAGATTTCACTACGAATAGGTCCATAACTCTTAGAAACATAATAATTTTACGATATGAAATCGAAAGTAGTTGTTGACACTGTTGACAGTAAATACTCGTATAACTGTACCTATAATACTATCTAATTATATATGTATGTGGTATAAATCTATATAATGTACGTACAAATATTTATGTAGTTATATACAATATAATAATATTACGAATTCTTCCTACATTGATTGGTGTTGATGGATTTTGGACGTACGATAATAAGTCATATTTTATATGACTATCACTGGGGAAGAAGGGTAAAAGTCCATTGTCTTTTAACCCAGTATAGTTTTAAAGTACCATCTTATTATTGTTTCGAAAAATATTATGTTTATAAAAATTACTAAAATTACAATACATGTTATTCATTTTACAATACCTAAACAAACGTTTCATATTACAAGAAAATATGTATGAGCATTATAAGTAAATTTGTATTATAAAATTGTATATAAGTAAATTTGAAATCATACCTATGTTTTGTGTAGGTAGATCAAAATAGTTTGTTACAAATCGGATAAGTAATTTTAGATTGAGCATCTACAAGGACGTAGCTAGTATTTTATTGAAACTTAATATAAATAACTGACTGACTATAACTGGATATAAACTTTTTCGATAGTTCATTGAGTATTATATCGAATAAATGCTATAAGATTGAAAAACTGCGAGTTAATTTTGTATCGTAAATAACGTCTCTATAATTTGTATTGCCAAACATTTAATACATAGGTAATCAGCTATATAATAATAATACAAGAGAAACTACAATTGAATTATACTTAAAACGGTTTATTGTCTTTACGATGGTTCTCGATTTGAGTCGATAGAGCCGTTTAATGTATAATACAGGTATATTACATTATTATATTTCAATCGTCTGTCAGATAATCGAAGGGATCATTAAACCGTAAATCCGTCGACGTCTTTGTCCTTCGCCGGAGCAAAGGTTAACCGATAGGAAAACAATAGACGACGATGGCTGTTACACGTCATGCACGGATCGCTGTGCGATGTGCCTTAATGCATCGTGTAAAAAAAAAAAAAAATAATAATAATAGTAATAAAAAAAAATGAGTATTTATTATTATTATTATTAATATTATTATGTGTGATCGAGTTTTAATAGAAATAAGGACAAGGACGACTCGAATAATGTATACGTTGCGTTAAAATGACAACAATATGTGATGTGGCCGAGGTAAAATCGTCCGTCCCGAACTATTTACAATTATTATTATTATTATTGCCTATCGGATATTCTAAAGAATCCTTTTACCATTTAAAACCGGTTTCGATTAAAAACGTATTAAATAATAATGTAATACGGGTGGTCGCCTTTGGGGTTTCGGGTGGCGGAAAGTTCAACGCACTTTTTGACGATTTTCCAATGGCCCGCCGCGGACCGTAGATAATGATCGCCGTCGATCCGTCGCAATAATATTGCCGACGACAATAAAATAATATCGTTTATTATTATTATTATACAATAATAAAAATAATTTTCATCGCGTATTAGTGTACCTACAACTGCAACAAATCTTATTACGGCGTGATGATTTGATACGTGACCGGCGACGATTGTGCACAATATTCACCGCTTTTATCGGCATTATCAATCCGATTGGCCGCTGCGCAGTTAGCGCGCGCTATACACCCGTATTATTATTATAGAAAGTTAAGGTATTTTTGTTTCGCCTTCGTGCATACGCATTTTAACGCGCGTCGTCTTGTCGTGAGCTTTTTCAGCTCTATATCCTATCTGTGTTAGAAATAAATCAGACAGTTTGTACGACTATTATAGGTGTATACCTGTACGTAATAATATTATACCTAAATGTAGCGGATTACGCGTTTTTCGTTCGTGTGTCGAATGCGTGTATATGTTTTTATTTAATGTATAAATACAACTATACAGCTTCGTAAACATGTTTTTTTTTCTCTACCGCGTTCTTTCGCTATACTGTTTTTTTTTTCTATTTAAAATTTACAATTTCGCTACTTACCCAATTATATTATTATATACTATTGCTTATCCCGATCGCGTGTCGTGTGATCAAAATCGTACCGTGTTAATTAGTTAATTTATTAAATCATTATCGGTACGATACTATATAAAATATAGCCGATAATATATGTGTATAGCTTTTTTACCCAATAAAACTGTGTAAACGATAAATTATCCGAGAGTATACGTCACACGTTAATATGATATTATAGCGTGTTATACGAAATCGCGGTAATGCTATTATATGTGTATTACGCGTCGTTAATACGTTTTTGTAAGAGATGATATTATCGCGTAGATACGATATTTTGTATTGGGATAATTTTAATGTAAAACATAAATAGATAAAATTTTAAAAAAACTCATAATTCTGTTGCATAATATTTATGTTTAAATGATTCGTTTCGTAAACATGACGTATTATATTTGGGTATCTCTCGGTACTGAATACAGTGTAGAGTAGAATATCGAGATGTAGGTAGTAACTTTTCGTATCAATTTCGACATCATCATATCCCATCGGAGTACGTTAAAACGATATGTGTTGATTCCGTCACGGTTAAATAGATTAGATTGAATAAATTTGCGTTTTTTTTTTTTTTTTTTTTAAATTTTATTATGTGTTTATAAAATCTGGATTTTAAATAATACAGTATTACGTATTTTGTTTTCATTTTTAAATAAAAAGTATCGATTTCCACATTTTTAGTATCGCCTATCCCTAATTGTTATAATATAGTTTTGTTTTTAGAAAACTATCGATTTGTGTGTATGTGTAAAAAAAAAGTATAAAAATAATAATTACTCGAGATCGCTTTTTTTTTTATACGCATTTTGTTAAAAACTGAAAATGGTTAAAACGCTAATATAATATGAGAACACCTCGCTGTACAATAATTTCATTTTATATATTCAATGTATTAAACTTATTTTTCTTTCTTTCACATGTTCGCACGGCTCTGGGAGAATTATATTTTTACACACGTTCTCCCGATTGTTTTATATTAAAACTTTTAATTAACAGCAAAGACGAATTGCATAACGCTAATAATTAGTAGTACAAAAATTAAATAATACAAATTAATGTTTTATCGTGTTCAATTAACCGTATATAATATAAAAAATAAAATAGTTATGATCAGTACAAAACTTGAAATTGTTATTAATACCTAAGTAGTTTTTTAGTTTCTTATATATTTTCAATGAGTAAAAATTAAATTAAAGTTGGATTTTTCTTTCTCGAAGTATTGGATAATTTGTTTTATAATAATAATTATTGATGTAATAGTTAACACAAAATAATTCACATATCTCTTAGGGTGGAATATCGTTATTAACAAATCCCTTCTCAGTCCATATCTATAAACTATACATCATAATTAATTGGTTTAATAGATACCTATTTTATTACATTTTTTTTTTTCTTATAAAAATATATTTATCATTTTTAATTTGATATAAAAATATGATATAAAAATTGATTATTAAGGTTCAGAAGGAAAAGTAAAATGCTGACGGGTAGAGGGAGTCGCCCATTGATAAAACTCTTAGAATTTATTACATTTGACCTATTCATAATTGGTATTAAAAAAAATCAAAACACCGTTTCAAAAATAAATGTTCTATTATTAAATTGGGAATTTTTGAAAATGTCCAGTATTCCTATAACTTTTTTTAATGACTGTAATAGGTATGCCGAATCTTGTTTTTTCCGATTTTTCAATTATTTTGTAAATATTTTATCAAACGTTTCGGTACGTAAACAAATACCAATATTGATTAAATCGTATTTCTTATATACCTACAGTAACCCGGTGCCGTGACCGAGCTATATGATTTTAGAAAGGTTAGATTGAAATATTATACCGCACAAACTGTTGTGGTATGAATAAGTCTGGTCTGGAAGCTTTTCAATATTTCACTTTAACGAGACGGATAAATTACAAGTTCTAAATTACGGTCTGAAAATGAAATATGACGTGCAATGGTGCTTGTGTTTTAGTGCGGTAGTCAGGGGGTTTTGAATTTCGCGAATTCCCCGGCGTAATTATTTGTTGGTTAACTATTATATTATGTATAATATATCTAATAATCGAACAGCAACGTATAATTAATAAAGTTACAAAATTAACAAAAACAACGCGTATAATATGACGCGTGTAGGTAATAATTTTAAGATTAAATATACCTATATACGAATTTTTTCATGTACCTACTTATGTATAATTTCTCTCGAAAATCCGGTATACAAGTATACTTATTCGAAATTATATCATAAATAAAAAAAAAAAAAAAAAAACTAATTTTAAACAAACATACATCGACCAAGCTAATTACGCGTACCCATATGTATAGGTTGATGCTTAAAATGGAACATTCTGTGGGTATACTATTATTTAATATGGTCGGAAATATTATTTTGTACACGAAAGTACGAAAAATTGTATTATATAATATTTTGTGTTTCATTGACGCTGAGACGCGTATATACAGGATGGTTTTTTTTTTTTTTTTTATCATGAACCAGAGTTGTTTAAGTGAATTTGATTTCTGTTTATTTTCTAATCATTTGTGGAATCGTTGGAATAAGTTAACTCATGAACGGTAAATCTGAAAAATATTTTCTATTCAAATCTGTGTTCAAAAGGGGGTGTTCCTATTTGGATATCAAGAGTATGTACTTATGAGTATAAGGTATATAGAGTAGGGGTAAAAAATTAAACATGCGGGTTTAAAAATAAAGTTTAAACGATTCCATAATAATTAGAAAAAACAGAAATCGAATTCACTTAAAATTCTCCGAAATAATTGCTGGTTCATGATAAAAAAAATCACCCTGTACAATAATATTATAATATTCTTGCATCTAAATTAAATGAATTTCCGTATAGATACTGAGGTACATCAGTCAAGATAGTATTAACTTTCTCGTTAAAATGTCGGACTTCTTTAAATAATACCGCGTGTGTTAATGATTTTGTGAGAATGAACTCCAGGAATCGTATTATACGAATAGTAGTTAATGACCCGCTCACTTTCGTTCTCCATAATATAATTAATATTAGAATAAAATCTTTTATGTATTTTTTTTTTCGTTTTATATAATCACATTTAATATCCTGCAAGCTATAAGTACGAATATAATATATACGTGTCTTCTTGAAATTCACACAAACTGTAATAACGAATAAAATAATAACGTGTGCGTCATGTTACCTGTTACCATGTTTCTTTTATCGTTGAAAATTCAAATATTTACTTTATTTAAAAATTTAAAATGCACGATTTTCGAAAATTGTATAAAATTGTTGTTTACACCCAATTTATTTAATATTTAAACCGTTATCAAATTTTGATTTTCAAATAGTGAACTATATTAAATAAATTCCATAAATAAATTGAATATTAGTTTAAATATACACTTCGGTGTTGACATTTTCGATTTCCGTCAACCCGTCGACGAGATATTCCATTCTTAAATTCGAGTCTGGGGGAAAAAAGTGGAACATCATTAATTGTGTGACGCGTGGCGTTTGAGTGCTCCACTGGTCCCCCCCTCCTAACAACAAAATATGTTCCAACCAATACACCGTATATTTATAAAATTTTTGTTCACGTTACTATTTTTATATCAAAGGTAGATATAGTGGTGTAACTATTGGGTGAAAAAAAAATTAAAAGTTATATGCATTTGTAGTAAAGCGTGTATCAAGAATGTTGAAAAATAAATAACAATTTTTTTCAAAAAGTCTATGCTTTTGAAATAATAGATGTTTAACGATAAAAGAAACACCCTGTATATTATGTGATGTGTTTAATATTTTTTTATATATTCTTGAAAATTATAATTTATTTTATTTTCTACTATTTTTACTATTGTTTTGCCATTGAATCTGCGTGTAGGAAGAAAAATCGAACACGCGTACCATTAAATAAGAGCGAAGTAATATATAGGTATCTAATTATTTCTTATTAGATTTTGTTTGGCGTTTTGTTTATATCTAAAATTCGTGTAAAACTGGTCTTGACATTGATTTCTAGTAGTTATTTTAGAACAATTATGCCCCTGAGTCATCGAAACAGTGAAAGTTATATATTATTATATTTATTTATAATCGCGTTATAATTTGTCGGCTAATTCATTATTAATTTTTCACCGATTAAATTGTACGTTATTCGAATTAAAGTTTTAAATTGTATATAGGTATAGAATTCGATTTTGAGAACTCAAACCGTCCGATGATATTTATTTTTAACAATCTTACGACCGTAACGCGTTTTATTTTTTTGACGTATTCGAGAATATCTTGAATTCTGTGTCGAATAACTAATAAATTCGATTATAATGACCTTAAAAATTGTGCATGTCGATAAATAATCTTTTTTTTTTCTATTAGACTGCATAGGTAATTTTATAAATCTTAATTTTTGGAAATATTTCACTTGGCAATAGTTTGGAGACAATACCTCAATGATTGTCCGGCCCCGAAAACCACGGTAATAATGTCGTCAATGAACTAATTTTATAATATTATAGTATTCTCAACGTACTCTAATCGTTAAAAATAATTTTTTTTTTAAGTCAGTAGTGTTTGATTATGTTGTGGTAAAAAAAAAAAAACAAGTAAAAATTAAAATGTTGTCCATGAGAATTATATATTATGAAATACGCGATATTTCATTTACAGATGAAATAATAATTTTGTTGGCAAAATATTTAATTAGACTCGACCTAATCTTACTTTACCTTATTATTATTAACTTTAATTTTATTCGATCATTTTTAATATAACTCTATACGCATTGAGTATTTCATATTATTTTCAAATTCATTATAATTAATTACTTTTTTTTTGTACTTAAGAAGTAAAAAAATATATTTTGTCATTTTGAAGATTAGTTAAATGCCTTATATTTAAACACATAGACATATATATGGAGATACATCATCGGTATTAATTAGGATTTCCAGTATTAAGTTTAAGAGTCACTATCATCGTACTAAACAAATAATTATACATTTTAACTGTCCCGTGATTGAATAATGTTTATTAAAATGTATCCAATATAATATTATTATCTTAGTATATTATTATACACGTGAGACTACAACCCAATATACACTTGTGGAATTTTGTCTGTGTATCATTTATAAAATACGGGCAATTCACTTCTTAAAATTAACATTATGATTATTTGTGCGAATCGAGTGGATACGAATATTAATAAATTATTAAAATATTGAATTTTTCGATATTTCACAGAGTTTAATGTCAAATGTTTTTTTTTTCCGACGTAATGAGGTTAATCTTTTGTTGGGGGTACCTACCTTCTAGAGAGGAAAGATTTTAATCTTTTTATTGCTCTTCGAGGCTTGACAAACTCGTTCTAAATACAATTTTAAGAATAATAATATTGTTATTTCATAATATTACATTCAATCCATTAGGCTTTTATATATTATAACTATACAATAGTATTTAATTTTAAACAACATTATTACTACAACTAGTTTCAAAAACATTTATATTGGTAGGTCCTTACGTACTTCAAAACGTAAAATTAAACGCGAGTACTTACATTTAAAAATTAACGATACCATATAATATCCGACGCTAATAACAAAGAGAAAAATTATATTTACCTATTTTTGGTCAAATTAGTTTATTATGGGAAAATTGAAGTGCATGTTTTTAAAATATTATGATTGATAGTTGTTAATTACATTCTAATGGGATATACCTAATAGATATTTCTTTGTATTTCGAAAATCACACTTAAAGAACTTCTTATATTTTACCTTGACATTTAAATGTGTACAGTACATTAAGCATTAGGAATTCATAAAAATGTTATACTGTTCATAGATAGTAATTTTAGGGTTTTTTTGATGAAAATCTTAATGTTATTAGTATTATTGTTAAAAATATATATTTCGAACTATGATATTTAATGTATATGAAAAATACGTACGAATACGAAGGCAAACAAATTAAAATTTATATTATTTGTATTGTTACCTGGTGATAATCTGACCCTGACTCATATATATTATACAATATAATTTATAAAATGCGAATAAAATTGATTTATATTTAAGTATAGACTATAAATTTAACTACTGATTTTTTAACGTAGTTTAATTTACTCGGTGACGACTTGTTTTTTTTATTTTTGCGGGAGGAGGGGGTGCATTAACACAATTCGGGCGGCTAAGTGATTAAAACGAATCATATAAAGTATGTTTTTTAAAATAACTATTTTTATTACAACAATCCAAAAAAGTATTTTAAATAGGTAAAAATGATTAAGTAGTTAGTTCTTTACTACTACTTTATGCTTTTGTTATGCTAATCTGTCTATATGGATGTGCGCTAAAGCGTCTAAACGACTGCGAATTTTTTAGCTGGTAGGACTACTCATCAATATTATAGAAGTTGTATGTATGTGATTATATGGCTGTCGATTGTGTAGCGAACGTGTGTTTAGCTCTCTAAATTAAAAACTAAAATTGTAAGTCCAAATAAAATAGCATAATTTTAAAGCTGTCAACGTAAATTATGGTTTATACACTGAATATTATATGCTGTTATTCTTTGAATAATTTTTTTATTATCTATAAATGGTACACATTTTTAGTCTTCATACAGAGAACTTAAAAAATCCCCTGTAAATATAAAACTGAATTTAAAGACCAATTGATTTAAAAAAATTAAGTATCCGAATAAATTCCGAAAAGAAATATCAGAAAATCGCATGAATCAGATGGGGGTAACACTATAGTTAAAATCCTCTGTTATATATATATATATATATATTCAATAATTTTATTTTGTAGTTCCTTTCTTTACCATTTAACCATAAAATAGATTTTTATCTTTGTGTTATATTAATGTAAACAATATATTTTTCTGTAAATGGTTTGTTAGAAATGTGTAAACATTTTTTATTCAATTAGTTTTAAACAACTCAATCTACTCTTATATGGATCTGAGTCTAAACATGGATTTTTTTTATACATTTACTGAAAATTCTGTATGACACATTGTATTTGTTTTTTTATTTGTAATGAAGAATCATACAATACAATTTATTTAGGTATCATGTATAGATAATTTAAACCTAGGTATAAAATAGACCATAGATACAAACACCTTCAATTTATAATTTAGGAACATTAAATGCCGATAGTTTTTGCAACACCAGTTCTTTGATTATTTAAAACTGACATTATGTTTTTTTTTAAATTATAAAATATTGGAATAATTAATTTGAACACAATTACAAAAGGTCCAGTCTATAATTAAGCAAACTATTTCATCCATTTTTTAAATGGATTATGTCAGTTTATTTTTACAAATCTCAAATTTTCCAAGCAGTATCTCAAAAAAAGCATACAAATAATATTATATTAAGAATAACTGTCATTAAATAAATTATTGAATATTTACTTTTTTAATATAAATTGTATTTTAATGATTTGATAATGATTTATTAATATCAAAATATTTTTTTAAAAATACAAACTTTCTTTCCTCCAGTTAATTTCAAATTATCAACTCTATATCTAAAGAATAGTTTACTATTTTTTTTTTCATTGGTCTTTGTCTATTATGTTTTTATAATATATTGTATGTTCCAAAATAATATTTTGGAAATAGTATTCTGTACATGATATTAAATATATTTTTAAATATTTACTATTTTCATATATATTTACCTTATTATTAATGACATATTCATAATATTATTTTTTAAACACAAACTTTACTTTCTTCTCTTTAATTAACTTACATTATTATTTAATATTCATAATGTTACCTTATTATAGAAATAATAGGTGATTAAATTGTTAATAAATTTGTTTTTAAAGCTTAGGTTTTACAATAAATGTAAATTAGGTACCTACTACAAACAATTGCAAAATAATATGTTTTAATTAGTTTCAATCTACCTACATAATGTAATATATAAATGACACTTTAAATACATTCGTATAATGTGTTTAAATGCAGTTTTAAATAAAGTAATTATAAATGTTTAGTAACATCATATAATTCATGTACATTTATTTATTATATAATAATTTATAACCTTGAATATTAACTCATTTATGTGTAATAATTTAAGGACATTTTATCACTTAGTACTTTAATACTACTAGATGATGTTACATATTATAATATTATTAGTGTTCTAGGTTCTAGAGCTATACATGAAAATATATACATTAACATTTACATTTTGTTATGAATAGAAATAATTTTAGTCCAAGACCATCTTACAATATTATTAAATATTAAATTATAATGATACCTAAGTCATACATGTATAAGCTTTAAAATGTTATGGACTTATTGTAGTTATTAAATAAAGTTCTTTTGTAAGATAACAACAATTATAATAAATACTTTTAAGAGGTTTTTTTTTTTTTATTAATTCACACATTTTAAAGTTCTAATGACACATTCGAAATTATGAAATAAATATAATATAAATAAAATTATGTATTTTTCAATATTTTGCATATAATCACAGAAATATGATCTATATAATATTAAACTCTGTCTTATTATAATATTCGGTGGATTTTTGTATAAATTATTATAATTTAATATTTTTTTTTAAATAATATAATATAAAATATTGTTAATAATAATATTAATAATAAAACCAGTTATAGAAAAGAAAAAACACTGTGTTTCTACACATTGGGATTTCTATTAGGTAATACAATTTATTTATTTAGAGAAAATAGTCGTTGACCTTTGGCAGTTCACATTGTTCAATCGTATAATATAATATTATGTGATGTGCATACGTCATCAGTAATAGAGTTATCGTGTTTTTCTATTTTCTTGAAAACTAAAGTGTCCAATTTTGATATTATGAATTATTTGCGCGCAGTTTTTTTTTAATATGTAAAAAAAAAAAAATAGTTACAAGTGTGTGTAATAAGTGTGAGTGACCTTATACGACGATATATTCACGGATTTCGTTCGCGACAGTTATGATAATCGGATATTCCGTATTTAAAGTTCAACGAATGATGCAAAACGTTTGATTTGCATAAAAATCCGTCGTCGACGGGCGGAGTCCGAACGCGGTAATTCTGCGAACGCACGAAAGTGATTTTTTAAATTTTTTTCCCCGACCGAAATGATACTTAAAAATAATACTTGTCATAAATCATAACGAATTCGGGGTGTGCGATGATTGGAGAAGGGGAATTACGTTCCGAACGTACTTATACTATAATAAATAATAATAATAATAATTAAAAAAAAAAAAACGGTCAAGTGTTCGCTTCGGGCGTATAATATATAATAATATTATTATTATACCCGCGGCGGCGGTGACACTCGTGTAGTCGTTGCGCGGACAGGGTGCGATCACGACGAGAAACTCGACACGCCGGTATATATGTATATTCACTGTAATATCGTGATTATATAGTAGTGCCGTGACGTAGGTAATATTTTTTAACCACCCGGGAATATCATTATCGTTTAATGTCGTCGTCGTGCGCCGATATTTCAAACGAACGATAGTAGTAGTAATAATAATAATAATAATAATGGTATTATTATTATTATTATTACCACTATAAAATATTGCGGATGGAGAGGCGTGCGGCGGAACGGTTCAGAGGAATATCTGGTCGAGCAGCTCTTTGGTCAACACCCTGTGCGGCCGGTCCGGTCGCGGGGTCGTCCGGTACAGCCTCTCGTTGATCCGGTACAGCTCCTTGCTCAGGTCGCACCGCACGTTGAACCACCAGTCGCACACGAACACGGCCTGGCTGAACTGCGTGCCGTTCGGGCACAGGAACGACGCCTGCCGGCCGTCGATGTCGCAATAGTGCCACGCCTGGCACCGGGTGTCCACGTCGGCAAAGAACCCCGGGTACGGTTGGTCGTCGCAGTAGAAGTCCGTGTACGGCACCACGGCCAACACCGGGTAGTCCGTTCCCGGTTTGCCTGCGGAATGACGAACAAAAAATTATAATTGTAATTACAACTGAAGACCGGATTTATAATATTCTCTTGTAAAACACAAAAACAGCGCTTTAAAGAGTCGGAAAAATCCCTGATAAAAGCTATTAGAAATATCTAATATAGATGAGTTCAAAAGTCCCCCTCCCCCGTTAATGACGGCTTTAACTTGTTGAATTTAACACTACAAAAATGATTCACACAAAATAATTACCTTTTATATTAATCAGTTTCGCGGTGTTAGAAAATGTTATTTTACAAGTTAAATCTGTTAAAAAAAGGACTTTTAAATGCATATAAATCCGGTTTCTAATAATAACGAATCATTATTGCCACGTTCTACAAAAATACCGGCAGGGAAACGGGCGCTAACCGTCCGAACTAGATTTGGAGACTATTTAGATAAATATAAATATAAAATACGAAATAAAATTATTTTTATTTTCATGAGTACTCGTAGTACAATATTATAGATTTAAGAAAAAAGTATCATGATAATATTATACGTTTTAACTTATTAAAAACGTGCAATTTTGTCCTGTACTCTATATCTAATAAGCGTACGGTTAAACGCGAATCGTTTTTACACGTCGATTTCGAAGGGATAGATAGTTATTTATGTCGTCTATTTCGAATTGAATGCGATTTCACACGGCCGTATAATAGTCGTCTGTCGTCGTCGATCGTGTTCTAAGGTCTCCGTTTATCTCGACGAATCGTTCCGAATACATATTACATTTTACTTTAGGTACCTACTATACCTATCATCACGAGTGGTATCTCTGACCGACCTCGAAATATCTGTACTTAGATATTATTATATCTTCAATAATAATATTGTCCTTCTGCTTTTGCTGCGGCGTCGGTTTCGCGTACATACACACAAAATATTATCAAATCGGTCTATTATTCTTGCGCCGTGTGTTTTGTTTGTGTCCTTTCTAAAACCCGGTACAGTAATAATGTGTAATGTTATGCGATACCGCGATACGTCTATTGTTCTTAATACTCGTCGTATACAGCGTGTAAAATATTTGTCATCGCTTTCGATCATTCCCATCGTGCGTACGTTATAAAACCGCGTATGCCATCGCGCCGTTTACTCGAATAATATATGGCGCGTCCTCAATTCGATATAAAAAAAAAAAAACTCGGACCCGTGTCCAGAAGAGTGTTGTTTCAGAGGCCAGGGCCCCCGTCCCCCGCTATGGAAACGCCATTGGTGTATACCTATAAAATACCGTATAAAAACGAATGGCGTTTAACGCGGCGAATTAAAAGGAAAAGTCTCCGTAGAGAATCGGGGCCAACCTCCGCAGCCTTTGGACCGTTACGAAATGGGAGAGAGAAAGATACATACATATCCGTAATACATATCGTATATAGTGGACATTATATCATATATTATTACGGATACAAAACAATATTTATCGCCGAATTTGTAGCCAAATTTTTGTTTTCTTTGCTCATTATGTAAGGCATCATCGATTTCTCAGTACAAAGTGTTCGAATTATGCAATCATATGCATTGAATTCGGTTTGGAAATTTTGATTATGATCATTATTTTTTTTATTTCTTATAACGTGAATTATAGTAATTATAAGAACATTACTTACAGTTTTTTCGTGTATTAAATTCGCATGCATATTACGAACAAAATATAAAATGTCTAATAAATTGAAGGTGTCTTCGTAGACCGTTATACACAGACTTGTTTAAATAAACAAATGATAAATTTCAAAAAAAAAAAATGCATCATAGGGGTAGAACTTTGGTTCAATAAATTCGGGATAAGTTGCACATCCTTAACACACCCCCCCCCCTTCCCTTGATAATATAAATTGTCGCTGTAAAAAACCATTTGCGGTCTGTTGAAATACTGTGCGTATCACTGCGTTCGTATTATTATTCGTCCGATTTAATCACAGAACGTATTTATTTGAATATTCATCGCGTACCTATTATAATAATATTAAACGTATTGCGTGAAGTTGATCGAAATGGGCATCGCGCGTCTTCGATCGGTTACGTAATTTCGAAAACATTAATAAAAACCTACTTACTTTTGTAACGTCGAATCTCACTCCGACAGCGTACCATGCTTATAAATAATTATACATATATGTATATTTGTTTTGATTCTAACTATCCAATTAATTAAAAAAAAACAAAAAAAAGGAAGCTATCGCAAAGTTAATTTGTTGGTACTCGTACGCACATTATAATAATTACATTGAAACTGAACGCTAAAATCTCGCGACGATTTAAACAGAACGTGTACCCGTTTCAAATACTCTCTTTCGGTTGAACATTTTTTTTACTTCAAACGACAATCGTTACTAGCTGTTATCCGTGGTTTTTCGCGTATACTTTTATATAATGCCTTTTTTTACGGGGTTATCGATGTAGATAGTCGTGTAAATGTAATATAACAACAGTCAGTAACGGTACCTTTAACGCAGGATATTTTAAACTATTCTTGTACTAGCTAACTTGAAAGTTCGATACGACTTTCCGATTTCCCCTCGAAATCACATTACTTCTTCGTTCATTTAAAGTCATTTGTCTACGCGGCATTTGGTTTCACGCCCGAATAGGAAAACCGAAATCGCTTTTTATTTACTTATGTAACCCCGTCGTTCCGGTTAATCATAATATGTGCAGTGTTTTTGCAAACTAGGTAAATTTGATATCCCTTTTCAACATGTATTTGTACAATAGATACCTAATTTTGGATTACTTAAGCATTTTTAATTTTTTTCGTTTCAAACATATTTGACACTCCATTTCCAAAGAAAACTACTTATCTCGTATTTATAGTTTTTAACTTTCGGACATTCTTTATATTTTTGTAATGTGCATTTCAAAATTAAAATGTAGTAATAGTAATAGTAAGTGAAACAAATTTTTGCGCACATGACAATTATATATGATCTACAAAGTTGTCTAACATTAACACTAACAAAAATTTACATTCAAATTACTATATTAAAATGCAATTTTTCAATTGGTAATTTTATCCAATCCCCGCGTTAAAAAAAAAAAATAAGTTTACTGGTTTGATGCGTAAGTGAATTAAGAGGAGGAGAATGATAATGTTCCAACACATTTTATTTTTTTTTTTTTTGAAAGGGGTATAAATTTGTGCTTCCCCTAGGAAACTGTCCACAGATGCTCCTATATATACAATTAAGCGTACACAGTCTTTGAACCACTGATCAAGGATAATTCAATAATTAGCTTTCTCTCGGATGAGATGTCCCATTGAATAATACGTTAGTAAAACATATTAGGTAACAAATATATTTGCGCGCGTGCTGGCTGTCATATCAATTATTATTATTCGGCGGCACAATGTATTCCACATGCGCCGCCGCTGCAAATACTGACGATTCGTATATTATGAAGATTAATAGTCATTTTTTTTTTCTACTCGGAACGTTATTGCAACTATATTAATAACCCGGTAACTGGTTTCGAGAGGGGAACGACGATTAAATGTGGTTAGTGTAACAATACCTGGAATCGACCTTCCTAGTTCCAAGTATTCCCTGACGGACGGACTCAGAAATCCCGGCGGCACTTTGGCCGTTTCGTCGCCCGTTTCGTCTTCGAGGCGGTCTCTTTGGTCCAGACCGCCGTCGGCCCCGGCGTCTTGTGTCTCCAGCGCTCTGGGACTTTTGGTCTTTTTGCCGTCTTCCGAACCACCTGTATAGACAAAAAACACAAATATCGTCTTTCAGTCAAATCACAAAAATTATTATAAATCGGTGTTCGGTACTTAATCCTCAGTGATAGGAAACGACCGAGCGATTCATTTGCAAACGCTAACTTGTAAATTTTATAAAAAAAATAAACATGCCCAATTTGTAACGAAACTTACTGCTAAATAATAACGAGAGAATTTGTTTTCGTTTTTCGGATGTCTCCTATGTATCTGTCACCGATTATTGATAGTCAATAGGGTTGGGAATTTAACGCCCGAAAAACTCATTTAAAAGCCCGCAAATAGCATTTTTAATTTAAATTTTGATAATTTTAAGACCGTTATTACAATTTCCCGATATGTTTTATCTGGCTTCTAATTATTAACGATAGCGTTTTGCTCGTGTTTAGCAATAAGCAAAACAGACCCTAAAAAATAGATGACTTAGTTCTGTGTGTGGTAAACGTGTTTCATTATCGATTAATTTTAAACAGCTAATTCCATTATTAGCTAATGAAAATGGTTGTACTCTTTTTTTTTTTTTTATTAATTAACTGATGATTAGCGTTAGAGGTACATTGTAATAGGTAGGTAATGATTTGTTTTTAAATTTGACGCTAAAGTCTACCGTTACGTTAAACTGTACGCTAGCTTAACTGATAGTTAACATTGTGCGGTACATTAAAACAAAATATATGAGGCCCTAGAAAAGTAAGTGTGAGCTAAGAGATAACGCAATAGTTAAAAAAAAAAATTATAGATTTTGCTTATTGGGACATAACAGTAACAAAATTTTAAAATTTTGCCGCTAAATATGTTCGCTAGAACAAAAAAAATCTATACATTTGTAAATAAACGGTGCACTTAAGCATTTAATGAACAAGAGTATAGAAAATATATAGTTAGTAACCACTAGTTTCGTCTATGAGCCATAATCAGGTTACATATATTATAATATTAAATAAAACAACTTACTAATACTACATGTTATGAAACATTACATGAATAAAATATAAACTAAATAATGTGCTTAGATTTGTATATTGTAGTGTTGCGAATATTATTATGGAGGTGTGATTTTAATATCATTTTTGGCTTTACCATTGTCTAATAAAAATTACGTCACTATTATCAACGAGTATAAAATAATCTTATTGGATTGGTGTCGATTTATCGATTTTGTAAAATTTGAAAAAATTAAATTTAGAAATTCTAATGTCCACCTCAAGGAATTGCGTTTGGCGGATTTAAATTTCGATTCTTTAGGGTTTTTACTATAATAAAAACCCTATAGGCTAATAATTCGAAATTATTTGTTTAATTTTAATTCTCTGTATCTATCATAAGTATAAGAGGCGACACACAATCAATTTTTTTTTTTTTTCTATTATTTCCGATAAAATATTGAAATTTTCATTTCCGACAAGCCTTAAACAATCGTAACCCGTTTTAAAAATTGAAATCCGTCGAAACGCGATTCCCACAATTTCATCTGGATTTTATATCTAAATCCCATTTTCGATCCCCCCGGTGATACATATTCGTGGTATAAATTCGCACAGACTCAACCTAACCTAATAACATTATCATAGATTATAGATTCGCGGAGCGTTACGCAATGACCGCTGGCAAATGCGTGCGTTTTGTCAATCAAAAAACACACACGGCTTGGCAGCGGAATCGACTCCGGGTCAAACGTTGAATAATGTGTGCACTCGTTTGAAAGTGGCTTCGTAACGTGTTTTTTTTTTTTTATTATTATTTATATTTATTTTATTTTTTTTTTATTTCATAATATTCTTAGGCACGCGTTGGCGTGCGCGCCCGAACAGCAGACGTGTGACCTCACGGGTCATAATTATTATAACCCGCGAATGATATTATACAGGTATGGTTTATTATATACAGGGTGATATCTAGAGACGTATTTACATTTTCGGCGCCTCGGGGCGTTCTGTTCCTTTAGCACCCGTTCATACATTTTCACAACACACTGTTATAATTTCGAGCTCGTACACTTTACATTTAATTCTCTAAAACACACTTTAGGACTTGTTAAGCGAGTGTAACCTGTGGGATGGCGTTGATATCGAGGTGATCGAGTTATATACACGTAAGACACTTATTATCTCCAAAAATAATCACTTTTTTTTTTAGAATTTTCCTTTGGGATAATATAAGAACGAGCAACGCTATAAAATGTAACGTTATATTCTTATGATGGTTGGAGAGTAAAACCACCGGGCACCACGTTTTGATTTTCAAATAACGACCTATATTACAAGTTACGTAAAAAAATTACCACCGCATTTCCTCCAAAACCCCTTATATTTTTCTTATTGAACTTTTTGGATTTTGAATCTTTTAACGAAATTTGTTAATATTATAATAACGAACTATTGGTGTATTAAAACTTTAAAGAATAAAGTATAGAAATGAAAAAAAACATGCTGATACTGGTGATTGGTGCGCCACTGTTGTAGGTGGATAATGGTGAAGCTAGAGTACATAAAGTTTTTTAATTTATATCTGGGAGCAATGATAAACCATTGTCAACAAAAAAAAACGATTTTGAGTAAAGTTCGTTTATACGTATGATACACAACTTTTTTACCACTAAGTACAACTTTTAATAAACCTCCCGTTAACTTTTCAAACATTTCTGTTCGGTAAACAATTATATCCACATAGTACCTACCAAATAAAAACTCAGTAAAAAAACTCGCAAACATAAAATGCCTATTAATAGTTCAAAACACACAAAAATGTATTAATATATTACCACGTTTAGAAATGGTAAATGTAAGTTTACTGTCAAAACGTCATGTTTTATTTTTTACTTAACGTAAACTAACGTTTTTACTTAACCTAATTGTTCTTTCTGCGTGATTTTCCAGTTTTGCTCAACTACTTTTTTACATTTGATTACAAATACCACAAAAAAACAGGTCCCTGATAATTTTTCTATTGGAGCAATATTTCTGGTAAAAAATATAAAGTCAAAAAATTGAAAATAATAAAATCGCAAATTAGGCCGTAAATTTTTCAGTTTTCATTTACGTATTTTTCAGGTTTTTCCCAATTATTTTGAAACCCTTAGAAAATCAAAAATGATATCTATAATCCACCACCTAGATCCACAATGTTACGAAAAAAAAAAGATATCTTGTCATTTTTCGATTGGAGCTAGTTGTTTACAGACAAAAAACGAAACGCACGCGCCACATTAAAACCATTAGGTGTCTCGCTCGGCTCCGAATCTAAAAGTCCGACGCCCGGTCGCCCCAAACTTGTCGTCATCTATTGATAAATTCAGTGTTTAATATTCACATAACGATAAATTAACGGTTGATAAATTTAAGTGTCGGCGTATTGAGTTAGATTAACGAGCGTTGCTCAATCATTGTTTCATATTCGGGTTATTGTCAGAATATACTGGTTAACGTGTAAAATATGGTTCCGCTGTACCGACAGTAGAAGTAACGCAAAACACTGATAGTGAAATTTAACTGTGCATAAATTTTTACACGACGATTTATATGGGCCCTGTAATTGAACTCTTGAATAAAGTAGGTGCATTTTTTTATCGACAGATAAAGTTTAAAACGCGGTTTACGGTACAGAATTTAATTGATCTTCGGGTAATCGAGTTTGTCTCTGTGCAAATACGTATTTCGGTGCGACCCCGCGCAGCAATATTTGAAAAACAGTATACGGGTGACTACTCCGGACGATCTATTGATCACCCTGTACACAATCTGTACCTGTTAGGGCGCGCGCGCGCGCGTACGTAATAATAATATTATGCGTGTGTGCGTGGCAGATTATTAATGAGACCATTGTCTTTTTTATTATTATTATTATTATTATTTTCATATAAATCGTAATGTTATTATAATATTATTTGTTGTATTAAAATAACACGAGATCTTTTTGTGGGAGCATCCGCGTGTGGGTTCGTCGTCGTCGCGCTCGCTAATAATAACGACGACGATGATAAATGACAATAATCGAAATCCGTGTAGATCGCAATACAATAATAATAATAACAATAACGTTACTACGATATTATGTTCGCGGACGAAGGTCGGCCGAGTGATGGTTTTCAATAAAATAACGATAATAATAATATTATTTATGGGTAATGATTTCTGGAAACTGCGGTTCCGACAATCAATCACACCGCAAGACGCGGGCGCGTAATTATAATTTTTTTTGTTTTCCGCAATATTGTTATTATTGCGTTTATCATTCCAACGAAACGCTCGCCAGTGCGTTTAACACGTTTTCGGCTACGACCTTAACGTTACAGCGGGTACACTGAAATTTAAACTCCTGTTTTTCGCCACTTTCCATCGGCGACGACGCACTGCCCCGACACCGCCCGCGTGCGTCCGGTGGGCGTTTTAAATCATTATTATTATTATTATTACGCCGGTCGTATTATTATCACAATCGTTATTAATAACGAAGTCGTGCTCGCCCCGGAGCCATTACAATATATATATACGTATAATATTATACACGTACGCCGAGTGTTCCAGATACGTGACCGGGAGGCGTGGTAAAAACCTTTCGAAAAAAAAAAAAAAAGCGCCTATATTTACTCTTACGGCGCGACTCCCGCGAGACCTTGTACCCGAAATTTGCAAAATTGCGCGCGTTTTATTTATTGACATAAAAGTTTGTCGTTTTTTTTTTTTTTTTTTGCCTTGCCTTGCCTTGCCCACGTTTTCAGTGCCTATAATAGGGTGCTCTTCGGCGCGCTGGAGAACAGGTTTCGTTATCTCCCCGTCGCCTCCCCGCTTTGGCTGGCGATATTCCAAAAATAATGACTTACTATTTACGCTGGAAACCTGTTTCTTTGTGCCGCGCGTTATCCATTCAGAAAACAAACGAGCATTATAATAATAATAATAATAATAATAATGATAATAATTTATTCCATAACAGCGTACTTTAAAGTTACCAATACCTACCAGCTACTAGGTACTACAAGTACACGCGGTTCTTGTTACATGACAATCCGGCGGGTTCGCCGATTTTCCCTTTCTAAACGGTCTGCTGTGCCCCGGTGCACACTACAGTAAATAATACTCGTCGGTGCGTCTGGGTTTTTTTTTTTTTTTTCCTCTTACAATATCAACCCAATCGATCCGGGATGATAATAATATATTCGCGTTTGATTATTAGAGCCGTTTACAGTTTGTTTTTGTTTTTGTTTTTTTTTTTTTTTAATTGCCGTTAAAAACGACGCACATCGATCGGTCGGATTAAAGTAATCCATATCCAAGCGTGACATTTTTCGTGTGTAAATTTACGTATTGATAATAACAGAGCGGGCAAACCGTAATTATGTATAATCTATGTAGAATTGAAAATCGGGCGAATAATATTATACTTTGTATAAACTTAAAAGCCGGTAAACTTATACATTTTATATGGGAGGAGAGGGGATCAGATCTGCGGAAAAAACATAATCTATAGTCTGTGTACGAAAAAAGGCGTTTTAAGTTTGTTTATAATACCATAAAAAAAAAAAAAAAAAGTATACGTGAAAAATGATTTTAGACGAAACCCGAGCTCCCAAATTCAAATTACCTCGAGCTAGTAATGCCTATACCCAATGGTTGTAAACTTGTAAATAGTATTGTCACACTGTTATTTTCAAATGAATAATATATATTAGCATTATGTTAGTCTGTGGTATGGTTCAGCGACAGTAATTACAGTATCGTTAAATCCACAGTCCACCTGTATTAACACGATGAAATATTATACGGTATACTGTCTATTAAAAAATTTAATTCACTAAAAAAGATACTTACTAAAATTACCAACAAGTACGTTTTTTAGCTCTAAAAAAAATACACACATCCCTCCCCCTCCCCCTTTATACGTCCCTGCATAATAAAGCTATTTCTAATGTTCTTATTTCTTCGAAATTTAATCCAACCTATGCATATAACGAACTAGTATAAAAATATCATCGCTACTTACCAATGATCGGTATGAAGACGGCGATAGAAAACACCGTGCACAATAAAATTATACTGCGCATTTCGTTTGAAGAGAACATTATTGCGTTGTCGTTTTAATAAATAATGTAAATATTCGAATAATAATTACGACGTCAAGACAAATGGTTAACGAACGAACGACGACGGCGTGTGTAGCGAATTATCGAGGTTCATTCGAATCGTAAAATATAATAATTGTAGAATCGTACGCATGTCTTTCGAGAACATACAAGGAAGCCGGTTGACGGCTCACTCGTGCTAGGCCCATGACCGGTCACGAGACGGCTTCGAGTGTGGCCTCGGCAACTCGAAAGAGCAATGGGAAAAGATCCGGAAGGGGAAGTATAGATAGTAATGCATATACAGTGGAAGGGTATTAATTGATACCCCGCAATAATATATTATTATGCATGCCGAATATATATGTATAGGTATATCATTATTAATGAAATTAATTATAATTTAAAAGAAAAAATAAAAAACCATAATTTTAGTTCCGTACGTGAATTATTATATAAAACCCAAATATTAGCATAATATTGTATTAAATAAAATAAGACTATACAATATTAATTTTCGTACAGACTTTTGAAAAAAAAAAACTGATACTGGGGACGGGTGCGGCCACTGTTGTAAGCGGGTAGTTAAAAAACTGGGATACTAAAAGTTATTTAATTTATACCTTAAGCAACGATAAACCATTGCTAACGAAAAACGATTCTGAGCGAATAAAAAAATGTAAAATAAAAGGAATAAAGAATTAATAATAATAAAAACTTTTTTATAACAAAAAATTAACCAAAATGGTTGCCAATGATTATGTTAATTTTAATTTTTTAATCTTTTTCAAACTAAAGAACCAGTTTTCCTCATCATCACGAATAAAAATTTCAACAAATCCTTCTTATCAACTAGAACCAAAATGCAACAAAAAAGGTCTATTGTTATCTTTTGATTGATTGGATCAACATTTTTAGGAAAAAAGTAGTTTACAAACAGAAAAAAAATACATATTATAGTAAAACCAATAGATCTCTCACGTCATTCAAATCTTGTTAATTGGAATAATTATGAAAATTCATTTGAAATTCGAATATTATAAAAATTGATTTATGTATATAATATGTTTGGTTACGAATAAAATCGTTTTTACATTATAGTTTGTTTATCCTGATATTTTTATTGTTTTCAATATTGTCGAGAATAATTGTAACTCGAACGAATATTATTGTGTACTAGTATTCGTTAGAAGTATATTACATTGGAAAAATATATATTGCAAGAAATAAAATTAAAATTTCTGATACCTAATTGGTTTTTTTTTTTTCTAGGGATTCAAATCAGAAATTCTCAAACACCAAGATCCGAAGAACGAATTAGACATCGAGAAACGTAACCTCACGATGTTCGTGTATTCCGCAATTGGCACTTTACAGTGTTTGGAGCAAAATATGTTAAAACTGTTGAACGAAGCCGAAATATCCGTTTTTAATTCGATAAACAAAGTTACTGACCAATTGAGTAATGCCATTGATGTGAGTATTTATATTATTTCGCCCTTACAATATTATCATTTGAATCGATTAGTGAATGTATTATTGTTTTTTTATTTTTATAATTTATCGTTTCAAGAATTTACAACAGAAATTGAATTCGGTTGATGTAATGTTGAGGAACAGGCATAATTCGTCTGCTCTGTTGTCTGAAGTTATTAATGATATTGGACGTGAGGTGAACATGATATTTTACATAGCAAAAAGGGACGATTCCAAACAGATCAAAATTTTCCTTAACTATGATATTTTTATGGAATCCATTAAAAAGTGCATTGTTCCGAAAGTCGATAAGGGTGACATTTACTTGTTGGAATACTCACCTGAATTGCCTCCCAATTACTCATTGTACTTAAAAATTGACAATGGTAAGTACTTTAACAGTCAACAATATTGTTATTGTTATTATTTATTATACTTATGTACATGTATGTTATTCGACATTTAGCTTTGTCATCTAGCTCAACAGCTTCAGAAATAAGACTTTCTTCTTCGCTCTCGTCCAGATCGTCCCAATCCAGTATACCTACTGACCATTTACTGAATTATACAAAGGTTGAACAAACGTTGTCACCGGTCAATAACTATGCCTCTTACGTAAAAGAGATCACCAAAACCGAAATTGAATCTATTATTGTAATCCACCTCAATAGTCCATCTGATTTCTATGTGCAACTGCACGCCAACATATCTGTTATGAAATTGGTTGAAACTAAACTCAACGAGTTCATACAGAACAAACACAGTATTGTGGATTCTATTGAAAAAAGTGAGTTGTTAATTATTTATGGGTGTCTTTGGGTCAATCTTTAATTACTTCATGTCTATTTTTTCAATAATACATTTTTTAACCATCTATATTAACCTAACTATATTAAGCATTTTCTCGAATAGTGGTCTCTGTCATTTGTATCTTGGGAATCATAAATTATTATATTATTATATTAAACCATTTCAAGACAAGTTTATTTTTTTTTACTAACAAACTTGATTTATTTTCCTGTAGATAATATAATGTACGCCGTACAAATGTCTTCTAATAAGTGGTGCCGAGGGAATATAATCCACATCCTTGAAGAAGACAATCAAAATATGTATACGGTTTTTTTTATTGATTATGGTTTTACAGAAACTGTAACAGCAGACAGGTGATTTTTTTTTTTTTTTGATAGTTGCATAACTTTTTTAGAGTTATATTAATAACCATATAAATGTTTTGTTTCAATCGACAAAACACGTTATCAAAATAAAATAAAATAAAATTGAAAAAGTCTTATGCATAAATCTAACAATTAGATATTATGTAAGAGAAATAGAAATATCATATGGACCTATTATAGGAGATAATAAATTACTATCAATAATTCAATTTATACATTATTAAACAATCAAATTAGTTGTACCCCATGTAGCAGAGAGAAAACAATAGATATTATTTATTCCTTCTCTCTTTCACAAAATGTTTGAAACCACATAAAGTGCTATAATATGTGGCCTATCCTAGTAGTCTCAAAGTGGAAGAAATAAATATTTATTGCGGGCCGCACTGAAATGGTTCACAGACTGCATATGACACACGGTCCACTTGTTTGAAACCACTGTCCTATAATTGTATGAACATTTGTGTAAGAACACTGATCTGTGTTAATAAAAATAAAACAAAATATCTGTGTGATTTCTGTCTAAATGTACTGTGATATCATTTTTACATGGCCACTTGGCAGCATAAGATATTTGTAGCTTTTAAAATTATTAAGCCAATTATTATAAAATATAACTTATTAAATAATAAAACTACTAGGTACTGAACATTATTTTTAAAGATCAATTTTTAAAAATAATATAAAAGAAGTTTCAAATTTTTAGGATTCCAACAGTGCTTAAAAGGAACAAATTCAAAATAGTTTATTGTTTTGATTTCATTCATTTTTCTGGAATTTTGTCAATTTTTTGTCAAAAAGTGAACAATTTGGTTTCATTCATTTGTTAAGCTATACCTATAGAGTACCTAATTTAATTGTAATTATAACGTTCTTATAATTTTTTACATCAGATTTATTTATTTATTAACAATTTCTATTCAAGAATTAAATATTTTTTTATTAGAATCTTTTTATTTTTCATATTATGTACTTATTTGCAATATAATTATATTTCTAACTATACAAAAATGAATAGTAATATGTCATATTAAGTAAATCCTAAACATTTTTCAAGATTTGTTTTAAAAAATATGTATTAATTATATATAATGAGCTTATCCTAATGTTCCCTGTGAAGGACATTAGCTGGTTAGATGTTTATGAAATTGGTTTAATTAATACCTAATGTAAAGAGCGAAAAATTTTCTTTAGTAAGGATTGAGAAAAAGATCTATTTTCTTTCTTCAATTCTAGAACATACAATTAGCAATTTAATAAGATGAATGTGAAATAAATTTGTTTTAAAAGAAACTTACCAAGCACTAGGCCAAAAACAATTACAACTGGCCCTATATATAAATTAGTATAAAAATATTAAAAGACTAATTTTTAAAATATTATTATATTCATTTATAATATCTTATTCTATAAAATGCACAACTAGATTGTAAAAATCCTGTAATTAGAATACTAATAATCAACAAATATTCATGTAGATACTAATAATAATAAATCTTAATAACTAAATACCTACATTCTGTCACTAATACCATAAATACATAATTAATAATCAAAATTGCAAAAAGTATATGTATTTGTCAATATAATATTCGAATAATATAATCTTTAGTATATTCAAAAATAAAAAAACCACAGTAAGGTGCAGGAGCCTAATATTAGTCAGTATTAAATTTTTAAAGTTCTATTTATCACAAAACTAAATATTTTAAAATAGAAATATAAAACATTGTACAATAATAATTAATTTTTCCTGTCATTATGGAATTGCTTTAAATCTTATTTTAATATAATTTTTTTTTTCCCTTAATCCTTAAAATCTTAAAATTTAAGTATATACTTTAGATTTTCAAATATGAATTCCCCCTAAGCACAGAATAGAATAGAGAATATTATGTATTAATCTTTTTTCTGTGCTAATCGCCTGTGTTTGGTATCCTTACTTTAATGTTCATGGATAATTTATTGTTTGATTGTTTGATAATTTGTGATAACAAATTTTTTATGTATACCTTTATTTTTTTTCTATATTATAAATATTTTATATATTTGTTACAATATAGAATAAGAAACGTATCAGCATCCATTACCTTAATACCTCCGTTGGCATATAACTGTGCCTTATACAATTTAAAACCGAGCTTAACAACTGGTTGGTCAAATGATGCTTACTCAATATTCAGTGAATTGATGTTAGAAAAGACTGGATCATTTTACTTATATCCTATAAATTTAGACACTGAACGAATAGAGGTAGAAATTGTATGGAAAATAAATGATTATAAATTACCCATACGTCAAGCTATGTTTTTTATGGGCTATGGTGGTCAGTTTTCCCAATATGTAAACGATTCTTTGGTAAGTATTTAAAACAGTTGAAAACAACTGTAAAAATACAAATAAAAATAAAAATTAATACAGTTAAATTGAAATTTATATTGTTTACAGCATAAACAACTTGTAAACATATTAACTCTGCCTAAAAGAGAAAAATTGGAAATAAAAGAAAGATATAATGTTATCTTGAGTCATTTAATTTCACCAAGCGAATTTTATTTTCGGATTGTAATTATACTCAGATATTGAACATTTATTATCTAATACTTATATTGTTATTTAGTACATTTATGATTATACTTTTTTCATAATAGGATGATGATCTGAATATCCATTTATTAAGAGAAACTATGGAATTATTGGAGACAAAATACAGATCTACTGAAATAGATACACATAAGAGTTATTTATTATATACACCTCAAATTGGTATTTTAATTTTAGTTAAAAATATCTTAATTGTCTTAGGGTTTGTAATAGTAAATTTATTTTAATTTTATTTGCTCAGGCATGGCAGTTGCTGCTAAATATTCTATTGATTCTAATTGGTATCGAGCAAAAATAATCAGTTTACCTGAACCGCGTATGGTTACTGTTTTTTACATTGATTATGGTAATTCAGAAACATTGCTTTGGGATCAGTTAAGAGTGCTTGACAAAGAGCTTATTAAAACACCACCACTGGTAAGTTAAATTTGAATGGGGTTTAGTCACTTTAGCCCAAACATTTTTGTTCTGCTCTTTATCTAGGTTTAAAATTAAAATCAAAAAAAAATAAAAATTTTAAAGGTAAATTTAATTTTAATAATGTGTTCAAAATTTGTGAAAAAGGAGTTTGAGTTCAAACCTTTGTTTAAGTATAATATTTGTTAAAAACAGTGGTTCTTAAATTATAGTACATACACGTACCACTGGTAGTATTGAGTTAGTACTACTCTATATAGTAATTAGTCAGACATACTGATCAGAGTACAGATGATGAACAATTCATGTGTTCCTTATTCATCTGTGATGACACCGCAGATGCCATCACAGATGGCACCATGAAATATTAGAGGAACATTGTTTTAAGCAGTGTTATCGTGAAACCTAAATCTTTAATAATAGTAATTGGGGTTTTCAACATTTTCCCCTAATTCTATAGTTTTGTCTGATTGAAAAAATAACATATTTTTTTTAATTTTTTTTTTATATAATTATTTAAAAATTTAACTCGTAAAACCTTATAATAACCTTATTTAGAGTATATTAGGACCATTCTCACCATCATTAAAAAGGCGTTTATCTAATTGTTAAACTGAATTTTTATAGCTGATAACTACTGAAGCGTAGTATTATCCATATTAAACTAAGAGAAAAAAATAACTTATACTGGGGATGGGAGTGGCCACTGTTGTAGGTAAGAAGTTGGGAAGGTAGGAAACATAATGTTATTTTATTTATATCTGTAAGCATCGATAAACCATTGCTTGATGAAAGACGATCCCAGCCTAGTTCAGTAATACATAATTTGAATTGTCGTAATTTTTTTTTAAGATTTCAGTTTAAATTTCATTTCAAAACGCTTATTAAAAAAAAAAAATCTTATCATTTTGGAAATTTTACTACATCTAGATAAGTTCAATATAAGTATTATTACCAAGTTTCAAGTCTGCGTGTTACCGAATTAACCGAATAACCGAATAAATAACTGAATTAAAGCAAAAAAATTCCCAAAAATTAAAATTCCTTAAAAGCTCAAAAATGATTAAAAAGTTTCGGCAATGAGAAAGAGAGAAAATGAAACAAAAAATGTATCTTGTGATTTTTCGATTAAATCATTTTTTTCTGGTAGAAAATGTCGTCTTTTTGTGATTTTATAAAATAATGAAATCGTGAAATTGGTACGTTTTTTCACACTTAAGTGCTTTTATTTAAAAAATGGCATCAAAAATAAAAAAAAAACGACCCGTTTAAAATATCATCTAGACAACTTGAGTTTTCAGAAAAGTTGCTACACGTAAAAATCGGAGCAAGTTTACCAGAATAAAAAGTGTCCATAGACTAGAAAAAGAAGGAAAATAAATAAACATCTTAGTAAAACCAATAGCTCCCTCGATACGCTCGGAATCTAAAAATTGTAATTTTAACTTTTAATTTCGAAATTTTAACATTTATTGTCGACATTATTGTAATTTTGACTTTTATTTTCGACATTTTAACTTTTCTCCTGGTTAATCGCTTATATTTTGAATACGGTTTCGATAATCAAAATTTGACCCCTTTTAACTACTAACTAGAAAACGAGAGCTTTCAGAAAAGGTACCATAGTCTATATTTTTGAGTAAGTTTACCAATAGAAAAAATGTCCACAGACCATAAACAAAAAAAAAATAAACTTCATTGTAAAACTAAATAGTTCACCATCTTTTAATTGACAAAATACGTCCAACCAGAATTGAATATCCAAAATACAATTTTCTAAATATTCTCATACTGTATTAATAGGCGTTGTAAAAATCAAGCCGTTTCAATTTTCGTTTAAGTTCGAAGATATATCTATCCCATTATTTGACAAATGTATTATTCATCGCAACTAAAACTCATAAGAAAATAATTTTCTATCAAATTATTTAAGCGCATTCTGCTGTTGTCACTTGCCTGTTGGCTGTTGTTGACTACATAGTTCATTGGTCAGCTAATGGTAGAATTAGAAGAAGCCTTCAACAATGTGAAGACAGAGCGCGCGACGGACTGACCAAGTATGCTAGAGTCAAGAGCCATGAAAAAATAAATCTGCTTATAGAAATGTCGAAATTACAATTTTCTTTTTTTCTTTGTCGGCACTACTACGCTTCCGTAGGTAGCCGACCACGATTGGTCGGTTATTTTATAAACTCCGTCTAAAACTCAACGTTTTCGTTTGTGAGAACGGGCCTATGGGTTTTTGATTATCACTGTATTTTTATCACACGCCAACATGGCAAAAACCTATGTGATGGTCACGGGGGGTGACTATAATACTTTTAATGAGAAGTAAACAGAATAGCAAACTTCAATATGTGCAGTTAGAGAACAAAAATACCATGTAATTTATTGTAGTTTTAAAGTGGGTATTAATGATCAGTGATAACAAATAACGATTTATATTGAATAATAAAATAAAAATAAAATATTGGACATTTAAGTTTGAAGTTTAATTTTCATATTTCATTTTTATTTTATGGTATAAAGACAATATCACTCGAAACCAAATTTTTAGAAACAACCTATTCAATAATTGGTAAGAAATATCGATTATTTATAGTATTATTAATGTAAATTGTTAGTAAATATAATTAATTGAAAACTTTTAAACATATTTTAGTTTTGTATAAAATACTTATAGTATGTATTATAAATATTTATTGAAATCTTTAAAAACTATAAAATTAATAAAAACAGTAAATATTTAATAATAATAATAATAATAATTAATTACAACTTGTAATAATATCGTATAAGTACCTATAGTCTATATTATTAATATTATTAGGTATACCGGTATGCCTAATTAGTGCTAGGTTTGAGGAGGGGACGCAGTAGAACATAGCTACTATATTATTATTTTTTAATAATTATTTCCCCTTACTAATTATTTATACTGGGACGTTACTTCTCTTTGAGTAAATATTTTCAAAAAATATTTATTTCCGCACATTGGCGGCCTTATGTGATAAAATAATTGCTAACCAATACGCAAGATTAACGATAGCTGATTATTTAAGGTATACAATTATAATTACTTAGTTATGTAACCATATTAATTAATAATAACTGTTAGTCTAAAAAAATGTATTCTATGGATTGTGTTAAATGTAGTGGATTATGAAATTTATTTGTAAAATTAATGAAAAGAGATGAACGAAAAAAGCTCCCACTGATTAGATTGAAGTCGATCATTGCAAGAGAAAATCTGGAAAAAACAACCAAAAAAATGTTTTACAATACGTACAGTCAATTCAGAAATCAGGAATTACTCGCAAAACAAATATTTTATTGAAATATAAATGTATGTATTTGTTTAATACAGGCTGTCCCACTTAAATATACCCCTTAAATATCTCCGGAGATAATAAAGATAACCAAATTCTGTTTTTTTTTTTTTTTTCATATATATTACTCACACGGAAGAGGACTAAACATATTTATATTTGAGTTAATTTTTTTATTTTTATTATTTTCTGAACATTTTAATGTATCACACATTTATATCCGATGAATAGTTTCTAAGTAACAGTCATTTTAAATTNTGTTATCTAGGGAATAACCTAATCGTGTTACGCGATAACATCGGTTTTCACACGGATTAATATAATTTAAAATGACTGTTACTTAGAAACTATTCATCGGATATAAATGTGTGATACATTAAAATTTTCAGAAAATAATAAAAATAAAAAAAATTAACTCAAATATAAATATGTTTAGTCCTTTAAGAATTTTCTCATAAAATTTGAAAAGCCATTGGAAATCTGGGAAAATCGGTACAACATTAAACAAATGTTATAAAAGAAAATATATAAAGCCTATTTAATTATTTACTATAAAATGGCATTTATATATTGTTAACAAAGCATCACTATCAACTGAACTCCGCTCAGAATCATTTTTTCGTTAGCAAATGGTTTATCGTTGTTTACAGGTATACATTAAATTATCTATAACAGTAGCTGCACCCGTCTCCATTATCTCAGAACGTTTTTTTTTATATTATTCGCAAGAATATGGACCATAGACTATAATGCATTTCCCGAACATTTTGGCGCAGGGGCTTCTAAAACAGGTGTCAAACATAATGTTGTTCGACCACGTGTTATTTCGTAGAACTACCTACCGGCTCTGTACTGATCAATATTAAGAACCACTATTTTTCAGAAATCGCGTTGCCGAGTTGCGATATAATAGACAACGAAAATATGAATTTGGTCGAAATGTTCCCTTGTTCTCCCCTTCTTTGTTTCACTCGACCATACATCAAGTACATAGATTCGTTTATGCCATTTCATATTCCCTCAAAACAAAATTTTATTGCAATTGTGTGTTCTTAGACATTTCAGAGGTCTACGACAGAGTATGGCATGACGGCTTTTTATATAAACTTAAGAAATTCCTTCTGCCCACTTACTACTTACTCATTCAATTTTATCTGACAGATCATCATTTTCAAGTTTGTTACAGATCAGCTCTATCTGACATAACTTCTGTAAATGCTGGTGTGCCTCAAAGAGGTATCTTATCTCGGATTCCCTAAAACATTTTTGCTTCTAACCAACCTACTACCCCAACACTTCAGTGGATGACTACGCTAATGACAAAACGTTAATTTCCATTAAAAATGATCCACTCATAGTATCAAAAAATCTGCAAACTCACCTTATCGCCATGGAAAAATGGTTTTCCAAATGGCAGTTTAAAGTTACTCAAAATAGATCCGTTCACACAACCTTCACTTTCAGACATTCTCCTTGTCCTAGAATTTTTTATATTCGGTATTCCTATTCCTTACTCTCCAAATATTAAATACCTAGACCTTACTCTGGACTAAAGATTAACGTGAGCCCATTACATTAGAACAAAAAAATTAGCATTGAATTATCGTCTTCACATGCTCAAACCCTCATGCAATAATAAATACACTTCCATTAGAACTAAACTGCTTATTTACAAAACTCTTTTGAAACCATTATGAACCTAAAGACTTCAGCTTTGGAACAATGCCAAAAAGACAAATATCATAAAAATCCAAACCTTTCAAAATATCACTCTTAGAAAACTAATGAATGCTCCACCCTACGTGTCAAATCAAACATTACATATCAACTCAAAACTTAAATCAATAAATTATAAAACAAAAATTTTTTATAAGAGACTTGGCCACTCCCACAATACCTGATAATCTTCCGAGAAGCCTGAGGCGTAAATGATACCTTTTAAATTAAATTACAAAAAGTGTCATCAATGGGTGACTTTCAACAAAATTCTCATGACTAGGTAATTGTAACTTTTATCACATTTTCACATGCATTTCTGATACAGTTTGTTTATAACTTGTAAAAATAAAAAATAAAAAAATATACATATTAAATTTAAAAGCCCCTTTACTGGTTGAATTTATTGGAAAAGATAATAGATACGTACAAATGTTTCCCTAAAATTATTATAATATTTTACGAATAATTTATTGTCATATTCTAATAATTGTCGCACGAACAATTAAATAATTCAAATAATTTTTGCACAAACTATTGTCATGCGAAAAATTGACGTAATATCATTATTTTAGGAAATCCCATTATTTTTACATGTTATTTTTTTATTTATTGGGGTCTTGAAAATGACAGAAAGGAACTATATCTTGTGCTCTAAAAGTAAAAGCAAAACTTCAAAGTGTATTAAGTTAAGATAGACAATGTCCATGTGTTCTTTGAACCATTGCCTGATTACTTTATGAGTGGTGCGTGTCGAATGCCATCATCTGTTCACAAATCCAAATAATATCCAGAGCAATACAAAATTGAAGTTGCATACTTGGGATGAAACTCTTGTCAGTAGAGTATTATGATCGAATGTACCAACATTTACATTTTACAGTTAGTTTTCGAAAAGGTGACATGATCCCAAAGAAGTACCAAGATAATTCTCAAAACGATTATGTTGCAAATCTCTTAGTCGCCCTGTAGAAAATTAAAAACATGCTTTTTTTAAAGTATGTAGGTTTGTTTCTGTTCACTGTTAAGCAGCTGTTTACTAAAATAAAAGACCTCCTATATAATTGATAATGAACAATATCCGTCACCTGTTACAAAAGATTGATGAACATCTTTTTAGTAATGTTATCTTTTTTAAAAATGAGGAGATGTGATGAACTGATATGGTAACTATGAGTTAAATAGTGTCTAACATTCTCTCAGATTACCAGAAACAAACGAAATTAGAAGACCCTGAATTTTATAAATATTGTCTAATTGAAGCACAAAACAATCATCAATAACAGTGAAATTTACTGAGAGCTTTTCACTTTTTGTTGGCAAAAGACCTTTCTTCCTAATTATGAAAAGAAACAGTATTTTATATCCAGGCTTGGGAAACACTTAGAAGTGAATAGCCACACTGTGATTCATGACGTGGACACTATTATTGTGAAATCAGCACTGACTTTAGTAGAAGAAAAGCACTTAATAGTTGTTGCTAATCTCAACGATATTTTAGTAATTCTTATTTAACATAATAAATGAAATATTTATTTTCAGTAATTTACATGTAGAGATAAAAAAACGTAAAATTAAATGGATGCAATATATGCTTGACGAAAAGGGATGCAAAATTAATCTCTTTTCATATGTAGACAAGAGAAGATAATAATTTATTGGCCAAGAAAAAAAAAACAAATATAGTATTCAAATACAAGAACAATTGAAATATTACATAGTACATAATAATAATAAAAAACATACAGATTGTTTGATTGTTGATATGCTTTCACTGAATGATACCACTAGTACCTTATTTGGTAAAAGTAAATCTACAGCATATTGACATTATAGTTCATGTATCTTTTAAAATATAATCTCTACTTAAAAAAAATCACAACTGCCAAAAGTGAATTTAATATTGTAAGATTGCCACCTACAGAAGATGCTGCTGTACACCATATTCTCCACAAACATTTGCAATGTCTTTGTTGGAAAATATCAACACCAATATTACTAATTTCGAAGAAAGGGGTTTAAAAAAAAAAGAACAACTACAGCCCATAACATATGAAACATCATGTAACATCTACGTGTCAATGTTAAGATGTAAAATGTAATGAGATATGTTAAACTGTTCTGGCCAAGATTGTACAAATTGTAAACTGAAAGAAAGTGATTTAAAAGAATTTGAAGAAAATTATTAATTTTAACTTTTCTCTTTTGTAAGTTTAATGAAATACATATTATGCATCTGTATTATAAAACACATTTTTAATAATAAAAATGCAATTTTTAACACTGCATAACTTTTAGTATTTTTGACCACCATTTTGTTATTTACTTTTATTTTGTAAAATTAATATCATAATCTTTTTCAGCATAAAATTATCTTGCACTATTTATTGCACACTCATGTTTTTCTAGAGTTTTAGTATGTAAAAAAGATATTGACAATAAACTAAACAATTCATACCCCGTTTTTGTGGCAATTTGTTCCACCTATTGACTATGTTTTTCCTGTATCTACTGTAATATAAACATTAATATAAAAAAACTATTTTTGTTGCAACAAATTAATTTGTGTTTTATAAATCCTTAATTTTTATGATTTGGGAATAGTGAACATTGTTATTATAAATAATAATTATTTATAATTGAATATTTTTTCGTTTTAATATATTTATATATTTTTTAGGCTGTGAAAGCTTCGTTGGCAGATATTTATCCTGCTATAGATGGTATAGAAAGCACTAGCTGGAATGACTTAGCGTGTGCTGCATTTATAGAATTGACAGAACACCACCACAATATTGATGCAAATTTGACTGCATTAATACATGATATTGATGATGATACATACAATGTTATTTTATACAATCATACATCAAGAGGAGAGTTTTGTGTAAACCAAAAACTGTTAACTCGAGGTTTTGGAGCCAACAGAAATCCTATGTCTATTGTATTCCAGAAACAAAATGTTAGGAAACCATCACATTATCAAAAACCTCTACCAATAAATTGTAGAATAGTTAGTTGAACTACAAAATAACAGAACAACCAGAAGGAACATTTTTAGAAAAATGACTTTATTCTTGTGGCGTCTGAAAAAAAATCACACAATGAGTTGATCTTTTAAAATGTTTGTTTATAACCAGTGATTAATAATTACCTTGTTTCATTTATAGAAGTATTATAGTTTTAAACTGAAAAAAACTATACAAATTAAGATACATAATATATCTTAATTTATGCAATGACCTGTGAGGTTTCAACTATCAATACAATATGAGGTTTTGTTTACAAGTATTAGAAAAAAAGTATTGTTTTGATATGAATATTTAAAGAAAATCCAAAATTCCCATTCATGGTTCCCTTTTTTTTAACTTTTCTTTGGTCCCTTCTGGTTATTCTATTATGTAACTTTTATTTAAATAAATAATAATTTATTAGATTGTTCATAACATTTATATGTATAAATTCAAACAAAATGTTATAATTTTAGAATGAAATAAAGTTTTCAACTGATAGTGACGCAACAGTGTTTATTAAGCCAAGGTCAGTTACTATACAAAACCATACATTTCCAAAAATGGATGATGAGAATGATGTTCCTGGTATCAAAATGTTAGTCATTAAGGTGGTCAGTCCTTATGATATAACTTTAAAATATGCAGACTATGATCTAGCAGAGTATGTATAATTATTAATTGTGTACATCTTATAATTATAAATTTATATTTAAGTAATATATTAATACATTTAGTAAACATTATTATCACAAAAGTAATTTAAAATGTATCCAACAAATCATTTTATAATATTTGTTTTCAATGATATCTATTTGGTCAAATCCTAACTAGATGTAAAACAATGTCAACTTATTACAGTATTACTTTAAATTTAGTTTAGGTCCCTTGATTAATTTTGACTGTGATTTTTATCAAACAAAACACAAAAGTAATTTTGCTTTTATTTTTTATTGATCACTTAAAAGTTGATAACAGTTAAAATTTCTAATTTTATTTTGTAATTTATATCAGAGTTGACATGAAATCAAATACTTATGTTTACTGTAAATAGTTTTGTTACTTAAACTCTCTTTTTTTTTTTTTTTTTGTAGATTAACTGAACTTATGAATAAAGTTTATACTGAACATAAAATTAAAAAGATCCCAAAAGTGGAATTGAAGAAAAATAATTTATGTGCAGTGTTTATTCAGAAATATGATAACTGGTATAGAGGAAAAATTGTAACTGTACAACAAAATAAAAAGACTACTTCAGTAAGTTAACTTAACTAAGGAGAATACCACCTGTAATTTCTCAGTAAAATTGTTTTTCAAAAGAAATTTTTTTTTTCTCCATATTTATAGTAGAATTACCAAAATTTCACAACATATAAAGAATACTGTATTTGTTTCTTGTGTACTTATTTTTTTCTTAACAAAAATTAAATTGAAATTATTGATAGTGCAATCAAAAGGTTTGTGTGTTTACCATAAGCATAACTTGGTCTCTGAACTGAGGGGGGGTATGATTTACTACAATGTTAGCTGTATTGATTTTATTGAATAACTTTCATTAAATACCTACATAAAATAAATAATTTAGTGAATCTATCATGAAACATTGTTTAACAAATTTAATTGAGAAAAACATAGAAAACAACCTTTTGTGATTAAAAAAAAAAAAAAAAAATGTTTTTTTAATTTTACTGAAGAAATTTGTAGAAAATACTGTACATTTTTAATGTATTAAGGTGGCCTTTGGGGGGGGGGTCTGTCCTAGTTATGCTTTGGTGCTTACTGATTTTTTTTATGTATAATATCTTCTATTCATATTCTGAAATTTCAGTAATTCCACTATAAATATGGAAATAATTAAGTAATCCCATACATAACAGTATTTCTGTAATAATTTTAGTTTATTTCATGATTACGCAATGAAAACTTATAATAATGATATGGGAGTACTTGTAAATTTATTTGAAAGTACCTATATAAAGACCTGGAATTTACATACTGGAAAGTAAATTTTTTGAAATAATTGCTGACTAACACTAATTAATACTAATAATTAGTAATTAAGTTTTTTTTTTATACTGAATAATATTTTAAACAATGTACAAAAATAAATAACAAATTAAGAAATAAAAACTAATATTATTACATTGTGAACCAATGAAACTATGAATTTTATGACACATAATAGAAATTGATTTTTTTTTCAGATTTATTTTTACGACTTGGACGAAACATTAGATCAAATATCTACAAATTCTTTGTATATACTTGAAAACAGATTTGTTCAAGCAAAATGTGGACTTGTACATTGTTGCATGGACAAATTAATTCCATTGGGTATTTCAGATGGAAATTGGCCTCAGTTTAGTTGTGATCGTTTAATCGAAGAGTTACAAAAACATAACACAATATACTTCGCGAAAACAGTATGTGCTCTTATACAATATGGATTATATGATAAAATTGTTTTTAATTTTATTCTTATAGGGGAAAAAAGATAGTAATACAGTCTTGGGAGAAATATGGGTTAAAGAGGTAATACAGCCAAAAGCTTTGGAACCACTATGTGATAAATGGATAAATATAAATAAATTTATGGTAGAACAGGGCTTTGCAATAACTGAAAAACAGTAAGTTCTTAATTAAATATTTTGTTTTTTCATTCTAACTGATGATAACAATGAAAGTCACTATCATAAAAATGAACCAACTTGTGAATTGAAATCATCCAATACAAACTTATATTGTTTATTATAATCTATTATGCATTAAATGTATAAATTGAAAAACAACAATACTTTTGGGTTTTTGAATTATATTCTTCATAAAAATAAAAAGTGTACATTTTTGATTAAGAATACACCTACTAACACCAATCTCAACATCAAATGTGTAAGCTTTGAATTTATATTATAATTTAAGATCTATAAAACCAAATGTACATATTTTTTTTAAAACTAACGGAGCAGCTATAGAAGTAGTTAATATTTTATTTAAACATTATTATTGTATCTCAGAATTTATTTTATTTTGTAAAAATTTTTTTTTTTCAGCAATTTTAAGGTGAGTAAATTGAAACAAAAAAAATAAGAAACATGCTAAACTAAATTTATATAACTTCTAGAGTTTTTTAGTAATATTTTTTTTTTTTAAATGTAAGTATATGTTATATCAATTATTTTAATTTTAAGTAAGTTTTGATTAATTTTATCTTAACTAAATTAATAATACTGTAAATTGAGTACCTTGTTTGTTGTTTATTAAACATTTAATTATTAGTATACAATTTTCATAATTTATTTATTTTATTTTTCTGTGTATTATAAAGTTTACATACAATTTTTTTTATATATATAATCCTTCATTCTTATTTTGTGTGAACATTATATTTAAATATACATTTTAAATTATATTTAAATACATTTGAAATCAAAATTGTTAATAAACCTAGTTAGCATAGCATAATTACATTAAAATGATGGACTTAATTATTCATTAAAGAATAAAGATTTGAGTTTTATGAAGGAAATGTGTATATTAAATATTTTATGTGTTTACACCACCTTCTTAATATTTATGGTTCAATATAATTTTAAAATCGATGGTGCAATCAGAAATTTTAAGTTGCATTATATCCAAAGAAACTGTCAAATATTTAAGGCAGAAGGCGTATTATACCCAAATTATTAAAAAATACTATGCTACTTGAACATTTGTTCAAAGATAACACTGGTATTATTTATTGTTTATAACAAGATGTGAACTAAATTGATAAATACAAGCTTTTAATAATTATTATTAATTGGTTAAGTTACATATTATATTAATTTTCATCATCAACAAGTGTATAATATTATGGAGGATTAAATCACATTAACGTAATGTGCTTTCAATTTTTAATAAAAAAAAGATGATAAACCAATAAAAAATCCAATGGGGTGTCAGATTAAAGACTTGTCCAATAACTAAATAGTCGATGATCATAGATAAATCATTGTATTAATGACCTGACAACATTGGAGAGAACCTGTCAACAAGTACGAAAACTTAACAAGATTTGATGTTTGAGGTACTACTGTACTTAAATGTAAATTCTGTAGACTCAGTTATGACACATATCGAAGGCCTGTAGATTTGTTGCATATGCATGGTTGTTTTTTTTTTCGATAGTTTTCTTATACAGCTTAAAAAATTATGGAAAAATGAACTCAGTTATACATTTATTTTAATTTTACACAGGATTACATTTCATTACAAATTATTTTTGAATTTCCTTCTTTTAAAATATGTACCTATTATACAAGATCTTATGTTACATAATTATAATTGTTAAAAATATAAATATTACTGTAATTTTTAATTTATCTATTAAGTATGTTTTAAGTTGCTTTTAATGGATTTTAAATTTTTTTTGTGCATTACACAAAGTGTCAAATTTTGATAATTTATAATCTGAAAATTAATATTCTCCTTGAATTAATGATTGTACCATCGTTGTAATGGAAATATTTAAAAATATTGTAGAAAAATAAACTAAAAGTTTTATCACTTTATATATAGATTTAATTCTGGATTTCAATGAATTTAATTAATTTCAATGAACCTATTGAACTTAAATGTTTTTTCAAACAGGACGACATAAATTTGAATGTAAAAATAGATTTGAATCATTTAAAATCTATGCAGTATTGGTTGCCGCCTACTCCTTTAACTCAATCTCAATTTAAAGCGTATGTGATGTATGTTGACATGGAATGTAACTTGTATTTACAATTAGATGATAGCGGTATAAAATATTTATATTAAAAATAATATGTATTATAATAATGTTTTGAAGTTTTTTATACACATTGTTATTTTAGAAACTTCTCAATTATTAAAAACTGTTGAAGAAGAATTAAACGAAATCTTTGCTAACACTAAACCTGAACCTGAAAATTACAAGTGGACCGAAAATCAAATGGTTATTGTCAAATATCATTTGGACAAGAAATGGTACCGTGGAACCATTATAAAAGTTTGTACCCATAATTTATTTATTTTAAAGACATTACACACATTTGTATTCACTAGATAAAAATATCCCATTACCATTGTAGAAACTTAACGAAAAATTGTAAAATAACAACTCATTATTAGTAAATATTTGTTATACCAAAATGTTGTTTTAAAAAACATTTATAAAATAGTTTTCTTGGATTTTGTATAAACAATTAAAAAAATTACTTAGTTTTTAAAAAAATATATAAAATAGATAAATTATAGTGGAAGGCTCTAAATATTAATACAAACAAATAAACTAAAATATTGAACAGAACAAAAGTTATTTCAGGTATCATATTGTCATGTTAAATTCTGTTTATTCTACATAATATTATAAATGCAAAAGTTAGTTTGGATGCATCAATGCATATTTATTACCAATTCTCTCCTAAATTATTGAACAGATTAAGCTGAAACTTTGAACAGATGTAATTCTAGACCAGAAATAACATATAGGCTACTTTTGTCTCCCTTATGCACACCCTAAAGGGGAGATAAGGTTATTGGTATTATCAGTAGAAAAATGTAATTATTTTTGTTGATTTATGAGTAACCTGGGTAATACGGATTAAATAAAATAAAATTGAAATTAAAAATAAATATTATTATTAGTATATAATATTAAGATAATTTACCTTGGTAATGGGGATGTTAGTTTTTTGATTAATTTTTATTATTTTTCTACAGAATACATTATATTATCTGATTGCATATGTGTATTGTAAAATACCACTTACAGATTGTATGTTTTCAAATAAATGTTTAAAAACAAAAAAAATTTAATATACCATACATTATGAATAAACGTAATTCGATTTTCATATTAAAAATACTTATAACCTTGTGGTGAGGTAACACAAGTGCTTGAATACTGAAGGGAAAGTAAAAGTTTGTTTTAGAAGTTCAAATTTTGTCTTATTGATTTTATTATTTGTTTATAAGTGTGTCATTGGAATAGTGTTCCACTACTCTCTTCCTACCAAAACTTAAAATCGAAATATCTCGACCAAAGGTCGATGGATATTTAAAATTTAACCTAAATGTATTTAAACTATATTCAAGAAATTTTTAACGTAGGTTACTATTTGAAAATTAAAAATAGATAGTTTTTTCACCTTCAAAAATGAGGATAACAAAAAATAACCGTAATATGGCGTCTTAAAGGTGTTTGTTTCTGACATTTCTTAAAAACAAATCCCAAAAAAAAAAGAATACTTTCCAAAATAATATGTATCTTTGTATTAATTTACATTAACACAAATCTTAATGTTGATCATTCTATATTGATAACACTTTTATTGTTCAAGTTGTTTTTAATTTTACTTTTTGTTAGAATTTCTTTTAGAACCCAAATAATTTGATAGCTATTATAAAACAGACCATTTCAAAATATATGGTCAGTATTTTAAAAATATCATGATCACATTATGTTGTATGTTATAAATGTAAATTCAAATTAAATCATCAATTAGAATTACTATGTAAATAATATTATTTTGCAGAAAAACGAAAACGGTCAATACAAAGTACAGTTCTTGGATTATGGAAATATTGAAACTTGTTCTCACGAACAACTCCGGTCGACTGTGTACATGACAGATATTCCTCAGTTGTGTATTAAGGGATTTTTCTCTAACATTTCACCGGTAAATGAAAAGCGATTAGCTGTATACGAAAAACGTAACAAAATAATATACAAACTTACACCTTTTTTTTTTTCTATAGTGTTCAAAAAACAATGTTTGGAATATAGCCAATCTGGACCATATACACAGTGTGCTCGTTGAAAAACCATGTACAGTGACTGTCGATTTGAATCTATCATTTAATAACTTGTATGGGGTGAGTCTTACAAAGGAGCAGTTTTGACCTATGAGCCTATGAACAAATAAATAAACAACTCTAATTACCTAGCTGTGAACTATGTTATGTAGTTTATTTAAACAGTGTACTGGCTCTTTTAAATTGTTTAAGTATAAACAAGCAATAGTATTACTCAGCAAGTTTTAAACCAGGCTAAATAAAACAGTATTTTCAAAAATAAAGAGGGTGATACTTTAATTTCCAACTGTAGGTACCTACACAATAACCACAATTATCTGTCAAGTTTTCGTTTCGTATCAAACTCTTCGAGGGGTGGGGGGTGACGAGTGTACTCTACTGGACTTAAGGGGCAGTGGATATAATATATTATATTATGTAGTGATGGGTCGAACTGTCCGGACCAAAATCGAGGGTTCCATTCGAGATTCGAATCTGCAATTATTAAAATTTGGAACCAAACTATTTAGTTTATACAGTTCGAACATCGAACTTAAAAATATTTGCCGAATTGATTACGACAGTTTGAAGTTCAAATTCAGTTCACATTCTGCTATTTTTGTTTTTATCTTCAAATATTTTATCGATAAGGGGTATAATATTATGCAATAACCTTGTATATTTCAACAATAAGTATTGTCATGAAATATGAAAAATCTATTTTTAATTTAGGAAAACTCATATTAAGTAGAAATATTTCACTGCCGTGTCCGTTATCTTGTTAACAACAATAAAAACGCCTCATTTTACGTTATATACGTACATTGAATTGCTGTATTTTGTTAGTAGGTTATTTGGTTATATCTATAAATTGTTATAGTGTTGTATAACTCAACTCAACAGGACATAAAAATAAAATGTAATTGTAATTATGGTTGATGTACATTTTAAATCTATATAGAGTAACATGACAAATAGATCTTGCATCATCGAGATCCCGGTAAATATTTTGATAAGAATTTATACCGGGTCAGAGACATTCAAATCTCAAAACAATATGGTCCCTAGTCATTTAGATTCACGAAATTTTTAGATCTCGGCCATATGAATCCTTTTATTATTAATTATAATTGATAGTGCCATTATAGAAATGGCCATAACGATTAATACTTAACCAGTGGCTCATTCCCTATACAAATTAGATAATTTTGAACTAACAAAGAAACGCCATACCATAAATTTAAAAATATAAGTACAACAAATACCTAATGTTAATTTAATGAAATTGGTATAGTGTTAATATAATATTGTTTGAAAAAATTTAAAAAACTTATTCATACAACGATTGAATTATTATTACCTATGTGTTAGATTTTGACAATTCTATAAACCTTTAACCCTATAACCGTATTCTTCTAACTTCATGACAATATAATACATTGTGGTACTAAGATGACACCGAGTTCAGGGTTCTGGCAAGTTACTGGGTTCATATTGTTAAAATTATTGTGAAAGGGTATATTATTTGAAAGTTCAAACAAATATTTACCTATATACCGTTAACATTCGGATATCTGGACTTTTAGATCAATACAAGATAATTTGATCCCGACACAACTAGATCCCCACCGTTACCAAAGGTATTATTGGGATGTAAATGACCCGGATCCTATTTGCTCATACAATCTTTATTGAAAGTTACTAAACTTTTTATGGTACGACCCATTTTGGAAATATTTAAATTTTGAAGACCCACACGATAATATCAATAAGGCTTTTTTTTTTGGTTTATTTTTCATTTCTGGATAATTCCTGAGGTTTGTTAAGTCACATACTCTCATTCGCAAGTAAAGATCCAATTTGCTGGTAGAAAATTTATTCACAGGAAAAAGAAAAAGGCCGTAATATTTTTTAACCAATACCTATATTTCGTACATTTTCCTTATTTATTATTAAAGCTCTTAGGAAAATCAAAAAATGGCATTTCTAAAGTACCTCCCTTGTCCGATTTCCTTTCGGAAAAATTGCTAAACTTATAAATCGGAACAAGATTTCTGGTAGAAGATTTGTTCAAGGATAGAAAAAAAAAATAAATAAATAAACATTCCTAACGCTCCTCTCAGAATCCAAAAAATATAACGCGACCCACACTTTGGGAACTTATGCCCTGTATAGTATATGGAAAAAAAATTCAAGTTTGAGTTTGACTGAAAAATTTAAAAGTTGGGATTCGGTTCGATGTCAAAAATCAGCGTTATGCCCATCACTAGTTATATAATATATTATAATAACATATCCTAATAAATAATAATCATCTGTTTATATTTGTTTGCGTGTACGCATAGATCAACTTTATAAAAACCGAACAATGTCCCGATATCTGTCAATACTTGGTCAATCATAACATAGCATGTTACTCATTTGCGAAAGAATACGTCGATCCATTCAATTTCGGTGACACTACAGATGAAGATTGGATGTATACCGAAAATAATAACTATGCGATAAATAGAGATGAAGATGGGATTCATACTGCAAATAATAACGATGAGATAAACAATGACAAGATAAAACTCTTAAATATCGCCGATTGCGAGATAAACTTTACAGACGATAATCGAACAATGACCAACAAAGACAAACATAATTTTAGCAGCACGGTGAATGACAAACAAAAAATCACAAGTTTTTCGAGGTTCCGTTTGAATGTGGAGGGCGAAGTTATTGAAGGGAAGGTGTGTGATATCGTCGGACCCACCCGTATAAGGTTTTTGGTATATAAAATAAACGGCCACGACATCATCGATATGCGGGACAAAATGCACAGAGACATGTTCAATCAATGTGTTGATCTTCCTGTACTCGAAAAATTTGAACCAGGTGAGCCATAAACTCTAAATATTATTAAAATGACGCGTTTGTTAGTTTTGCGTATACAAAATACCATTAAATACAAATCAAACAAAATAATGAACATATAATTTTAAAAAATTGTACATTCTGACCAACAAATTTAAATGTTTAATGACAAGAAAATATATTTTTATGTATGTAGAAGCGTTGATACTAATCTGATGATATTGAAACTTTATTATCATTATGTCTTCAAGTAGAAAAAACAAAACTTAATGTTTTTGTTTTACTTTAAATATAGTATTTTATGTTTTTCTACTTATTTTTTTTAATTATTAAGTTTTAGTTATACACCTCCCCAAACCTTATGACCATTTCTTATATACTCACACATTGATTATATTTTAATGTATACAATTGTTTCCAGGAACTGCAGTTATTGTTTTACACACTGTATTTTGGAGAAGAGGAATTATAAGCGATAACTGTGAATCCGTGATGTTGGTCGATATGGGCATATCGATTCAGCTGATTAAAAATAAGTATGTTTAATACCTTAAATAATATATGCAGTAGAACCAGTCCTGAATGAAATGCAAATTAGAACAGTCTTAATATTAAATTTCACAAAAATCAAAAACATGAATGTAACCTAAAATTGACATTGGTAACCAAAAATTGAGTCCAGATTGAAATATTTTCTAAACCCAAAAATACAAATTCAGAAATGTCTGATTTTCACACTATATATTAAACATATTATTAAGTATAGGCACATACAGTTATAAACTTTAAAATACTTTGCACACGTATATTTTCAATATTTATCAGTGCCTATGACTTCTGTTTTAAATTGCAATTTTCACTGCATACAAATATTTCCTTTAAAATTTTCTCTGTTATTGATTATTATTGTCTAACTACAGTCTGAGACCTTGCCCACCAATATATTTCGAATTGCCGATGTTTTCGATAGAGTGTCAGCTAGCTAATCTGACAATAAATGAACATACTGACGAACAAGCCGTTGCCAAGGAACTGTCAAAATTGTTGAGGGGTGTAAATTTGAAAATCGTTGGAGTCGTAAGTTACATAGTATTATTACAATATGTATAAATAATATTAAACATAAACATTATTATTTTTATTATAATGTGTCTTTAAAATGTTTTGCACAGGACAATCTGAATGCCAATGTTGTTGATGTAATTCTCTTTGATGAGAATGACCATCTCCCATACCAATCGTTGATTGACTCGAAAATGCTAATTCTCAAGTGATTTACTTTTATTTACTAGTCACATTAGGCTAATTTATTATAATAAAAAGACATTTTATTGATTCATTTAAAATAATATAATAACAAAAAAATGTATTCGCAGTATGGATTTTTTTTTCTTTTTAATTTTTTAATGTTAAGGTCATTTAAGAAAGTAAAGTGTTTTTTTATATTTTTCTATTGTTTTTAAAATTTATAGTGTGATAAATTATGAAATTAGTGTACAATTCTGTAATCTTAAATCTCAGTAGTATATCATAAATATAATTTTTTAATATAAAATCAAAGGTGTTGATAATATTTAAAATAGAATATTTAATTTGTAAAACATGATTTCAGATTTCAATAAAATAATAAATTAACAAAAAAAAAAAAAAATGTGCAATATTGTGTTTTTATTATAGAAGTCTCATAAATACTTTGTTTTTTTTTTTTTGTTTTTTTTTATTGTATTTATTTCTATTTACAAAGTTTAAAGTTTACAAAGAATACATATACATAAAATTTAATAGTCTACGCAGTTTTCCCACCGCCTTACAATCTTTTCTCCTCCCGCTGCTGTATACATTTTTAACAGATCCCCTTAAATTATACAATATAATATCTCCATTTTATTATTATTATCTTCCTGTCAATTTCCATCGCATTCACGCCGCGTACACATTCACCTTTTGCCTGCCGCCACCATCCCCCCCGGTGGTAGTACTCTCTTTTCTCTTTTTTTGGTATTCTTCTTTTTGCAGTTTTACCCAAGTATCACCTAGAGCTTTGGCAAAATGGTCGTCCACTGCTGAAAAAAAAAAAAAAAAAAATATAAGAACAGGAAAAAAAATACAAGTACCTAAAAATGATTTGATGATAGTATCAAAGGGTCCTAAAGTATATTTCAGATATTATTTTAACTAGCATAATTATTACACAAAGTGTAAAAAGTGTTAAAAAAAGTTTTCTCATATTTATTTCTGAGTGTTGAAAATCTATATCTATGAGAATTTAAGAAAAATTATTTTGAAAATACTCATACCTACCTAAGTTTTGTCCAGCAATATAGGTGTACAATTAAAATGAAGCTACAATATAGATGATCAAAATTACTGATATAGGAACTATTTTATATCGGATAAGAATTTTGGTTTTGAAAATCGTTAACTTTTTTTGATCTCTGCCTAGTTCAGTGACATAGGGGGGTGCTTAGTACCCCCAGTTTCCCTGAATATATTTCAATATTTCACCAATTATTTGTAAATTATTGTAGTTGTATTGGTTTAGATAAAATATTATTTTTTTCCATTACTGGTTCAAGAATTTATAATTAAAACATTATTGTTTGAATGTACGTTTCAGTTTTCGTTTAAACATTAAACAGAAATCATATTATCTTACTTTATATTAATTATATCTCTAACAGTTAGCTACAAAATTATGTTCTATTTATAACTGAGGTCGTATAGAAATTAAAAATTATCGTGATGTAGTTTATTATAGTACCAGGGGGTGTGGGAGGCGAAGCCCCCCACGAATCTGTATACCATAAATATTATTCTGGAACCTGCTAAATTCACATACAATGTGCGCTAATGTTCAGCGGTAAATGCTGCAACGTAAATAGTACCTGATAGTCCCACGTCGTCGTCGTCGTCGTCGTCGTCGACGTCGTTGTCATCGCCACTGCCGCCGGCGACATCAATGGGATCCGCGGCCGGCGTTTGATCGCGCCGCGCAATGACGGCCGGCGCGAAAACGTTCATGTAATCTTTGCCCAACGACCGCCTGAAATGTTCGTCGATGACTGGATCGCTGATGCCGCCGGACGCCGACGTTCTGTGCCCGGTGGCCGCTGTTACCGACGAGGGCGACGATGCCGCCGCCGCAGCAGCCATGATGACCGACGCCCGTTCTTTGGGCAGCAGCGCCCTGGACGCGGCGCTGCTGGCCGTCGTCGTCATGTCTAACGGCTCCTGAGAGTTCCTCAAACTAAAAATAATATTTAAAAGTGATTAGAGCGAATTCCACCACGTTTTTCATTGTGTTTGCACTCCACCAAACGTATAATATGGTTCGGTCTGTTCTAGATGGTCGGTCGGTGTAGTGGCAGCCTAACGGCTGAAATATGTCAGTAACTACAATAAACGGTCCGACCGGGACCTACGCCCGGGGCGCCAGCCGTAAGGGGGGAGCGCCTCAACAATAATAATTGTATTCGATCAGTTGGGAGAGAGGGGCGCAAACACGTGGTTTTGCGCCGGGTGCCAATATGTACGTATATAACGCCGGCACTGGTTCTGCCGTCTTTGATATTATTAATACAATTGGATTTCTATTTTGTCTGCAGGACATAAATACCACGTACCGTAGGACATTACGATTCCGGCCGTTTTTAATTGATATTAATTAATTCTTCTTCAAATAAACCCCCCCATCTATAGAAATGTCAGTACCAATAATTGCCGGAGAATGGCCCACTGTGCTGTAGAACAGTGGGCCGCTGATACCTTAATGGCCCATTTATGAAGCTTGTTGTTTATTTTATTTTCAAGCTTTTGACAAAGTGCGGGTATAGCAGATTATTAATACTCCCTTCGCGTCGACGTAATTTCAGAACAACGTAATATCTAACGACAAACATGTCTACGCGTAACAGGACGTCGAGATGCAATGTCCGGTAGCACTACCGCTATTTGATCTCGACTGCTATATTACTGTTAATATTTCAAAATTTTGACCCAAGAGGACCATATCTGGAGGTAAGGGATTTTTAGATGTCCACATTTTCACATTTTTCAAATTGAACATTTTTAGCAGAATGATAAAATAAATATCTAATCAAATCGACTGAAAAAATGTGAACTTTTACAACAGTGGACCAAATATTCTCCAGTCCGCGCCCTGGGTCAATTCCCTCTCAAATAAGCCTTCGACATACCGTTGCAATTAATTTAAGTATATGTCTGGATCATGGCATTATATGGTTGAGAAGTTTGGATGCTGAACAAGTCGGAACTAAGTCTTCTGGTTAGTTTCAAGACGAAGAATAATGATACGAATTAGTTAGCGTGGAGAACAAACGTGGGACATTGAACTAGAAAGGTACTCAGTATGTACGATTCAAGTTAGAAGACGGGACGTGTTCCATTTAACATAGGACACGTTATCAGACACGCGGATGATGACCGTCTACATATTATAATAAAAATGGAGGATGCAATGGCAAGAGACCGGGGACGACCAAGAACATCGTAATGTACGAAAAAAGGTAATTTCTGATACGGGACTGGCAAAGTACTGAGCACTGAAGAAGCTAGGCGATGATAGTAAATAGTGGAAAGAACATGGAAACCGTTACAAAGCCAACCTCGGGGTTGAATACCGGGCGGGAGAAAAAGACCGGTACAGGTCGTTTTCGGATAGATAGACGGCACTATACCTATAATATTATCATTATGTAGACACTGCAAGTCGTTTCGTTTGTAGGCATCGTGTGGCGCTTTTTCCGACACGCGTTGTACAAAACCCGTATTGGTTACATGGAACTTGAAAATATTCGAATACGCATTGGAAAAAAAAAAAAATGAAAAAAAAATACTCACTAAGACGGCGGAGGTGACACCGGCGACGTGCACACAGCTCTGTGTCTCCTCTCCCTCTTCCATTTACCGACTGTGCCCACGGTCCCTTCCATCGCCGAACATCTGAGCGACAACGACCTCGAACGATCTATACGAAAATAAAAAAAAATAATAATAATAATATTATAATACGGTATTTCGGAAGGAAAAAAAAAACACCTATCGCGTTTTCAAGAAGATATTCGTCGAGAACGCACGACACGCGCGCGCGCGCGCGTGTGTGTCTGTGTGTGTGTGTTTGTCACAATTTATGCTTTTTTTTTTTTTTTTATCTAACCGGTTCTGAAAACATAATATTATAAACGCGTATGTATGTATAGTTCTCCGGTGTATACGCGTGTTTAATAAGATACATGTGCCTGTTATAATAAGGTTCACGATAATAATATTATAATAGAAAAAAAAAAAAAAAAAAAACGACCCGCCTATAAATATATATATTATATTATTAGCTATGGTATACCAAATGTGTTCCGTGCGGTCGCGTGGTGGTATACCTACCTATGTAGCGGAATCCCGAATTCCAGACATTCCTCGAATACCGTCCAATGTTATACCTACCCGTCGAGAAGTCCGATATACGTTCGGACGCGTTAATATAGAAAAAAAAAAAAAAAAAAAATAAAGAAAACGACAATTCTCTAACATATTTCGCCGTCGATAGTAATATACGGTTGTATAATATACAGGTAGGTAGGTACCTGCCCGCCTCTGAACCGGACATGTACGAATAAGAAAAAAAAAAACAACAAAAACCCTCTATTATAAGAAGTGTTTGTGATTTCGATAGCATTTTTTTTTTTTGTCGATCTACGGTCGACGGAACGGGAGGACATTTTTCGAAAATCCCGAATGTTCGGTTGTTTTTTTTTTTTTATTTGTCGTAATGATAATATAAGAGAAAAACCGACAGCGAAATCTGACGATACCCATCACCAACACCGGTTATGGACGAAATCTTAATACCTTCCAATATTATAGCGGAGATCGGTCATTTTTTTTTTTTTTTTTTTCTATTCTAATAATTTATACAAACCGACGACGTTTCAAAGCGTTTTTCGATTATTATTACTTTTCTTTTTTCTTTTTTTTTTTTTCTGCGCGTCTCGTTCCGTAAAATTGACTCGACACGAGGACTTAATAATCGCCGCCGAGCAGGTCCGATACGAAATAATATACGAGTATAATGGGTAAAATTATTATTATTATTATTATTACTGGTTTAATATTATACGAGTAATATTAATATCCGTTTTCCCATCCGGACCGCGTGCGCACGAGAACGGAAGGACGTCGACGAAAGGACTTGGCATAAGAACAAAGTGTACACGTTTCCTGTTCGTGATTTACATTTAATATACTAATATTATTATTATTATTATTTTGTCGTTTTATTAACTAGATACGATATAACGACGCCGACGTTCGGAAGAGGTGCCTCAGGTGTAATGCCAACATCGCCGTATAATAACGCGGAGAGACGTCGATTTTACCGGTAAATGTACTCGGATTAGACGAATCGTTTTGAAATGTACGATCTTTACACGAAAATAACACGTCTACGCCGGAAGAAGAAATCGTTTTTCTCCGCCGGATAGACGCTGTACACGGCGAGGAGTGATCAGACAACCGAAATAACTTTTGTCCTGTACAATATTCTCTTTCCTTTAAACAGTACTTGTATTTCATCTTGTGGCCATGCTGTAATCGCTGTATAGGGGGGCCTTGGCGCTGCTGTACCCATTGATATAAATCTGAGCAAGAAACCAAGTTTCTCTTCGGATTCGTATTGTTCGTTCAACTCGCCATCGACAAGTTATGGTAATAAGAGTGTGACTCGGCATCGCGTGAACGTGTCGGTACGTAAAAGTCTCTGGGAAATATACTCGTCGGTGCACTTCCGCGCGAATGTTCGCGGAATATATAGGGCGGAGACGAAACGCCCGTTCGATTTGATTGAAGTCACGCGAACCGTACGTTTGTCCGTTCGTACGCCGTGTTGTAAACGTAAAATCGGTCGGAACGAACGGTGGTCACTCGAACCGAAACGTGCGGGGGGAAAAAAACGCCGATAAATCGGCCGCGCGACTCTTGTGCCGTCTTTTCTCGATGCGCGTATACATGTACGCGTGAGTACCGCACCGATAACGGTTCCCCCCCCCCATTCCGATTCCGTAATATTACCGCGGGCACTCGCCGAATTGTACTGTCGGAGTTTGTCGCGCGATCGAAAACGAATAATAATAATAATAATAACAATAATTATTACGGCTACCTACACGGTTGGGTACGATTTGCCCGGCAGCAATTTTCTATACTCGTGCAGCAGTGTCACATACACGCCGTTGTTTCTCTGAACGGCCGACCCGGCGCAGGACAATGATTGATAACGACTATCGTAATTATATTGTATCGTTTAAGTGCGAGCGCGTCCGTCGATAAACGGCGAGGATTGCCGGTCGGGTCGATCCGACGAAAAAGAAAAACCGTAAACCGGGATTGGTTTTGTTTCGTTTTAATAGAGGTGGTTTTCCGTACGAAATTGAACAGAAAAAAAAAAATACACGTAAATTTCTCGCTCGGAAAAGACGCTATTCGAGAATCGGAGCGAGATTTCTGGTAGAAAACTGGTTCACGGAATTACCGAAGGAAAAAACACGCATAGTTAACCCAAAACGTTTCTCGCTGCGCTCAGAATTTGGGGAAAGAATAAAAAAAAAAAAAACGGCGAGTCGCTATTTTTCCAAGGGAGTTCACGTTCGCCCGTTTATAAACGCGAGCTCGTGCGGTTGTGCGTATGCGTACAGTACACGGAATCCCGTTCATTTTATGCTCCGTTTTCAACAGGTATGCATCTGCATTGCCGTTAATCCGCGTCGCTCGTGTTTTTACCCGATTTTAACGCGTGCCCGCCGTCCTTATACTGTCACAACGCCGTATGTTATTTATACACACCAGACGGGGATGGGCGACTTACGAGTCGTTTCCACGTAACGGACGTTAAAGATCCGGCGGACACGCCACTCCTACGTATTTATACAGCGCAGCGCGCAACGAGCGCAATAATAACGTGCACGCCGCGGTCCGAGAGGGGCGGACGTTCTAGGAGTACGGCCAGCAAGTGCGGTATAGGGGAGGCAACGCGGGCCTCGTCGACTCGCGTCGTCGGCTTTGTTGCTGCGGCCCGGTACTCGCGGCCGCGAAGAAAACACCGTCGGCGGCCTGCGCGGTTCGTGTCACCCAGAGGGTTATCGATATTGTTGTTCCGTACGGCCGTTTTACGCGGTGGCCAAGACAAATAAATTTAACGTTGCGTCCGCGAAAAACGTTCCGCCAAAGTCTTTGCACGAATCCGCACGGCGCGCGCCCGACACACGCGGAGTGTACAGTACCTGCCCGCCCGCGCATAGGCAGGCGCCCGTAGCTCGCAGAAGTCGTCCGCGTCGTCAATTGATTATTGTCAAAACGAACAGTACATGGGCGACGTGTTGTGTTTCGCCGCGCGTCAAACGCTAAAACGCGGCGACCGAACCGGAGAAGGGGGTGGGCCGGAAAAAAAAAAAAGTTCCGTTGCACAATACGACCGGGTGGCGCGGGCCACTCGCGCCGTTTATTTCCGTCGGCGTTTTTCGGTTTACGCGTTTATTTTTTTTTCTTTCCCCGCGTTCGATTTATTTACCGGTCCCGTCGCGACAACACCGCACCATGCAGGCCGGCATAACACCCGTGTAGGTGCGCCCGACGATCGTACACCGTGGATAACTGCGAAACCCGTGGTAAATACAACGAGTGTATGGGCGCGATTGACGACAATTCTCTACGACTCGACGCTGCTGCGCCCGGCCCGGTGCGTCGGGAAACGAATTGTTCAAATGAACCAAACGATTCAAACGATTGTCGGTTATTTGTCTGTCGGCCGGAACTGTTGAAGGACGCGGGGGAAAAACGATCGCGGTCTTCAAACCGAAGAGAGTTTATAACGCGTTTGCGGTTGGTCCCCGAACCCGTAATTATCGACGTGCGATTATTTGACACATCGAATGAGGGGACCATAACTCGACAATTGCGTGAATGTTTTTCGAAATTCGACCACGTCCGAGAAGGACCAATGTTAGTGTTCTGTACAAATTGCACGTCTCTGTGCGGTTATGTTTAAGCGTAAAACAAAACAACAAAAAAATAAATACATAAAATTTGGAAAACGACGGTAACCGTTATCGCGTGAACTGTCCCGGTTTTCCCGACCATTGGGCAAACTATACGAAAAATCAAAAACTCACCTTACCAATGGGCCGACTAGGCGACGTTTACTTTCGAAAATACGCCGTACACACACGCTCGACGACCGGAGCAAGATTTCTGGCAGAAAAGTGGTTCGCAGACAGAAAAAAAAAAAAGCGCGCATCATAAGCCTATATATACATAGGCAGTAAAACCGAAAGACTTCTCGCCTCGTTCCGGATCTCAAGAAAACAATTAAAACGCCGCCTCCCCCCAGTTTTTGAGTTATCGAATTCCGCGGTAGTAATCGTCGGGGCGGACAAATTCGTTCGCGATTATCGTCAAAATCAAAACCCACGCCTACCATGTCCGTAATCAACACGCACGACAACCTGTCGCGCCGGCATGTATAATTTACCGTCCTCGCGTTTCTGCATCGTTCTCGGACGGACCCGTTGTGAATCGTGTTACAGTGACGACGATGATAATATTTATTGCCGCGGCGGCATCGGGCGAAGAAAACCACGGCGGTTTGATTTTTCGACGATAACGCGCGACCAACAATAATAATATCATAGCCGGTAGGCAGGCAGGCAGGTACCAACGATCGTAACAATAATTAGAATAATAATCATTATTATACAAATTATACACCGCGCGCGATAACCTGATATTCGTAATGTTATGTTTTCACTTGTCGTTGAAAAAAAAAAAAAAAAAAATTAAAAAATCGAGGACAGTAGCCGGAGAATTCGGTGTAGACAATACCGTTTGTTACCTGTACGCGTACCGTACGTATACATTATAAGAACCGATATTGTACGTTAATTGTTTATTATCCCGAGCGCAGTATTATAAATATTCAACGAGTATAAAATTCAATAGGGTCCGAAATTGAATTTTCCGCCGGCGACGTGATCCTACACCTGCCCGCACGCGCCCCACATCATGCCCGTGATAATACACAACGTAACGCCGAATGATTTCACACTGTTCTCGATCGAGACCCGGGAAAATCAATAACTCGGGCGGTGTTTCCGCACGCGCGCGTTCTAATTATTATTGCGGGCATATTGTACGGGCGGGCGCCGGGGCATAATACTACAATGGTAATAATAACGTTATTCGCGCGCACAAAAACCCCATTACGGGAAAACGATTATCCGCGCGCGTACATAATAAAACGTACTCAAGGCGATCGATTATCTCCGAAAATACAATACAACACCGGGAGTTGTAATAATAATAATAATAATAATAATACCGATAATGTGTTGCGTAACGAGATTTGTCCGGCGGGAAAATAAAAAAAAAACAACGACACAACGTTATACCGGGTGACGAGTTACGCGCGATACGCGTTATTGCTGTAGCGCAATGTCGTCGCGAGCGCGATACACCGCGGGGGGGACCGTCGTTTACGCGCGATCCGCGATTCGTTTCGATCGGCACGCGTTCGCGGTTCTCACCGTCAAAGTTGCCGGCCCTCTCCACCCACGGCTGCCACAGGTGCCGGCTCCTGTCCGCCTTGTTGTTTCGGCCGTCCCGGTGCAGGTGATGGTGGTGATGAGGATGATGATGATGATGGCGTCGGTGGTGGTGGTGTTGTTGCTGTTGTTGTTGTTGTTGTTCGAATCTCGAAAACATTACGCACAGGCTCATAACAACAATACGATTATTTTATCGTCGGGGGTGCGGTTATTTTTTACGACAATGAAAAACCGGACGCGCAGAAGAAGAAAGGAAAACAAACGATGAACGGTGTTACGGGTCCGGACGACAAAAACAAAAAAAAAAAAAAAAAAAAAAAAGGGTTCACCGGAAACTACAACGCCTCCGGCCTAAACNACCGGACGCGCAGAAGAAGAAAGGAAAACAAACGATGAACGGTGTTACGGGTCCGGACGACAAAAACAAAAAAAAAAAAAAAAAAAAAAAAAAAAAAACAAAACCGACGAAAACTTCAGTGTCACGCAACCGTGTCAGAACCGTACGCACCGCGAACGATGAATGGCTGCTCGTCGTCGTCGCCGTCGTCGTCGTAGCCGTAGCCGTAGCCGCCGCCGCCGCCGCCGCCGCCGCCGCCGCCGCCACCGCCGCCGTAAGATTGTGCGCGCCGACGAGGTTCATTCATGTCGCGGCTGCGGCAAACCGGTTGCGCGTCGCCGCAGCGCCGAGACGCGTTCGCCCGGCTCGAGCGGTCCGTCCGCGGCGGCGGGTGGGGAGCGCCACGGCCGGTCGGTAACGCTCGTGCGCCGCGAACGCTTCCTCCGCCGTTTTCATTAATGGGCACCCCGACCTGTGTGCGGTGTGTTCCTCAGGTACACGCGCACACGCACACGCACACACACACAAACACGTACGCACGCACGTACATAATAATAAATATTATAAAGAAGAGAGGAGAAAAAAAAAAAAAAAGGGTTCACCGGAAACTACAACGCCTCCGGCCTAAACGTACCCATTATTATGTACATACATCATTCCCCGGTACGCGCGCCAGGTAATATTATTATTACTACTCTGCTCGCCTAGTGTGTTATTATAATATTATTATATCGCGCGTCCCCGAACGCGTCCTGCTGTACGGCCGGTACATGAAATACGGGACCACAAACAACAACAACAACAGCAATAATAACATCGTGCCCCGCGATTAATAATAATCTTAATATAACGCCGCGATAATAACGATAAACGCGGGGGGGGGAGTGGCGGTGGGAAATCGCGGGGGAAAATAATTTCCGATCAAATACCGTCGAAAACCATTCGTCCGCCCTTTGACGCCCTTTTTCGCGCAACACAACTGCGACAATGATTACCGTGTTTGGCCAGAATGTTCAAAACGAATAATCGGTTAGGTATGTAGGCGCGATTAATCAACCAACGGACCTAGCCGACGGACGGTACTTTCTGCAACCGGAACGTTTTTTCCGGCAGCTTTTCGAAAACGAGTGCTTTCTTAGAAGCCGGTAACATTGAATGTATACGAGTTGTGTTATTCGTACGACGATCCGCCGGGCTTGCGACAAAATCGCCGGGATCTGAAATGTTGAAACGACAAACGACAGAACGTTCCACATAGTTTGCGGAATTTTCTGTTTTGGCGATATTTTCGAGACAAATCCAACGTGACCGTCCACAAAAATATTCTCCTCGGTACATTTCATTACGTTTTGGTTTTACTATAGGTGGCATGGTGTTTTTTCCCGTGCCCGCAAATAACTTTTATTCCGGCAATCTTGCGCCGATCAAAAACTTAATTGCGACATCTGTTTTCGTCGACTAATTCGTGCATTGATGAGGTGAATTTTTTTTTTTTTTTTTTGTTGATTTTACCTGTAGTTTTTTTTCTCAATAAACGGGAAAAACTGGCCAATTTTTGTATGATCACTGGGTATTAACCTCGGCGACAAGGGGAAATTACGACTGTAAACACTCCGCTCGGAACAACACATGGTGGTTTATCGTCGCGTACGGATATGAATTCAACGGCTCCCGTTCTCCCGTATTTAACATCTCCCCCCACCCCCCTGAAACACCGGCACCATTACCGTCGGCTGCGGTATCGAAATTTTCTCGCCATGCATACGTGCAATAAATTGCGTTTAAACTCAGATTTCGGCCCGAGAAGTCGAGGAACCCGACGCGATTATTGCCGCGTCGATCGGACAGTCGGAACGGCGGATAGACGCGGGGTGAAATCGGCTCAGTTTTTTTAAACGTTTTGAAATTATGTTCTTCGTAAGGGCGTAAAAGCAAGGAAACGTAGAAAAGAAAAAAAAAAAAACGACGAAGATTAAAATTAATTTACTAATGAGCAATGACTAATAGTATAATCAGTAATCACTAATCGTATTATATTTACATCGTGCAATATGGCAATATGTAAAACATAATTATTACACGAGTCGGGAATACAATGTGGCCGACCGGCCGCGGGCTGTCGCCGCCTAGAATGATTTCCAAACAAAACGTATTAAATACCGTTATGTTTTGTTAATTATTATTTCAATGTGCAGGCGCCCGTGTTTCGAAACTTCGGTTCCGTAACAATTCGTTTTAAACCGGTCCACCTCGCTCACTCCCTACACGATGCCATACGAGAGTCGTGTGCGCGCCGCTGTCCACCCCTGTACCCGTCCACGGTGACAACGCGCAGTTCCCGGCCGGCCAGTTCGGGGCGGTCGTTTTCCCGAAAACGCGTTTCGGCCCCGCGGACGACGCGTGTTCGCCCGGAATAAAATATAAATATACACGCCGATAAATTATAATAATAATAATATACAACAATAACGTTAATATTAATGTTTTACGGTAATATACGACCGAAAACGCGGCTACCGGACGAACGGACCGGCGGCCCCCGGGGCCACACGTCATGTACCACCGTAATAATAATAACAATAATAATAATAATAATAATAATAATAATGCGTCGTACCTGGTAGTGCTACCGGCGCTGCCGTCGGAAAACAGGTAGCCGAAGACGATTAAGAAGATAAGGTCCGACCCGCCGCCGCCGTAAATCCGTGTGGGAACCGCGAGGAACGCGCGTGGTACCCGCCCGCCCGCCCAATAATAATAATGATAAAAAAAATTCGGAAACGCGCCGTTGCGTGTTACACCCAGCAGCACACGTTTTTCGTTTTTTATTATTCCCCGCCCCTCCCGCCGAATTTCTTTAGGCGCGCACGGTGTACCGACGACGACGACGACGACAACGACGGCAATCATTATTATCATTATTATTATTATTATTATTCGAGTGTATAATGTACCGGGCGCCCGGCGAGAGCATAATACAACGTAAATATTGTACGCACGGTAATTAGACGGACGTGATCGGACCGGTAAAACGCGTACATAATATAATTAATATCGTTGCGCGTAATAACAATAATAATTATTATATTGTTATTGTATCGCATACGCGACGACGACAATGACGTGCGTGCGGCTTGCGTGCGTGTGCGATCGGAACACGTTTACAGAAATGTTTATCGATACCCATTGGTAATGCATTGGATGATTATGCCAATAATAATAATGACGATTGTGTTATCATCGGCCGCGAGTATTGTTTCGCAGTTTTGCGCGGCCGGCGTTTTGACGGACGTACGCGCGGCGTGCGCAAAAGCCGTCGACGGAAACGAGGCGTCGCGCGACGTGCGCGCACTTGCGCGTTTCGTAACGGGTTTCCATTTTCCCCCGGCCCCGTCCCCGTCCACGTAGGTGTCGGCAGTGAAACAAAGGGAACGGTTCGCGGCCGTCGTCGTTTCGAGAGTTTACCGTCTCCTCGTCGTTCGGTACGAAGGGCTCGGGACGCGGCGGCCGAGGCGAAACGATATTTTCGTCGACAGCTGTCGGGCGAATGTTTCCAAACCGGAGACGGTATAACGCGAGCCGTCCGGTCTGCCGCGGAAAAAATCGGCGCTAAAAGTGGACTCGAGATTCGATTCAACCGAATGCCGGACGATAAAAAGACGAGTCCCGCGGGGGTAGTTTCCCCCCCCCACATACACACACACACACTCTTTTTCTCCCAAACAATTTCGAAAAGTGGACACGCCGCGCGGTTCAATATACGTTTACCGACGTGCAGTCCGAAACGACCGCTGTTATATATATTTTATACTAAAAAGTCAGCGATGCGCGTATCGTTTTTACGTAGCACGAAAAATAAATACACGTACAGCAAACTAAACAATATGGCGTTTTTCGCGTTATTCAATGCGTTGTTGTAATTCCATCAGGCAGATACAGCGACTGCACGCCGTAATTTCGAGATCGAAATACCGAACACTGTTCTTTTAATTAAACGTACCGTTGAAACGTATTGTATAATAATGCCGATCGGGGGCCTGTAAATTCAAAAAAGTTGTACGGTGCGCGATCATAACAACGTATGCGATTCAATGGCAATGACACGCCGGGGCGTTTTTCAACGAGGTCATCCGTGTCCGAAATGGACACGCAGTAAAGTCCATTGGACGCCCAACAAAGTGTGATTTTGTTTACTGCGTACACTAAATTCAAATGGCAAATTATCGAATTAGTAGGGTCTGTAACAAAATAATTTAAAAGAAACGCCCCAACTCAAAAGATAAGAGACATTTAGATATAACAAATATCTAAATGCTTTTACCGTGATATTATCGCTCGTAAAAATAATACTGCATTGATAATAGTTTGTCGGTAAAACTATAGGGGCGTTTTGTTTTTTTTTTTTAAAAGCGATTCCAAATTTCCAGTGTTATTTGTCAACAATACGTTTTGAAAATTTGAACAGCACACCTTGTGAGTCGTTTCGTATAATGTACTGCAAGCACACTAATTTTTGTACCGTAAAACGACTAAAACACATTATTTTAGGCCCCGGTGTGAAACGCCTTTACGCTTAGCCACACGGCAGGTGCGGTGCAACAGGTTATTATTATTATTATTATTATGATTATTGTTGTTTTCGTACGAAGGAACATTATTTTTTCTCTGTCCCGAAAACGAAAAAATCCATTAACGTAATAGGAAATTAACGATTGGCCGTCAATCGACGGACATAATATAATATTATACTCGTAACGTAAAGATCCGTTCACGTTGAATGCGGAATGACGAAAACAACGTCGTTAGCGTATTATAGGCACAGGTCTTGTAAAATATTGACTATTGATTTACGTACTATATGTCTATATACTATTTATAGTATTATTAATTAATATATTATACACTTGCATCCAAGGACGTATATGGGGGGGGGTTTGACCCCCCCCTTCCCCCGAAATGTTTTTATTGTTAATAAATTTAATTTATGTAAGTAACTTATTTATAATATTATAACGTCTATAAATACTTAATATGTAATCAAACAATAAACTATCGCTCGTATTGATACTTTGTATCCGAAATCAATTCAGATGATGTTATCGATCGTTTCATCAAGGAAAAAAGCGGCTATTAGATTTTGTGTTATAAAATATTCTCTAAAATAATAATTTTATATAATATAAATTTACTTTGAAATATTCTAAAATAATCATGATGTAAAAAATCAAATTTTTTTCGTTTAAGATAAATGTTCGTTGTTTTTTTAAACTATTATTTAATTTTAACGCCCCCCCCTCCGAAAATTCGTTCCAGCTGCGGCCTTGTTTGTATTTATATACTTATATATATATATATATATATATGAGAACAATAACGTGCCGTGAAAACGCAATAAGACCTATATTAGGCACTGGCGTTTTTTGAGCCGATATCTACGGGATTATGAAAAAAAATATGAAAAAAATACTAAAATACTACGCGTATTATTATATAGGTACAAGGATTGTCGCGGCACAGAGGTGACTTGGGCGAAGCACAAAACGAAAATAAAGAAAAAAAAAAAATGAACGATATACTAGACACATATCGATCGAAAAACAAACGAATAAAATTAACGCCCGGGTGTATTACACGGAAAATATGCGTATTACAATATTATAATATATGTCACAATGTTACAATGTTAATCGGTATCATATTTAAGAGGACACGTCAACAACGTATACGATAATACACATATTTAGTATATAATTTGTTGTCTCCGTCTTATATAAACGCGCGGCATATGACGAATTTTCGTTCGACAGAATCGATTTCGGGGCCTATTATAGTTTTCAGGAGCGAAGAACGTTACCGGTGTTTGTGTACATTGGTTTTTTTTCCCGTTATTTTCATTTTTAACCGAGACGCAAACAGATGAAATATCGCGGTTTAAAAAAACCTGTTAAAATTTTGAGGGAGGGGCAGGAAATCGACACAGTACGAACTTCTTACCTTTAAGTCTGACGACAATATATAGGTCATCAAGTCGTTTTAATACAATACGTCAAAACTAAAAGCGCAAAATAGATTTACTGATTGATTGGGGACCGGAGGAGGGGGAGCTGAACACCTCGTATAATTTGTTTGAATATTCTAGTGAACCCCTACTATTTTTTGTTAAAAGAAAACGTATGGGACTAGTTATTATTTAAGCTTAGGCACCTATGTTTGTAAAATCGCTCAACTTGAATTTTCGTGTTAAATAAATATATATATATATATATATATATATAATATATCTTAAAAAATGTTCTAATATTTACAAAATGTATTGATATCTGATACGTAATAAATGATAAGTTCTCAATCAATGATAACCATTCGTTAGCTATAAATCCGGGTGACCAGTAACCACTGACTTATAGCGTCATAAACATGCAATTATCTCGTGTAACCCAGTGTTCAATATTCTCTATGGAAGAATTTTTTAAATGAAGATGTTTAAAAATGAAAAGTGATAATAAAATAAAATGAAATGATTATTATACATTATTCTATTTTGTTATGATACGTGTTTAACGGTTTTATATTAATGTTTCTTCTTGTAAAAGGAGATATGAGAGGGAAAAGCCCCCCCCCCTTCGGTAAGAGAGATATTGAAATACTTTTTTTAAAGTAGCTAGAGCACCCTCTAATATTTTTTCCCCAAGTCAAGCACAAGTTTCACGTCGTAATAAAGCGTTTCCAAGCCAGAGACGACAAAACGCGTGGTTTGTCACTGAACGCACGACAAAGTGTATACTCGCATAGTGTCGATTATTATTCGTCTAATATTCGTCAGGCGGACGAACGATTTCAAAATGAATATTCAAATGCATTATGCATAATGTATTAACTATACAGTACAATATTATGTTGCATTGAACACAATATTATTATTATAAACAAGACGAGGTACCTATCTATTATATATTTTCGAAAACCATGTACATACTCACGCAGGGGACCTACTCGAGATAGACGATTGTACCGTTCGAATAATATGCAGTACATATAAAAGCCGATAGGATTAAAATATTATAATTAGTATAACATATAGTTACGCGAGTAAAACATAAGCTGTACCTATTTAATTTACCTAAATTGTACGATTATAATATGCGGTTTGATATTACGCACCGCCGGCTATTATGCATAATATATTTTGTAATCCAATATATTATATACTATACCAACACACATTTATTTATTTTTTATTTTTTTTTCTATAGTAATTGATAAAGAACTCGAAATGTTTCGATAATAATATAATACACCGTTTAACATATTATACTATGACGAGTATAGTAATACTATATATACGCGTATGTATTATAGACACGTAAATTACACCCATCATTATTATAAATACTATAAATTGTAATCGTTTGAGTAATTTTCAAAAATAAAAACCGCATTAATATTATTATTATATTGGAATATTATTTCTTGTAATGATGAAGATAATACGTATGACAAGACGGGCAGTCCGCGCAATTATTAATTCTGCGGTATACACGGTTAATACTTTGCTGCAGTTGTACATCATAGATAAATATACGAAGAAAATGCTAATGGACATACCGATTAGTATATTATGGCGGTGAATCATATTTTAGAAATAAATAAACGGCCGACATAAAAATAACGAACAATATTCTATAGTGTACTGAACTTATAATAATAAAAATAATATACGATATAGTATGTGCACCGCAGTCATAAATATTATACAATGAAAGGCTATAATATGATGGCTACAAGTACAATGGTTATCTCTTGTTCACGACATGAAAATAATAAAATAAATATAACGCCGGCTATTCTTAAATTATAATTTCGATTTTTTTTTTTTTTTTTATGTTCCAGTCGGTGTTTTAATTGGAATATTATTTCGTATTTTTTTTTCTTTGTATATAATAAAACACATTATAACGTTTTAAAATGTAGTTAATCATATGCAACTGTAAAAAACATTATATAATAATTATTATACTCGTAGATAAATACGAGAAACCTTATTATTAGGTGTAAGTAGTGACGAATAAGTAAAATATGTACTATAGTAAATTTTTTCTCGTATTGAGATATAAATGTGTACCGGGATCTTACTGTTATAAATGGTTATACCTCCCCTTTCCTTCCCGCAAAAAATCAAGACCCGGTTCCGCCACTGAGTGCAAGAGTATAGTGGGCAGGATTATTGGTTTTCGAGTGCAAAACACAGACCTAACGAGTTTACGTATTTAACAACAAAAAAATCTTCAAAATTCGAAAAATCTTCTGTCCGAAAAAACAAACAGGATGAACATGAAAGAGAAGAAAACTGTCTACAAAAATACCCACTGATTATACGTCGATATTTTTTTTATGGTTTCGATCAGTTAAGAGACTTTACCGCTTTAGATACACTCATTGCGATCTGTCTTCCTTCCATCGATCGTTCACATCCACCATTCGCTTTACATCTCTTTTCACACGGGCCTCCCACTATTAAGCGCAAACTTTCTACAGGCCTCCTATACTATAACGGAGGTCCTCCTCGATCGCTCTTTTTAACATCGAGCTATATTTACGCCGGACACGTCCCCCGCCCACAGCAATATTCTTTTTCTAATCCACTTTACTATATGTATAATACAATAATAATAATATATGCGACTATTGAAAAGCGTTTTCAAGTTGATCGTTATGTATACAACAGTCATAGTCTTCTCCATTCGTCCGTAAAATATATACGTGGGCAATAAAGTAAATCCCATACATTTTCCTTTAGAATATGTCAAATTTATTGCGTAAATCTCCCGCACGAAAAACCAATCCGTAGAAGACGTACCTTAATTGGTCACCACACCCACGTTTACTGCAGTCCTCGTCTTACAAACGCACAACGTTTAGCAATTTTACGTTAGCTGTTATTTTGATTATTACAGTGACTTGACCTGTTGTCAAGAAACTTAAGGACAAGACCATTATACGCCGAACCGCGTTGTTTTTTTTTTCTGGATACTTTAATTTTTAAGCGATACGTAAGAATTTTTAAATCGTGGTTCTAAGATTTTGGCTCTTAGGAACCTACGACCAGTGTTGAATTCAGAGAATTTTTCTGGGGACGGCTCACTTTTATTTTTTCATCGGTCATTTCGATGTAAACTGGAAAAAATAACGAACGCTGTAAAATTTAATAAATACATTTCGTTGACAGTTATTGTGTTTGTCAGGGGCAGCGAATGAAATTCTAGAGGAGAGGACGTTGGTCCCCCTGTAGTTACGGCTATGCCTGAAAGCGTGCACCTGTATGTAGCAATATCGTCAAATCTGTCAGATCTCGCATCGACGATCGTAATATACGAAATAACGCAATGGTATATTTTGATTCGGTATTATAATAATATATTCACCGACGATGTCCACTTCGCGGTGACTAAGCGAAACATTGTACGCATCGTAATAACAACACACGGTTACTATATTATAAACATTTTGTTTATATCTCTTCGGTAATTTGGACGACGTCCAAAAGTGTATTATGTACTCCATAGTCGGGGGGGGCCCGAAGTACCTACCTACACACAGTAAATACTTAAATAATACGCGCACTGCAGAGGCGGCGGCGTGCACTTTTAAACTTGAAAACGGATAGGATATTGTGTCGGTACAATTATAATATTATTGTTTCGGTTGTTGTTTGGCACGGGCTACGCGCGTTTTACTCGCATAAATTGTTCAGTCGACGTAAAAGACTAAAAAATATTTGGCATTCTATTTATTTTTTTTTCTTCTTCTTCCCCCCCCCCCCACTGTAATATTTATGTAAATATATATATATATATACATATAATATATGGACGAGATTTTGACCTCAAAATATTTCGAATACTCGTATACATATTATATACTATTATACTACGTGCCGAGAGGTTCTTTTTGTCAAAAAAAAAAAAAAAATCGCAAACAAATATTATTTTAGAAAGTTTGCGATTTGTTTTTTCGTGTAGGAGGTATATTATATATTCGCGGAAAATCGCGTGCGAAACAATTGACGGTCGGATTATTATTATAAATTATTCTGCAGGCACCTAGAAATCATTATATAGGTACCTAAGTAATTTTCGTTTGATTGGGTTACTTTTTTTTTTCTCTCTAGTTTTTCGTTTCGATTTACAGTCATCGTTAATCAGCGAAAAATCTTTTACTCGCGCGATGTACGCGCTCGAATTATTGCGACACTACAGCACAGTGTTATTGCAGCAGTCGTTGCCGGCGCGAGAAAATCGACGAGAAAACAGTTAAAACTACCGGGAGCGCGGAGAGGAAAAAGAAAAACGGCGACAACAAAAAAACGTAGGCTACGTACAGCAACACGTCGGAATATCCGAACGCTTTCACCCGGGAAAAGCCGGTCGATCGGAAACTGTGGGATGAAATAAAAATATCCGTCTCGTGTATAATTAATGTGCGCGGATAAATAAAAACTACGATGGGAAAAAAAATGTAAAAAAAAAAACGTTCACTGAAACCCGAGTGGTAACTATGACATAGATTATAGACGGTATTTTCCGCGGAGACGAAATTTATAATGGTTTCGAATAACTGGACATTTTAGAATAACTATACACATTATACCTATTGGGTGTTATTTATTTATTTATGTTTTTTTTTTAAATAATGTGAATGAATATCAAACATATTGCGTCGGTATATTATGAGATAGTCAAAAAAAAAAAAAAACCCACGATTTAAGATATTCTAATCCATTAGCATAATAATTAATATGCGATACGAGTATATAATAACCGGTTGCGTTTAAATTTTAAGTCACAATATTCGTTGGAAAAAAAAAAATATCAACTATGGTCCAAACAATAATATATGAGAGGTGTTGTTTGTACACAACTTTCGGACCGACCTTATACAATTTATACCGAAAGAAAAAATCGTTACTAAAGTCGTACTAATATAAAACGTTAATATATTAGGTACAATAATATATAGTGTACGCCTATTTCTCGGTTGCCCTGTAACCACCAACATCTCGCGCATGGATTAGTATTATTTTTTAAAATTATTATATGAAACCAAGTATAGGTACCCATACCTAATTAGTAAAATTAGTTCTTTCGAGCATATAAGATTTATAATTTAGGTGCATAATACATTATTCTCGTCGCGTCCGAGATTTATTATTAAAATGTGTACAGGTAGTTGTATTGTAATATTATACACCGCGAAGAACAAGCGATACATATTAATGCATTTTCCGCATTAATAATTCAATCGCTACTATCTGTAAGTAGTATTATTTTGTGGTGAAATTAATAGCTACGGTCAATTTTGTATAGTTTTCAATGTATGCGAGAAAATTGAAAATAAAAATAAAATACATACGATTATACATAAACTAATACACTACATTGTACACTAACTATTTTTAAAGTACATGTATCACTTATGGTTTTTTCAACAAAAAATAAAAAGAAACAAATTGCGTTAGACGAAATTATAAAAAAATAATAATAATAATTTCAAAAATCGACTTAGGCCATTCTTTCCTAGAACCGAAATTATTATAATTATACGTTGACGCTTTACTTGTAAAATTATTATAACATTATATTGTCGCTTTAAAATCGCCGGTTTAAATATTATTTTAAAACTGATTTAAATCATTATTTTCTATATAAATACGAACCACATTAACCATCGTCAGTCATCACCATAATGTTCTAGATTATCATTATATCGTCTTTAAAAATGATTATTATTCATCTTGTTCCCTGTTCATTATATTGTAAAATGCGGGCCAGTTGGCATCGATTTAAATATATTATCGCGGATTAAAAAATAATATAAAAAACAAACGATTCGAAATCGAACGATTCCAGCTAATGTTTATAATATTATGTTATTATCATTTGTACGCCGTATCGAAATGTTCGAAAAAAACAATAAAAAGGTCAACACGCAGATTATAATTTTATTTATACATTTACGACTACAATAATTAGGTATATTACGATTCTGTAAAATCATAATCGTAAACATCATGGACCATGGAGCAACATCTCGAATAAAAAAAACCATCAATATTGTTACGTTAGTGTACGACATAATACATATGTATTGCATTAAATACCTGTACAGATGATTATTAATTACTTGTACTTAATATTAATTATTTATTAAATTAACAAGTAGTGTTGGCCTAAGAATACCTACACATGTTATTAGAAATCGTTGAGAAATAACCTGTACAAGTTAGTAATTATATAATTTAGCTGATCTAATGCTAGTTTGGTGCTATTTGGTGAGTGGACGTGTGGTATACTACAGTCATTTGACTTGTTGCTACCCCGATTTAATAATAATAAAAAATGATTTCTGTGATCGTATTTTCGTAGAAAATGTGATATTTATTTAGAAGAAAAAAGATTATGAAGATTATTTGAAATAGAAACATATATGAAATAATATGTCTAGACAGATATAAATAACGTATATTTTATAAGTGAATGATTTTAAAACAATTAAATGTCATCATTGCATTCAATTTAAAATGATAATTTTTTTGTTGTGCATACGGAAGTTTATAATATATTTCAATCAATTATTTATATAATTTTTTTTTTTTTTAATACTTTACATAATATTATTTGCTATGTGCAGGTGTAATTATTATAGTATCCGAGCGAATATAATTTAAAAAACAATAATAATAGAAGAAACATACTTGAACATAATGACAAATGACATCAGTGGCGTGGCGAACATTTATATTAATAATGATGCACAGCATATATTTTAGTACCTTGCCCCCTCAATAAAATACCCCTCACTTGTATTTTATTTTTTTTTATTGTTATCCGCTTGGGCAAATGTCCTTAAGTCTGCAATTAGCGGAACATAAATTATTTTATAAACTCATGGTCACCAGTTAGCAAATATTCCAACCTAATTTTAACCCTCTTTATGCATGCCTATAAGGTGGTGTAAAAAAAAAATGGACACCAAATTTTTGCTTCCAGTGGTCTGGCTAAAATTTGGTATTTGAGATTTAAATTTATTTTTTTTTATTTTTAGATTTAATTCAACGGTTAATAATGGAGATCAATTGACTTCCTATGGTTTTCTCCAGGAAAAACATTCATTTATTGATATTTATTATAACCAAATGCCTATTGTTGAAGTTCTTATTACATCCGCCCACCCAATTTTAGCCACAACGCTTTAGGCGTATTGAAAACCCCTTCGCCATGCCACTGAATAATATTATGACAATATAATATATACAATAATATAAAATTATATCTTTTTTTATAATTGAATTATTGTTATTATTTCTTACATCCTGTTTTTCAAACAACTGTACTTAGTGGTGTTCTTTCTTTAAATTATGTTTACACGCATAACCAAAAAAAAAAAAAAAAGCATATAAACACAACAACAATTAATGTTTTGACTTATTCATATTATAAATGATATTATTATTATTTTATATTATGATTTATTATTATATATTGTTGTAAGTATTAGTGCTGAACACTAAATCTGGATCAATCCGAACACCGGGCTATAGATCTGAATTATTACAAAATTCGATTTACCTAATTAAAAAAATACAATACGCGTGGTCGGTTCGTTTGACCATTTTGAACATCTAAACCACGTTTCAAATTGTTCTCATTACCCGGAATATTGGAATATATTATATTTACTTTTTTCCTCCACTTTTGATAAAATCATAATTGGATTTAATAATCGGTTTACGGATTAAAAGTATTTATTCTAAATTTATTATAATCCGTTCAATCGCTTTTTAATGCAAATTGCAAATTGATGTGTAACGTTGTGTAGAATATTATAGAAGGTATGCGTATAGAAATAATTATATTGACTAATTAACATTGATTAATATAATTATAATGTATTTTTATGGATCGGAACGTGAACGTTTGAAAAAATACCAATTATACTCGTTAATAAGTTATAACGTAAAATATTCAATTATTTTCTGTTTTTGATCTTTTGACTGCCTTTAAAATATTCATGATTAATTACTAATTGGAATAAAAATATTAAAACTAAAATATTGATTAAATCAACTATATTGACCAAAAAATCAAAAATCATTAAAAAAAAAAAAAAATAATTGTATAATGTTACGTTAAAACAAAAAAAATAATACATATAGGTCGTATAGGTATATACGTCGTATATACGGTTATTTTGATAATTAAAAATAATAATTGGATATTAAATGTTTTGTAATTTGAGAAGCTCATTAAATATTAGTCATATAGTTGGTGAATCATACAAAGAAATTGAAAAAAAAAAAGAAATGGTCATTAAATATTTTATTATCACCTAACATTGAATATTTATGGGTTCATTGATAATATTTCCTTGTTAAATATCCGATTGGAAAAATACCGTTAGTTATACCGCGTTTAGGACGGGAAGACCGTGGGAAAAATAACATCAAAATATTGAAACCGAACAGACGTGGGGAGTATTATTACACTCCAGTTAGTATATTAGGTCCTTTTGCTCTGCAACCTGTCGAACTATAAGCATAAGGTGTTTCTTTTATTCGTTTCAAACCTCATCTCCGATAAGATAAATTGATTTTTTTTACTATCCCTTGTCGATAATTTTCCATCTCTTTTTATTGTATCAGACCCATCGATTTTTTCAAATTACCTCTCTCTACACGTCATACCACCCGAACGGATGAAACGTTCCGCAAATGGGGGCGTATCATTTATTGTCAAGTTTTTGTAATTATATTACTTTAATGTTTTTCCTGTATATTGGACGTCTGTGCGCAATTTTATAAAATACAAATATATATATATTTATGTATCAGGTGATCCATTTATGTGGGTGCACTCATTATATCAGAAAGTATCATCTATTCAAAAAAATGATTTTTAAACATTAAAGAAACTAGCAGCTCTAAAAATACATTATTATTATTTTTGTCATCCTTATTTTTGAGGGTGAAACTATACTACTTACTTTTGATTTTCAAATAACAACATATATTAAACAATTCCGTAAATAGATGAAGTATTTATAGTTAAAATACATTTTGGTATCGACTTTTTTGATTTTTCATTGTGCACTAGGCGCGTTTACAAAAAAAATATTTCAGGGGAGAGGTTCATAGGCGCAACTAAGCTTAAAATTTTTGGGGGGGGCTATCCATATATAAATCAAACAGACAGAATTTGTATTTTAACCATTTATTGATTTCTTGGGAGGGCTATGACTTTTTTGGGGGGGGGGTTAAGCCCCCTATTTGCACCTACAATTAATTCCTCAATTAATGGAGAGGGAGTTAAGGTTGTGCACTTTCATACTCCTATAACAAAGAAGTTTACCTACTTTCAATTGTAAGATTATTTATTTTTCATTAAAAATGTCAAAACATTCATTTTTAGCTTTTTAGGTACCTATTACTAAATTTTACCATTGGTATTTTTTTAGTGAATACAGCCTAAATGATAACGTAATTTATATTATTATGATGATAATATGGAATATGCATTATCGCCGTATCAGTTATAGCTTTCTAAAAGTAGGAGAACCACAAAAAATTAGAAATGACAATAATAACAATATATATACATATACCTACTATATAGTAGTAAAATAAAAATAAAACCAAATTTGTTTTTATCTTCCTCGTTGACAAAAACCACTTTAGGAAGGGAGGGGTGGGGGATTAACCCCTAAAATCCTCCCTTGTAAACGCGCCTTTATAAAAGAACTACTTGTTCTAAAACTGTTAAAATAAAAATTCGAAAAAGTTAATACTTTCCGAGATATTGTGTACCCGCTTAAATGGACCACCCGGTATATTACATATTATTAACGGAAAAAAATAACTAATTCTAAATAGAAAATAATTTCTGTTTTTCATATTGAATAGTATTATACTATAAATAATAAATGCAATATAATGATTTATTTTTTATTTTCAACAAGGGCATTTCGATTTAAAATATACGATTTAATTTAATAGCCGTATAGTAATTGAGCACAGTAATTTTTCTAAAATATATTAAATATTATTATGCATTTTATAATATTATGTATTATGTTATGTGTAGGTACAATGGCTAAGGACAGTCCTATGTAACTTTCTACGGAACAATAAAATAACTAAATATTATTAACGTCTCAAACTGACGCCTACTGAAGGTGTAACCGTGCAACTATAATAAAATATAATGTGTACGCGTTGACCCCTCTAGTCGTATACATTTTAATATCCCCTCTATGGCGATTAATCGATGCGTTTATTTGTTTTTCGAATAACACACAACGCAATCTACATGTCACCGTGGTAAACAATATTGACGATTTCCTTTATCGTCAATAATCATATTATTTACGTTGACTAGTTCAAATTGTATAACACATAAACAAAAATAACGCCGATGAGCAGTGGATTTTTTTGGGTCAATCGAATCCTGCGTTGACATTTCTCGTAAAACCATTTGCTTGCAGGTTTATAGACGAAAATGATAACTATTTGAAAAGAAGAAAAAGGAACAATGATTTATCCATATATATAATTGAAATTATTACCCATTATAAATTAGTTTCAATTTTGAATATTATGCATTTGTCGTGTTTCGTAAAACGAATCACGTCCTTATTATATAAGACGATAAGACTTTTCAGATATCCGATAACCCGACCTAATCGGTTAGCTGTACAATAAAACCGATAACCGATCTGATATTTGAGATTGAAAACCGCGCACACGATTGGCCGATAGTTACTGAAATTAACCGACACACTGGTAGAAAACTGTTGAAATCGCCTTTGAAAAGTTATATGTAAATTCATTTTCATACTCCAAAGACGGGTTTCCTACGAATATATCGATTTTGGAGAAATAAACCCGATATCCGATATTACGACATCATCAATATAAGGTGATATACGATATCGACTAATGTTCATGCTCATCACCAGGTACCGGATTTCAACGCAAAGAGCATTTTTTTCTTCGGGCGATCAAATGCTTTCCAAGTACATAATTTCGATCCATTTAACAGATACTTCAAAAGTGAAACAATTATTTTGTATTTTTTTTTTTTTTTAGTTGCATACCAATATAGTTTATATGTTATACGAATTAATAGGGTAAGCAATTAAAAGGTTTAAATGTAGGTAATTAAAACCAAAATGACCGCCTCTCGCCACAAGATTGCTTAAAGAGAGGGGTAAGTAATCAACTCATATATTATTTATAAAATATTAATTTGAAATTGTATTTTATCATTATTTGAGTTGAATAAGTTATTATTATTATTGTTATCAAAAAACATTATCTTCAGAAATATTAATTTTTATATTTTACGTATTCTTCATCAATACAGATTTCAATCGTTCTGATTTCTATGACGTCTTTATCTCATCTTTATTAACGGTTGTTCTGTGTTACCCGGGCTTAAACAAATAAAAACTACAAAAGTAGAATTCGCATTTCGCATTTTTCACCGATTTTCGTATAAATAGTTAAATGGTATTACTTCGCTAGAAGACATTTTTGAGAACATTTTTCGATAATTTTTAAGCTATTTAAGATACATACTTATCGTTATTTATTATAATTAATAAATTTTAATTAATTGCCTAAAATATTAAAATGTATTTAATTTTGATTGTTCTGATTATTTCTGTGAAAACAATTCTATATTTAATATATATTTTGTAGGTTAAATATATACGTACATATCTTTAGACTGGCATTATTTCAATTTATTTTTATATTTTATTATCAGTGTCAAACGAGATGAACATAGGTAATTTTGCATATTTATCATATCCCCAATCGTCAAACTTATGAACATTTAATTTGATTACTAAAATATCGAGACGATTTTAAACATTACAAACTGTAGATTTCTATAGTGCGGATTTGGGATTGACCTTGGGTTCCGTGATAGTGATAGGGAAATTCGGTATTATTCATCTTTAAGATAGGTTTAAGGTACGCGATTTCTAATACCTAATGACACCTATCTCTGTTAAATCAGCCTATTCACATAATACTATCATCGGGCTTTTAATAAAACGAAAGTTTTTGAAATTAGAATTCTGTTAATGTATAGTAGTGGTATAGGCGCCGAATTTAACAAGCAAATCGAATAGAAATCGACCTATTACTGTTTTCATCGTGTTTTGAAATGTAAGCACATATAATTGTATTTTACTATGCTGTGCAAACTAATTTATAGTTACTTATACTCGACTAATAATAACAATAATTAATAGTATTATCATTTGCCATACAAAATAAATATTCCGAAATATGTTTTTGTTTTATAAGTTTGACCGACTTCATATAATATTAAAAAAAAAAAAAAAAACACATACTATAGTGACGGCGTGCGTTTTTATTGACCATTGAGTATATCGCGCAACAATTATTTATAGTATAGGTACCCGCGAAGACTGTGGTGCGGTAACGTGTTCGTTTATAATAATATATTGTAAAAATAAAAAACAAATTCCAATTCGGATCGAACACGAGTGATTTTTTTTCTCGACCAAAATGATCTCAAACTCGGGAATCAAAGAGTTGTTTTATACAAGCAGAACAAAGTGGGTTGAATTTCACCGTGTTGTTGCGGGGGGAGGGTAGTTTTTTAGCTTTGAAAATCCCCATCCCCGATGAAATTTTGTATATGCATGATGTACTTAACATGATGATGTACTTTTGGGGACTTTCAAATTTCATATTTGATGTTTTATGCGAAGAATATTTTTTAAAAACAAAATAGGTGGGGGAAATTGAATTTTATTAATGACGGAGATCCGCCGCACACGAGTGTTTTTTTAAGATTGGCGCATTCAAAACTCGAAAGGTGTAATGAAACGTCAAACATGTTTTAACGTTTTTCTTATAACCTCCGTACAACTTATATTTTGGCCATGGGTAGTGTCGGCGTCGGTCTGAACAAATCTTAGGAACGATTTGAGCAGGTACTACATTAGTACAAGTACAAGGTTATTGTTTTATTCGCAACGACGTGCGCAGGAGAAGGGAGGTTAGGGGCCATACCCCTCCTTTGTACAACGACTACAAGTACATATTCGGTAATTTAACCTTGAAGTCTATGTACTTCGGTCAAGTAACAAGGAAAAGCTCGGGTTGTCGATACAAAAACGGTATGTAGAAAACTCGAACGGTGCCGCTGTTACAGTGGTACGAGGACGATCGACGACAACGCTGCGCTGCGACGGACGCCAGTGTGAACAGGAGGAAAACTCGGGTTACCCTCTTTCGTCGCGTAAATCGCGGTGTGGGTATTAGCGACGGCACGGCGTCGTCGGTGTGGTAGGAAACGGCGGCGGAGTGGCAGATAGATTTTCAACCCGTGCGGCGTACACAGAAAACTGGTCGGGCGCCGTACATAGGCAACCGAACCGACGGCCGGCAGGAGAAATCGACCGGACCGATAACGATCGGGGAATCCGGCGCGCGCGCTTGTCGTCGTCGCCGTCATCGTACTCCGAGCGGCCCGGAGGGAAATTATAATAATATTATCAAAACGACCGCTCGATATTCGTCCAGCGTGCGTTCCGTACGCTCGATTTTTCACCGACGTGTCGCGTGGTATCTCATCGGTTCCCATCAATAATAACAATTAATAATATTACGTATATTTACGGTGCTTGGTTACTCACTGGCGATGGCGTATGGCGATTCCGCGGCCGTCTCTTCCCTGTGCAGCATAGTAGCCGCCCTGGACAGTACTTCCAAAGGCGATTCGCTTTCCATGTTCCCTGTTCTGGCCCGCAAACAGGACACCACGGGGCACACGGTCAATAGAAACGTAATCGATTGAACTCGATATTCGATTTTGCCGTCGTCGTCGTCGTCGTCGTAGTCAGTCGAGTTGGCGGTACGTGAATGTGCAGTGCGAGTACAATTATTTGAATACAATCGCTATTATACGGAGTAAACACAGTACTCCCGGGTGGCGGCCGCGACAATCCAGCAACGAGAAGGACTTACCTGTTCTCGGACGGATTCGGTTGTGGTGTCCCGCGTTCGGGGAACGTCACTATACAATAATACGGCAGTGTACGTGCGCGCGCGCCGTCCGCCGTGTGTATGTATGCGCGTACGTGTGTGCGTGTGTGCGTGTGCACTGCGGTTTCAACAGTGTGGATCGGAATGTCAGGAATGATTGGAATTGAGTTTTTTAAAAACGCGTTTTCGCCGCCCGGCGCGCCGGCGGTGGCGGTGTGGGCACGGTGCAGTCGGGCCAGGGCGGCCCCGTCTCGCGTAGCCGACCGCCGCGCAACCTGCCGGGAAACACGCGCGCAAAGATACCGCTGCCGCGCCGCCGACCGTGGCGAGGTCACAACCGTTCCCCCGCGCCGTCCCGTCGAAGATCCGCCTCCACCGCCGTCGACCGCGGGACCGTCGTCGCCTACGCGAAAAACAAAACGCCCGCGCCACCGTCGCCACCACTGCCGTGTTCCACGGGAAAACCATCGCGCGTCAGGAAATCGGCGGGGAAAAAAAAAAAAAGAAATTAAAATTCCGACGGGCAGAAAATAAAAAAAAAATGAACGATTCGTCGGCCGAGTGTACAAACGTTTTGTGCCAACCATCCCCCGCCGCCGCCGCCGCCACCGCCGACTCCGGGCGATGTCGTCAGCCGAGACCCATCAGATCGGAACGTTTTAATTCGCGCGTACGGAACACGCGCGAAAACTCCTCATCAGCGTGCAGTGACCGCCACCCGGAGGAACACGCGATGGCGACGATGACGGCGATAGTGATGATAATAATAATAATAATAATAATTATTGCCGCTGTTGTTGTTGTCGTTGTAGAGAGAGCGTCCGGCCCATACGGATGTTGTACGTACCGTGCGTACGTATCTACGGCTACACGTATACCCGCAGTATAATATAGTTAATGACATTTGCGAGACCACGGTGTGGTCCGCGCGCGTTCTAGAAATTCTTCGCAGACTCGCGTTCGCGCGACGCTCGCCGCCGCCCGGATTTCAGCGAGAGAACGCTATGCGCGCCGCGCGACCATTATCGTTGGCGCCCGTCCGTCGTCCGCGGGCGGAAAAATAGCATTTCACGCGGACGTGCTGAAATCCACGATGTCGCGACCGTACGCGACGGACCCGTGTATTATTATTATTATTATTATCATCATCATCATCTTCGTGAAACCCGCCCGTTAGAAAAACACGTGTTTTACGAAATTTCAGCATGGAATACGTGTATGGGAACGCGACGACAACAACAGTCACGAAAAATTGCACAAAAAAAAACGAAACAATTCGCTGTAATATTACAATAACAATTAATGGTCGCTATATTATGCTCGTCGTCGCGCGTACCCGCGTCCTCGTCCTACGGTAATACGGTTTTTTGAAAATCTCTTTTTCGCGAATAACGACGATTATTTGTTGAAAAAGCGACAGCGGCCGGCATACAATAATACAATGTGTGCACCGAGATAAACGCGAGATTCCTACGCGAGGCGACGAGGCAATTTTAAAACAATTTCACATTCGGTTTATACGTCCGGCGCGCAAAGCTCAACGCTGTACAATTCTGAGCGCGGCGAGGAATACATTAGTTTTACTGTAATATGATGTGCGCTTTTTTTTTTTTAGATTCTGAACGAAGAAGCGGAGTGTGTGTATTTGTTTTGTCATTATGTGTTTTGTTTTTTTTTTTTTCCTGTGCGCGTGTCTACAAACAACTTTTCTACCGGATGTCTAGCTCCAATCGAACACTTTATAAGAATTCGTCGTTAGCGTTTCAGTTCTAGTTGTTGCGGGGGTTTTTTCGATTTTACTTGCAGTAATTTCTTAACAATCGGGAAAACGGACAAATGTACAGCGATAACACGGTATCGTTATTTTTCGATTTTGAATATTTTATTGTGATTCGGTTAAAAATAACACACAGGTTTCACATAATATTTTAAGTTTATATTTTCCACCTGGTTAGAAATTTGACATTTACGTGGTTTTATTTTTGGTTTTGTTTGGATGCAATTGTTTTGGCCTTGCAGAAATATTTGAAAATTATACACGAGGTTCATTATATGTTATGATTAGTGGTAAAAAAAAAAAGTTGATCGAAATGTAGTTTTTTTTTTTCAAGCGTTTGAAGTTCAAATTTTGACGAAAATCGTAAGAACCATTGTCGTTTAAAAACGTAAATTTCCGAACTTCGTTCAGAATCGTATTTAATTAGCAATGATCTATCGTTACGTATAAATATCCTAACTTTACAACTTCCTGCCGAAAGAAGTGGCACACACGTTGGCAGTATCAACTTTTTCTTTTAAAACCGAAATCGACAGCGCGACACATACCAGAGCGACAATACCGTACTTAAATTTTATTCGATTCGTCGAACCGCTGTGTAAATTAATAATTTATTTGACACGCAGTCGCACGAGAATTACATATTAAACAGTCAACACGGAGACGCGGTCGTAAGAAAACAAAATGGATTTGGCCGACGGAATTATTAATTTACATTATTATGATAACATATAACAATTAATGTTAATGATATCATATACATTTGCACGTCGAATTTATTGATTAATTAACAATATTATTGTTATTATATTGAAACATGTTTTTGTATTGTATCACAAATTAACAGCGAATTCCAATATATATACAATTGCAAATTGCAAACGCGATTTTTAGATTCCGCGAATTTATATATTAAGTACATAGGTATTTACATATTATTACACTTAATGTATACATAAACATTTGAAAACGATTCATGAAAATGCAGAATACACTTCTTCTCGCGCGTGACGTTATTGTAGGCATCGCATTCAAACCTAACCCAGCCGCAAGGACGTGGGGCCTATAAAATTATATGCTTCCTAATAATATACGAATAAAATTATAATATTATTTTTTTATCTATAAAAATGCACTGCACATATAATTTCTAAGCTAATGAGTATCACGGTATAGTGAGTTTTTATTAGTATATTATGACGAAAAAGGCGGACATACTTCGCACGACAGGTGGGCCACTGCTGGGTGAGAAGTTGGGAAGGTAGGATTTAGAGGGGAATTTTATTTATATATGTATGCAATGATAAACCATTCTTAACGAACACCGATTCGGAGCGAAGTTTCTTTTATACATGTACGTAGATTTTCCCGTTTTTTCCAATTATTATGAAAACCGCTTGGAAAATAAAAAAAAATGACCTGCTTAAAGTATCACCAACAAACAATTTCTTTTCAGAAAAAGTACCACACTTGAAAATCTAAGCAAGATTTCTGGGAGAAAAGTTGTTCACAGATAAATAATGATACATAAAAAAATAAACATAAACATCATTGTAAAACCAATACATTCCTCGCTCCGAATCTAAATATCTGAAAATGAAAAATACTAATATATAATACATGATAAACAAAAAAAAAAAAAAATTAGTTGAGAGCCCGGGACAACATCCTTGAGATAATAATTCTGGACGATACTTACCTATTATTCAGTTTCGTATATAATATAGGTATCTAATCAGTATTATTTAGCTTAGTTGTTTAATTACATATACTACGCAGATCTATAAAAAAAAAAAGTAATTTATTACGCAGTAAACATTGTACATTATATATTCTTTAAAAATAATGAAACCCCGTGATATTCCAAATATCCAACACCACTAGATACGTTATAATAATAATAATAATACTAGTGGGCTCGTGCGATAATTCTTTGCATTTTAAAAACTAATTAAACAACAAACACATAAAACCTAACGGTATTACATTTCTCCAAAGCAACGGATATATTCGTTGCATTCTTATTATATTGTCGTGACGAAAATCCTTTACAAAAACAGTGTGCAAATATAATATGAAATATTATGCGCTAGCAATTTTTCAGAAACTTAATTCTTAAAAAGATACCTCATTATTTATCAACATTGTTCAAATGATAAGGGAGAAAAATGGATTTTATCAAAAACCACTATCTTGGAGGAATTCTATAAATTCTGTTAGTATGTTCGTTTAACAGATGTTCACTGTACCAATCTACAGTTTTATTTTGATCATGATGAAATTTCGCTCACTTGGCGTGCAAAACAACTCCTACTTGCTATCTTGACATTTTCTTTTGTTGATTGATGGGTACTTTGGCGACACGGATGGAAATACACATTTATTATATTTATTTAAGTTACGGACATCATTATTTAATTTGGTTTTCACAGACAAGAAAGTACTCTTTAAAAGATAAATTACCAAGCAACCACGATCAATAGTGATCCCATTTGAGATAAGGGTGGAAACGGAAAGACACGTTAAATTTAATTTCTTTTACTGATTTCTGATTTTGAAAAAGGATTAAGCCCAGGAAACACGGAGTAATAATTCATATGACATATAAGATTATTGAATACCTATGACAATATGTGTAGATGACGTGTATATTATAATATTAGAACAGAGCAGAAGGTGTAGACATAACCGTCTAAATTGTATGTTAATGCGATTTCCCCAAAAACGAGTCGTAAATATGTCACCGAGTACACGTGTACCTATCTAAATATAACGCGTATATTATTCGAAATATCAAATAGGTATTTGACTCAAGAAACCACGAATATATCCTAAATATGTTTCGAATAAGAGTTATATAATATTACAAAAAAAAATTGCATTATATAAGTATAATAACAATAAGGTTTTTTGATGTATGATATGCAATGTGTATGTATGTGTGTGTGTGTGTGTGCGCGTGTGTGCGTGTATCAATGGCTCATTATAATCCATATTTAGGAATTTGACCTTGAAAGGTGAAAGATGAAAAATTCATTTTTCCACTTTACATAATATAATTATAATAATAATACGATTAAATATAATAATAGTTTCGTACGAAAATAAGACAGTCGTTACATTTTTTACGAAAATCCTTCAAATTTTTAGTGGGCGCCCATTAAAATATTATGTTTGTTTGAACGTATATCCAATTATTTACATAGTATTATTTTGTCCTACGGCTGCACGATCGAAACCGAAGAACAGTGTCGTTATAAACGTCCCGCACCTAGGCGTACCGTAATCTTTCACGTATTATTTTCGTTACGTTATAATTGAAACATCCTGTTTTTATCGCATTTCCGGTAAGTCCAATTAATATTATTGTTATTATTTCTATAGAGCAGCTCTGTGACGCGACCCAACCACAAATACGTTTA